TTTTTCCAACTTTCCTGTTTCTTTCCACAGTTTAACTAGAATTAAGATGATAATGCAAAAAAGTCCCCCAAGAGAAAACTGTTAAAAACATATTTGTGAAATTTAAAGGCTGCCAACAATCACCCTCTCTATTTTAACTCTCTCTTTCTCACTCTCTCTCTCTCTCTCTCTCCTGCAGCCGCTTTCCATTATGATTGCCCAGACCAGCTTGTTAAAAAGAGTGAAACTCAAACCACAGTTTTGAAAATTACAGAATTCCTTCATAAATGCCCAGCCCTCCCTGCGGCAATGCTGGGTTCAGGCTCGAGGTGAAGCTGCGATGCTACAACATACCCAAACACACAAACCCATGCACTTTAAAGGCACGCACACAGGTTTACACAACGCAAAACGCATACTTGCATGACTGTTACACAAATACGTCCTTTAAAAGAAATACATGAGCGCATACTTTGCCTCAAGGCCGCACTGCCCTCGATCTTTCCCTTTCAAACTTCCAGAGCTGTTTCCTACAACAGTTGAGGCCCGAGCAACAACAAAGTTATCACTCATTTCAAATCCATGACAGCAAAGTCTCAAAAGACAAAACATGTGCTCTTATCAGTGGTTGGGTTAAATTGAGCATAGTGCTAATTCAGGCAGGCCGCAAGGTTAAGCTCAGTCCACAGTGCATCAGCTGATCCTAGCGTCGATTCAAAGCAGTTGACAGCTCAGCCGATTACCTTGCACTCTTCTCAAATGTCAAAAGAAGTGTTACATGATCTACTTCAGTCCACCTGATTCCTGCTCTGTTCTGTATTCACAAAGCTGCCGAGTTTAAAGAGTTGATCCTGGTGATGAAATTCTCAGAAAGTTCTTAGAATTATGATGATGGTGTCCAAGAACTTTCCCTAAAAGTTAAGACGAGATCTTTGTGAAGATAGATAGTTGTTCACAAAGCGTTTTATCCCTCCTCCTGAGTGAGGAGGGGATGCCATCGATTAGATTATGTCATCGCAACAATGCAATCAAGGCATCCCAAGATATTTAACAACTGGATGAATGTTTCTCCCAAGATTTTGCTCCTATGATGGCATAAGGAGGCTTGATGCACCGTGTTAAAGCTAAAACAGCACAGAATAAATAAAATGCTTATAATCACCGACAGATGTCATGCTGCACACTGCGTTTCAGAGGAGACACAAAAATTAACATCTCTCTCTCATATCATCTACAGAATGGTGCAGAGATCACACACTATTTCATCGACCGTTAGTTCAAATCATAAAATAAACAGTATTTGAGTCTCTACACAGTCTCTACACAGTCCAGTTGCCTGTTTTATGTCTTCAAAAGTATTTGAGTCACTTTCTTGACATTTGACAAAAACAGAACTCACCTGTAGCGCTCTTGAAAGAATTTGAGTGCAACTTTTATCGAATCTATTTGCTAAAATATCTGGAAACTAAAAAGTGTTTCTGCCAAAGGTGCACCTGGCTTCTTGGTCGTCTGTTTTCCTAAATCTTCAACCTGGCAGGCAAATTGGTGCAGGTATGGTGCTGCTGAATAAATTACTCTCTCCTGTCTCTGTGCAGCTGCTGTTTAATTTCCCATGAGTGTGAGCGTGTGTGCCCTCCTATCACCAAACCCTCTCCAACCTGGCTAATAAATAGTAATTATTCTCAGCTGCTCCTGCATGTAAAAGTGTTAAACTGCTTAAATCAAGCAGCATTCCTGCTCAGTAAACTTTGATAAGATTTTTTTTAAAAAGGGGATGTGGAAGGCCAGAAGTTTTTATGTAACACTGCAGTAAACTTTTACAGCTGATACAGAGACGAAGCACTTGATGCTGGACCGAGGAAGAAGAAAAACACCAAACCACAAATGTTTCACACATACATGCCGCTCAGTTTGCTCTCCATGAGTAATTCTATGTTTTGCTTGAAGGAAAATTGCCGCACTTTGGCCATAATTGTTTCAAAACTACGAGCTAATTATGACCTTTTGAAAACAAAGTGTACAGATTGAATGTGACATTCTGCTACGCCTGCAGAATATAAATGCCCTCTTGCACTGGCTGAAGCCCAATAAAACCTTATAATGAAAACAATCATGTCTCTACTTCGATTTTAACTGATCTGGAGTAGGTTGTGTTTACATGTTTCTGCTCACTGACCTCCAGTTAAAGATAAAACCAACAGTTTGATGCAGAGAAACACAGAGACTAGTCTGAAGTTTGTCTGAAGTTGGCATAATCTTAGATGTTCAGCAGGTTATGAAACCAACTAAAATGAATACTGATACCTGTATGTGGCCTAAAATAGCGATTTCAAATTTCACTATTTCAGCCTCTATTTCCTCTGTTGACATGGGAAAGATGAGGTTTATGACCCATACTGCAGCCAGTCAGCAGAGGGAGCTCTTTTGAACCACAGTCAATGAAGTCCTATGGCTTCCATTTGGATATGCAGTCTACAGTATGGCTAACTATGGTCAGCTTTTAAGCCTATACGCTCAGTAAGTAATTAAATCTAACGTATAAGTATTGATAGTGTTACTGTAAAGTCAAATTGCTTCACTAATACTGTTATATGTTGTTGAATCCAATGGTACTTGGTCATTTGTCAGACATTTATTGTTTTCTGCTGCAAAAACAACTTGTTAAACTCAATCCCTGTAATCATTTTGGGGTATTTTGAATATTCTGGTACATTTAGGAAAAGCTGTGGACAAATGGTGACACACATGACATCTGTTCAGATGTAGAAAACACACAACTCCAGAGCAACATGGACACATGGCCTCTCTCTGTCTCTCTATCTTTCATTCTCTCTTTTTCTTTTATACCCACACACATGCACTCCATCTTTACTTGAAGTAGTTCCAGCCTACTGCCTGTCACACTGCATGGATTTCAATGGTGCATACTCGGCCATATTCCCACCATCTGCCATGATGATTTGAGAAGAAAAGGCAGTTTTTACAATTGCAGCTGTACTTAAAACATAAAAGATTGTGTGTGTGTGTGTGCTCGTGTGTTTTTGTATGGATCCTGTCCCCTCTTATGTAGTCCTCTGCTACCATCTACTGAGGAAAACTGGACATTCAACACGGATAAATTCTCAGCAATGCCTTGAAATCTGTATTTGATTATGTTTAAATTTGAGTCTTATTTTGTACCATCAATCTCATTTCATTTTTATCTTATGTAATATTCAGTGCAGGCAATATCAAAGAAATTAATTACTGTATGTCTGCCTTTAAACAAGGTAATCACCCTGAAGATAATCTATTATCAATTTAACAAGCATGTCAGATTCGAGTGGAAATTTAAGCTATATTAAAAACTCCTTTAAAAGACAATTTCCAAAACTAATTTCCTAATTGAAAACTTGCATTTGCTTGTTTGCTTGAACAGCTCTTGGAAGTGTTTCTCCTTAAAATGTGTGGGTACTTTGTTTTTTCTTTAGCAGCTCAAACACTGACATTTTTAGGAGTTAGTTTAATTTACAGTGGTTATAGCGCTGGAGCACAGACATAGATGAAAGCGTTTTTCAGTTTAACAAAATAATTTCTGTAAAGTTCCTTTTTGTTAATGAATATAAAGTTCTCCAGTCCACTTAGAAACAGAGACTTAAAGTAGGCCCATGCATTTAATGCATTCAGGTTTTTATTGCTATCGTTGTCTCTTGTTCAAATCTTGACCCTTGTCCATCAAGTCAAAATTCATGTTTTGATGAATTGAACAGGATGCCCTCTATGTTAGACATAAAAATGCTTTTGTAAACAAAATAATTACTCTTACTGACCACTGTCCCTTAAGATAAAAAAAAAAATCCAAGTTGCTGTTCAATCTTTTGACCAGAAGATGGCACTACTGTGTCATGGTGTGAAATGTAATAGGATAATCACAGTCAACTTTACTTGTACATCAGAAAGGTCCCAGAATCACATGTTAGTTTATGACAGCATATAATTATGCACAATGTATGATCAGAAAACACTGTAATCAAAATAAATTAATTAGTTGAAATATTTATTTCCAGTATTTTTTTCTGTCATTGCATTACAGGACAGGACTATGATTCTTACTGCTGATATGTCAAAGCTTCGCTACCATTATGTGCCTTCTGCTGTGCACTGTGCTCTAAGCATCCAAAGTGCAGGTAGTTATGGGGCAAAACAATGTTGCAAAAAAGAATATCCTTCAGGAGCAGAGAAAAGAAAGAGAAAAAACACAAAGAAAAAGGTATGTTTGCATTTAATGAAATGTTAATCAAAGAGATTCGTGAAGGTGTGTGAATGATCAACAATCAATATTATTGGCTGGATTGGGGGCCCCAAAGTCAAATTTTGCTTAGGGGCCCCAGTGAAGCTTGGGCCAGTTCTGATTATGGTACTCTTGCCACCTCTGCTGCAACGTTTATGAATGTTGCTGTAATACCATCTTTTTGCCATAGGGTGGCAGTGTTGCTCTCTAACCTTGCCTCAAACACTCGTGGCACACTTTGCAGAGCATACTGTACCACGAATACATCAGGACTTATAATAAAGAATAAGATAAAGAATAATAAAATAAAGAATAATATGATGCACATGATACATGACATTAAAAAAAACATTAACAAGATTTAAATCATCAAAACATTTGTATGCATTACATATAAACACAACACATTCACTACTTTATTTTGAATCGGCTAAATTATTACTATCTTTATGACAATAATAACGATAAAATGACTTTAAATCGATAGTCTAACATCCTGACTCTTCATGTTTACTATAATATCATTCTTTCGGGCACCCTCAGTTAGAGTTTTTTCTCTTTTGGTCTCATTTTCTGTCATAAAACAATGATTGAATCTGCTTTAAGTGAATGCCCCCCCTCCTCTTCTTCCTCTTTAAACCGCTCCAAATTTGTCCAGCCCGGTCCTGCTCTCTCATTGGTCCGCTCTCTGATTGGCCCTCGCTGTGATTGGCTGAAAGTTCCGTACTCGGGCAGTCGGTCGGAGAAGTTTGTTTTCTCGCCTGCGGCTCAAGTTTTGGACGGCGAGCCGCTGCCGTAGGCAACGTGGATATGGTGTTCAGGTTATCATTGAGAGGAGAAAGGCTGTGAATAGTTTATCGTTCAGGCGGGAAACGTAGAGAAAGTTTCTTTTCGTCTTTCATTCTGTCTCCGGTGCTGACTGGCTGTGGTCTCCCTCGAGCGTTTTACATGCGGACTGTCATTCAGAAATACTACAGCCTCACGTGTTTGACCTTACCGTGTGTATTTCTGATACTCCTCGCTGTTTTATGACATTTTTCGTCGCTGGTTTGTTCATAACCTGCTCTGTACATTTTGTTTCAATCGGTTCAATTCTCAGCAAGTGGTCGTCTTGGTGACAGAGGAGTCAGTTTGCGTTTAAAAACCGCTTTTGGATTGAAGCACGGATTAAGTTTTCCTACTAGTAAGAGCAGTGGACAGAAGCTGAGGGACTTTGTCATTATTTTGGGGGATAAAGGCATGTGAGGAGGCTGCTGGCAGTGAGTACCACTTTATTAATAAGTAACTGTTATATTTATACAACAGTCACTTTTTGGTCATGATGCTTGTCTGTTAAAAGAGTCTTGTCATCTCTTCCAAACTGTTTTTTTAAATTGTATTTCTCTTATTCCTTATAAGCTCTGATAGTATTTCCATTCAGTCAAAACTCCTCTAAAATCTCAAACAGCCTTATGTCAGTGGTTCTCAACTGGTCTCACTCTGGGACCCACATTTTCCCATGGTCCCTAAGTCTCAACCCAGCAAATTAGTTGAAAAAAAAAAATAATAAAACTTTAAAGACTCAAATCTTTAACATTAATACACCCACTTTATTGAGTAAAGTGTGTTTCAGAGCACATGAACGGAGGATGGATTGACTTTAATGCATCTCTGCATTCAGAGCATATTCAGAAGAACCAGAGGAGGACCGTGCAACAACATGGACAAAAGTGAATAAACATCAAATTGCACATAATAAAGACTCCAAAAGAACCGCAATCAGGCCACATTAATAAGATAACATATGCCTTTCAAAATAAGCTTTTTTTCAAAATAAAAAAACATGTCAAACGTGCATTAAATATTCACTTTTTTGACCAGTTGTTTGCGACCCATCAGTAACATGTCAGCGACCCACTTTGGGGTCGGGACCCATCAGTTGGGAACCACTGCTCTAAGTGCACTTTTTAATTTAGATAGAGTCTTTAAATCAAAGACAGCACATTTAAACAGTGCATATTGTTAAAGCTAAGCTGTTTGAATGCAAAAGAGGATAAAAGTGTTTAAGTACTGCATAAATGTTTGAAGAAGTGGTCTCAGAGTGCAACATTAAATTGATTTAGACCCTCAAATCTGGCATCCTCATGTTGCAATAACTCACAGATGACTGTTTTTCTCTGTAAACTGTTCAATGTGATGTCAAATGTGTTTTAAAATGTACACAGATATGACACAGGCTGATTTGACAGGTTTAAAATCTGCACGCGTGATCGCCACAAATCAATTATTCCGCCTTTCAAGTGTTAACTGAGCCGCTGAGGTTGACAGATGCTGATCAAAGATGCAGCAATGTGAAGTCCTGAAATAAGACCTCATACAGTTGAGGAAAGAATTCATGTGTCGGAAAGATTAAAACCACTGTAAGGAGAGACATGTGGACAGGTGGACGTGCATAAATCAGTACAGAAAACAGCATGGGAATCTCTGCTCCATAACAACAAACACTGAACTTAAATCTGACTGGAAATGACATTTAAAGTTCTGGGTATTGCCACAGACCAGTCGTAAAACATTGCATTATAAAGTATGGTTTTTTTTTAATTGAGTTTTTAAAGTTTTGTGTCAACTCAGATTTGAGCAGGATGTAAAATCGATGCTCACCAGCTGTCAGCCAGCTGTAAATGAAAATGATCTTTTAATTTCAATGCGCCAGCAGCAATTTGGCGGCACTTAATCAAAGAAACTCATCAGATGGTGAAATAATGAGTGTGGCGGGTGGATTTGGAGTGAGTTATATATATTGTAATCCATGCAGATATTAACAGCTGTGTGTGTAGTCATAAAAGTTAGATAGTAAGGAAAACCCTAAACCTCTTTTCTCTCGTTTTTGTTTTCTTTCAGATCAGAGAGGTTTTGTTTTTCTTCCACCTGAGAATCAAACTGAAATGGAGCTTCACTGGGTCTTCCTGCTGCTGGAGATGGTGCTGGTGTCCACTGCTGCTAGAGGTGAGTAACAGAGGTGCTGATTTCTAAAGAGACTTCGAGCAGTCACCAGTAGAAAGATATTTTCCAGTAAGAAAAACCACTGCAGCTGGTTTTATCAGTGAGCAGTGAACTTTTAAAGTAAGGTTTCAAAATGTGTACTGGTCACTCAGTAGCGTCACTGTGGGGAGGTTTCCTTTTATGTGTTTGCATTTTTGTTAGAGGATGTTTGAAACATTGTGTGATTACGTTGACTGCTCTGCAGACACAACAGTGTTGCTAATGCAGAAAGCATGATGGGAGGAGGGTTTGTCTCTGAGAAAATTGTCTCTTTTTAATCTTTGTGCTCGTAAACATTTGATTTCCTTCACTGACTTATTCTGAATCGATGCATTTGCTCGGATTGTGGAATACCTGCTGCAGACACCTGTCCTGAGGTGAACTTTACAAAAGCTTTTGCTCTTGAAACTGTCTCTGAACCTCTTGCTGAAACTGGTTATTTAGTTACTTTTAGATAATCTTCCACTAGCTTGGCAGTAGTTTGGTTTTCCTCCTCCTGATAACTTTTTAAGGGGTTTAAACTTTTGAAATGCTAACAAAAACTGGGTCAGATACAGAGCGCTTCCTAGAACTCTGCGCCCTACCTTAATTTTTTCCAGTGAATCCTATCAGGATTAAAAAAAAAAACAAGAACAGTAGCTCTAGCCATCCTCAAGCTGCAGGCATTACAGGCAGACGCTCATAGAGTTGGCGCCCGTTCCCAAGATCACACCGATGATGAGTTTTCATGGGGAACAAAGCTGCATTCAGTGAGGCGAGGCCGGGCCAGCATGCAGACACGGGGCCGAAAGTAAACACAGGGCCGTAGACCGCAAAGAGATGAGATTAGATTAGCCTATTAGGGATGTTTGCTGTGCAACGCCACAGCGTTTCCTCCCCCTCACCGCCGGCAGTCTGTCAATGAAACCAAGGCAGGCGGCACAGAGGAGAGGAGAGGAAAGGAGAGAGAGGGTGAAGTAGAGGGCAAAATTAAGACTAGAATTGTTTTAAATGACCGAGGAGAAGGAGAGGAAGAAGGTAAGGAAGAAGGAAGAGTGGGGGGAAAATAGAGAAGAAGAGGACACAGATTACAGGAGAGGGTGTTAGGGAGAGGGCAGGAGAGCATGAAGAGGACAGAAGGAACAAAATGACATAATGAAGCTCTTAAAAACTCAAGTCAGCCCTTAACTTGTGATGGCCTGTACTTGAATGAGCGGACAGAAACTTTCTCTTATTGTAAGTGCAGAATGAGAACTGGAGACACTGGAGACACCAGACTGGAGCAGCTGGGGAACGAGGCTGTAGACGTAGATTTTTAAGAAAGCTTTTGCTTGATTTGGATTGGCCTCGGGCTGGTCATGCAGAGCAGAAAGTTTCAGATACAGAGTTTGTTTGTATGCAGCTCATTTAAAGGAAGCATAGTTGTTATTTTTAGTTATTGCATGTGAGACAGAGCATTGAGTCTAAAATGTGTTGGCTGTTGACATTGTGAACCTTATTATTGCGACAAGTATGTAAACAGAGGAGATATCTGAAGATGAACAAGAACAGTGAAAACATAGAGAGTGGAGGTCACACCATTATGTTGTTTTTGTCATTTTTTTTCCACTATAGTTGTTCAAAAATATGTAAACAGTTTCCAAGCACAAAGTAAACTTGTATTGGCCATTAAGCTGCTTTTCTGCAAAGATACAAGCTTTGCGGAGGAACAAATAACAACACTCAAACTATTAGGTCAACATTTCTCATCGCCAACAAAGTCAAGTCAATAAAAGGTCTATAACTATAGCTGCCTTGGGTTCTCAGCAGAGCTTAGGCCAGATCGAAAAAGAGCCACCTGAGCTGCTCAAATCAGTCAATAGAGATAATCTTTCACTTAAACCCGAACAAAACCCCAGTTCATCCACTAACTGGACCAATCACAGCCACTGTCTTTGACTATTTGCTGAAATGCCGTCGAACAAACCTTTCATTGAGAGCGGGTTTGGTTCATGGTAAGTTACACAAACTCACAGTTACAATTTCCAGACCCAGGGCACCAAATTAAGTTAAAGTCAAGAACAAATTAAAGAGAAAACCGGTGCGCCCTGGTTGTTTTCCCCCACTGCGCTGAAATGATACAGAGGCTCATTTTAATTAGTGACGTGAAGACCACTGAGATGTTCCACAGAAATATGCACACCAGATAGGGGTCACTCAGGGCAACAGAAGTGGTATGTAACAAAAAAAGGGAGCTGGTGTTAAAGGACACATTATGACATCCAAAACTGAAAACATGGGCTGTTTTGTTTCTCCATTTTTTGGGAATTTCCCATCATTTTTGGAAAATGTAAGGCGGTTTTGTCAAACAACACATTAATATCTGCACTTGAGTCACTGAAGATTTTACTAAAACTGTGTTAAATATTACAAGGAAGAAGTAGTTGAAGGAGAAATGGCTCTGCAAGGACATGAAAACTTTCCAGAGAGGTCAAATAGTTTGAATCATCGCACTGCTAGTTGCTTTATCTTAACTCCCTTTGGACATTTAAAGACTGAAACAGAGAGGGTAAAAGAGAAATTTTAGGAATGGAGGCAAGGAGTTGAAGAAAATGAGATAAGAAAACACTGATAAAAAAGGAGGAAAGAAAAGCAAGAAAGGAAGAAGATAAATCCAGAGAGTGGAACATAGAGATAAAGAAGTAACACTAATGTCCTTACTTTGGCTCATTTAGACTCGCATAGACTGCACGCCAGAGGCTTACACAACCGCGCTGTTTCAACCAGCGTCTGAACCTCTGAGTGTGTGTATGAGCGTGTTTGTGTGTGTGCAGTTGAGCATGAGACTGAGCAGCTGAGAGATTAGCATTCTCCCCCGTTAGCCGAACAACACTGAGCTTGATTACAGGGGCCAGAGAGTAGCTGTAGGTCAGTGCATTCTTGGCTGTGGTCAGCTCCAGACAAAGTTAGGATCAAGTGTTTATACCTTTCATACTGTCAAACGACTCACTTTACATCGTAGGAAAAAGTGGGTTTGCCTTTTTTAAGAACATTGCGATATTTATTCAGAGTAAAACAATCAAATATGGAGTCCTGGTGGAGGTACAGTCAGTTATACTTTTCCAAGCAACTTCTTAGAGTCCAGTTTTCTATGAACCTTGGCTATTGGCCATATAACTAGAAAGTACAACATTTCATGCTAACGATTTGAAGTTTCATCACATTTTAGATCACATTTTACAGAATAGATCTAAGAGCTTTACAGTTGCATGTAAACTGCATGTTGTTTATTTTGATGAACGCTACAGAAGTCATCATCATGTTCAAACATCTTTTTTTCCTTTGGGGACAAACCCCATCCAAACAGACCAAGTCTTGTACACTAGTGTGACTAACATTGCTCATTTCATGGTGAATTAGCATCAAATTATTTCTCTAATAGCTGCAGACGTTCAATATTTGAGTCTATTTTGAGCATTTTTTCCATATTTCCCAAGTTCAGATAAGTTCATTGTACCCTCAAATCTTAGTTTGAGCCACAAGTGTTTGTTTGTTTGTTTGTTTGGATCTCCATTGGCTTAAGCATCAGTTGTTAGGGTATAACAGCTTTCCTCTATGTCGCTCGGCTCTTGCATTCAAACATCTTACCTAATAGAAGTTGAATTCTAAGAAAATCAGTATCTTTCAGGGATTTTGATGTAGGAGATTGGACAGTCGTGATGAAGCGTTTGTCTCATGGTTGCTCATGCATGTCTGCGGATACCTCCGCACACGCACACATACGTTAATCGTGCGTGTGATGTGCGCTGCCACGTGCATGTCAGATGGTTATCAGCATGCCTGGTGGTGTTTATGTGAGCCAGCTGTGAGACACTATAATGGTCAATCAGCTCGAGCTGGACAGAGAGGGTAGAAGGTAAAAAGGATGGATTTTAATTTCCGCTTGTTTGTTGAAAGTAAATACAGCTTGCATCATCACATCAAATTCTGCTGACCCCCGTCTTTGAAGCATGGAAAATTAATTGTAAGAACTGTGATGATGATGGTGGACATTGTTTCCTGATGCGCAGACTGTCCAAACAGTTAAATATTTCTCAGATGATTGTACCGAATCGACCACCCGTTTTCCAGAGGGGAGACCGTAAAAAGGAGACAGAAACGAGGGGGTTCGTTTGTTGTGTAAAGAGCCGCAAACACATTTAAAAGTGCGTCTTTATTGTACTAAAGCTGCCAAAATAGAGACAAACATTTAACAAAAGACGAAGAAGAGAGAGCGTCTTCACCGCAGACAAAGCCAGGCACACAAAGCTGAGAGTAAACAATGTTATACACAGATGCTCCAGAGGTATACAATGAGAGGATGCAGCCTATAAATATGACTGAACACGTGTCAGCACACAAGCTTAACCCACAATCACTTTACTGCCTCCTGTCCCAAACACTCATTACAGAGGAATGTAATTAGCACACTAACACTAACAGCGATGGGTAGGGGAGAATTGTGGTTAGCTTAAAAAGGCCGGAGGAGGAGGCACACAGCCACAAGAGAGATGAGCAATGGGTAATTAGTAGAGCTTTTAAAGTTCTGTTGAAAACTTCAGACAGAAATATCAGTCTAAAAAAGGCCTTGAAATCACATAAAAACATGCTGGAAAAATAGATTTTAAAGCCCCAAGTCAAAATGTTTGTTCTGCATGGTCCATTTTCAAGACCAAAATACTGCACATGAAGAGGTGCTATCTGTCATTTGTTGAGTATAATAACACAATGCTAGAACTACAGTGCAGCGGGTGGCTGTGCTAGCTGAGGTACAAGATATGACTGACATTTTAGGGTAACAATGTGAAGATAATTAATCAATTCTTTAACATACTAGTTATTTTTTCACTAGCTGGTGTCTATGACGATGTTTAATTTTAAATATCTCCTATTATGGCATTTTTCATCAAGTTTAAATCCATCCCAGAGGTCCCACAGTAGTAAATTTAAAGTTTGTTGTCTAGAGCACCAGTTTATTTGTGGATATCAGCTAGCCTGTATCCCCCTCTTTTTGAGCTCAGATGAGAATGGGCTGATTCTGCGCCTGAACCTTTATATGATAATGAGCTGTGTGTGACTACGCTCTCCCTCCCCAAGGCTACACTGCTGTTGAAAGTACATAACAAGGCGAGATAATCTAAGTTTTCCTTACCATTGGATGGATTCAAAAGCGTGTGCCTTTTAATTTCATTCAGGCTGTTCAGCTAAATCAAAAACAATAGCCCTCTGATTCAGAATATTTGCTGTCCTGAAAATATGACCTTCTCTACCTTGACAGTTTATATACCCAAATAACCTCTATAAGTCTATTTTTCTGTTCAATTCAGAGTCACCAAGTTAATCTAGACATGGTTATAACCTGCTGGGTCGACTCAAACCCTGAAAGAAAAGCAGAAAAAGTTTGATTAAACACTGAGTTTCAAATGGAGCTGTAAGTTGTGGTTTAATACTTTGACTATCAAAGCTCCAATCAATGCTTATTGAGATTTGTGGCACAGTGAAACGCTCCTATAACTTGTATTGACTATAAAGAGCACTGATTAAAACAGACACGAACCAATAATGAACTAAAGAGAACAAGCATTGTAAGAAGTTCGTCTTTATTGCATGGTGATGGTTTGGTTTATTGGTTGGTTTAGACTTCATTCACTTTGTTGTGTTTTCCCCCCACAGTGCTCTGAATGAACGCTGCCTAAAATAAGCACCATTTAGCCGCTGAATTAGAACATATTGTGTCAGTTGTGGCGGGCTGGCTGTGCGACTGGGGGGAGGAGGAGGAGAAGCTGGAGTTGGAGGGGGGGAGAGCATCTTGATTCCTCATTGAGTAAACAGCTGCATACCATAGGCAGATGCTTCAAACGCACAGCTTCACCTCATTGTAAACACACACTCTTATAGTCTCACATCAGTGAATCCCCTCCGCCGCACTCCTGGTTTTTCCAGCATTAAACGCGTCCTGAGTCACAGCTCGCCGTCGTAAATACCATTTGACGTGCTGATAACCATTATATGGCCTGATGTTTGTGGAGGGCATCTGCTAACCATCCTCTGCGTTTGAAGGTAAAAGGAAAAGGTCCAGATCCTTCCTCGTTCGTGGTGGTGTGTCAAGAAGAGGGCAGATGACCGAAAAGTTGTGTTGATGACCATTTTATTTTACTTTACAATCCAAAAATCATTTCTGTCTGTCCCTGGATTAGCAGACAGTTAAAGTGGAAATCTAATAAAGGCCAGAAACTCATTTGAATCTTGTAGAAAATAATCTTTAAAGTCCTTAAAGTCTATCTTAAACTCCTCATGGTGTAAATTTGGACTTAAAATGAGGTAAAGCAGAAGCAGTGATTGCATGTATGTTGTTGATTATGTGGTGATTAACAGATAAAGGGCATCTTCAAAGGCTTTAAATGACTCCCTCAGTTCCTCTTGTAAATCCTAATGTCAGGGCCAAATGTGGTCTGCTGCGGCTGTTTGGACAAGCAAAGCTGCTGCAAGACGAACAGTCCTATTTGGAAGTTTGCCATGATGTTGTTCCTATAATGAATTATATCCTTTTTTTGTTTTTCTTATTTTGTGTTTTAAGTTTGAGTTCATGCATTTCAATCACAAATTTACAGACATGCAAAGAAATCTGCTTGACAGGGAGTGAGATGTCTCTTAAGAGTTTCTTAGCCTCAAAATAACATCACACATACTTGTCACTTTCTTTGTTTGGTGCTCTTAAAGACGGTAACACCACTAACATTTGCAGAAAACAGAATGGGGATGTTATCAGGCACCCTCTTCACCCCCACACTCCACTTTTACAACGATCTCTGGTCCTCCTTCCTCCAGTTTTACAGGGCCTGTTAATGTTAAAGGCTATTAGCCCACATTTAGATAAAGTCAATGTTTGCTTTGACTTTGCTAATGGCGGGGTATAATGGGGCTGTCTGGACGTCGTCTGAGGGAGCTGATGATCTGTCGTAGTGATGTGAAGATGTGATGTTTGTGGAGGGGGAGGGGGTGGATAGATAGGGGCAACAATAGAAGATAAGATAACCAATGCTGAGGAATAATGAGCCTTTATTTGATTGTTAAGACACAACTCATGCAACATATTATGAGTCTGTCATGTGATTTATCTCAGTCTGTGAGCTGTGTGACGTCTACAGATCGTCACATATTGGACCTTTAAATTGGATGCCTTGCGCTGGTCAGTGTTTACATTTTTTTGCACATTGTCCCAGGATTCAGTCTGATTTATTTGCTGTTTATTGAACAGGTTAGGACCTCTCAATGATTGGAAAGATAGTTCTGACCAATGCAAACCGAGTTGAGACTTAAGGAAAAGCACTTTATTTAAACTCACTGTATATGCACACAGCAGGTATGCATAGACATAAAGTTTAGTGTGTTGGCTCATAGTTGCAGCAGGGGTGAGTGTGTCAGCAGGGGAGCACATGAGAGTTTGCTCTTTCAAGGCATGTGGATATTCCCAATTCTTCCATCTGTTGTTTCGGCATTTGTCTGCAGTTGCTTTATGAGTTCACAAACAACATATCCATATGTCGCGTCCCCTGTGATTGTCTTGCAGCTCACTCGGTTTTGCTGAACGTCTATTCTTGCGTTTAAATTTGTAGGCATCTGTTTTTTTTTTCCTCTTTGAATACGATCTCATATACATTTCAAAGTTTCTCCCTCTCTCTCTTCTGTCTCTGTCTCTGTCTTCACGAGCTCCTCTGTCTCTCTGTCTGTCCTACACACTGCAGTATTGTGTGGGCTGTGGCGCCACAGTGCTGTATTGTGGTCTCAGTGGGGTTGGGGTATGTTTGGTCAACGCTACAGCACTGCAGGTCGGAGGTCAGCTTGTAGATCAGGGAGGGGTCAGAGAGAGAGTGTGTGCGTGGGGTTGGGTGTGTATTTGTATATGCATGTGTGTGTGCTTGTGTGTGTAGGGTCAAAGAAAGCACATGCCTGCACCAGAGGAGACTGTAATAACACACCAGGATCCCCACAGGAAAACACACACGGCTTTCACTCCTTTATCTCACTCAGACCCTCCCTCTGTCACAGCTGAATAATCTCATTGACGTGAATTTCACAGACAGTTTTACCAGAATTTGTCTAATCTAATAATCGTATTAATCCTGTGAAAAATTCTCTCTTTTGATCATGTTTCCATCAAATGTCCCCCGAGTGGAAAATCTTGATTTTATGGGTTAATTGTGCAATTTGTAACCCCAGTCATGAGCTTAGTCAAGCTGTCATGCACTTATTTGATTTTTAGTAAAGATTTATAACAGTCTGTTCAAAATATATTACAAATCATGGAGGGACTATTCACTGTGAGGTAAAATTACTTCTTATCTAATCCACAAGCTCGTAAGTGTCAGCTTTGGATTTAATAGTTAACTCCCTCTGTTGGAAAAATAAACATTATGTTAATTATAGTTTGTACTGTATAAATATAAACATTGTAGTTGACTGAACAATTAAGTTTTATTACCCTCGCTGGTCCGCACCAGAATTACCAGTTAGCTAATAGAGTTATTGATGTGTTTTTGTTGTAGGCCTTGTACACACGTAGCCGGGTATTTTTATAAACAAATATCCAACCCCCTCCGTTTAGAATAAGGAGTCACGTACACACATCGTCGTTTTCAGCATGCCAGACCTGGAGTTGGTAGTATTTGCCAAAACGTTAGACCCATTCTGTCAAATCAGAGCAAGCTTCCCTTTCTCGTCGTCACCTTTCCAAACATGAAACATAGCTTGTGTGGACCGACAAAGAGGTAGGATTGCTTCTAAGCATCGTTTTAGAGTATAAAGTCAACAAGACACAAGAGAGGTGTAGGAAGGGTTATTTGGTGTAGAATAACCGACTGAAAAGCACTCCTTCTCCTTTGCTCCTCACAAATATATTTCTGTATCTGTGCCATCCACTGCCTGACATAAACAAGGGTGCATAGTATATGACATTTATGGCTGTGCTTGCTGTACTTATATCTGCCACACTTGGCATACCAATTCGGTATCATGTGTTATACCTTTTCAAATAATTTATGCTCAATTTTGACCAAATTTCTCAGAGTTACCTAATATTAGACCAGAGAGCAGGGTTGGATTTATAAGTCATCAAAAGAGGTGGTACAGGACAAATTCAGCAAAGAGATTAGAGGTACTACTTTGTCCGTGGGGGGTGTCAAAATCAAACTGAAGATTCCTTATAGGAGCTTTAACGAAGCTTTAGTTACAGATTGATTATTAACTACAGAAACCAGTAAACTTCTGAACCTGAAAACAGCCCAACTTCAGAGAGAGAATAAATAGTTTCATCTATGATATGTGTCAGGATTTATTTTCTATCAATAAAAGAACAAAATGGTGACAACTGTTCACATGTAGGTTCTGTCTGACTCACTCGTCTAACTGCCTGAACGTCATCTCTCTCCGATCTGTTTTCTGTCACTTTCTATCTCTACTTCTCTGACATTTTAATTCCTCTGCCACTTTTTTTGTCTGAGCTGCTTTTACTCTCCCTGACTGCCTTTCAATCAAACCTTTTCCAACCCCTTTAACCCCCCACCTACCACACACACACACACACACACACACACACACACACACACACACACAGAGCCTCCAGCTGTTATTCCTGATGGCGTTACAAATGAGATGCTGAAAGGTGACGGCTGGGACAGCAGACACAGACTCTTGTTTTCTTTCGGCTTGAATCTGTCAGGTTGGGTTTGATGGAGAACACTCACACACTCGGGGCAGCTGTGTGTGTGAGTGTGGTTATGTGTGAGAGTGTATATTTGTGTGGTTGCGTTATTAATTCTGATAGGCTTAACAACAAAGACACAAGACTACCCTACCTTTGTATCATTTTGTCAAAACAGCACCATAATTGCCTCATTTAGAACATGATTGACACACTATTGACAGTCCGCTGCCCTCTCTGTCCTTGGTTGTTTGTTAGCCATACAGATGACCTTTGACCTCAGGAAGCGGGGGCTGATCAGGGGCAGGATGCTAAGGCAGTGGGCTTTAGGAAATACTTTTTGTAAGCTCTGATGTGCTTGTTCTGCTGAGCTCTTATTTAAATATGCCAAGTCTTTTTGAAGCATTTAAACTTTTATTAGCTAAGATGTTGGTTTAACTCATCTGAAATGATGAGATTAAGGATATTTGAAGGTCAATAACATGTCTATTTATTTGTTTTTCACTGCTGTGATCTTGAGACACAAAAGCAGTAAATGCTCTGGTGCTCCTTCTTTATTTCTAAGGATCACAAATGGCAGCAGAAACAGTTCCAGGCTGCTTTTCCTTGTTGTGGCGGGTGTTTTCCTAAAACTAAAACATGGCACTAAGTTTAAAACCACAACAGACACGAGGGGACTCCAACACACTCGTCTTTTTACTCAGTGCCAGCTGTCAATGTGGAATCCATACTGCAGGGGGAATGTGAGAGGAGTGTGAGAGAAGTGGGGGTGGGCTCAGACAGTCAGGGACTCTGGAGGGGAATATATACGAGTGAGTGAGGCTGTGTGGCCAAAAGAAATACATTCACATCATCTGTAGATCTGTATGGTACTGGAGATTTTCATTTTGACATCATTTATCATTTGAGTGCAAAGCAGCATATGTTTAGTGGGAACAAAAGCTTCTGACATTTAGATTTATGGAGGACAATGACAAACTTTAGTGGGGTTTGCGGTTCAACATGCCCTCTCTGGACGTTTGAGTAAAAATCCAGCCTTGGCAAAAGCTTTAGTCGCAAATATGATCGTTTACAAATGGGGATACGCTACATTCTCTGTAGGAGGCATTCACACTATTGGAGCTGTATTTGCACATTAATGAGAAAGTGAAAAGGGAAACACAGAATGAAAAGAGATAAGTCAAATTTTGATTAAGAGGGCGCCCTAAAGTGATTTTAAGGTGTGCTTGTGGTTTATTATATGAATGCATGTGAAGAACATTCTTGATTGTGTTGTAGCATTTAGATGGTGCAGAAGGACATCAGCTGAGTAACTTTTAAAGCAGATGTAAAGCAGACTCATATTCAACATGCACTGTCACACTTTCCACTTGAACTGGAGAGATGACTGTTTCTCTCTGATCAGCTGCAGGAAAATGTAAAAATGGGAGCTTGATATATTTAGGCAGCCGAGAATATATCTGGGTGACCCGCCAAGGTGTCGTTTACGGTAACACGGCTAACGTCTGTCTTAGTCATATGTTGAATAAGCAGGTGAATTTGGCTTGAGCTACTGCAAACTGGCTTTAAACATGTGGTTTGGTCTTTTTCAGCTGTTTGAATTTTGAGGTTGAAGTTTATTGTTTGCATTTAGACATGCTTGTTTTAATCTTTCCCTGTGTTTTTGTACGTTTTACCTCCAGGGCATGAATATTTAAAATACATAGTTCCCGTCCGTCCTTTTCCTCAAATTCCTAATCTTTTAACCTTTTAAAAACATACATTTTTAATTTGTTTACAATGTCTGTTTAAAAGGGATTCAAGAGATTTAAGACCAGGAGGAGAAAGATGTTGAAATTTTACAAAAAAAGGTGAAATTCCAACAAAAAAATAGATGTGTTAAAAAAGAAGTTATAAGAAAAGGCTTTCTCGAAGTCCATAAAACAAAATCTTCGCTCTCATTTTTTCCTCCTCCCTGCTCCTAATACTCTTACAGTCTGGTGTTATATGATGTAAAGAATGTAAAGCCCTCAGTCACAAATCAGATTTGTGAGTTTTGGCTCCAAAAAGAGAAAAACTTCCCTCACTTGACCATGAAATTCACGCCACAAAGCGAACCGGACCTCCTGCTCGAGGACAAATACCAAAAGTTCATAACCTAGAAACGGAGACAGTTTGTTCTGAAACAATGTGATATGAGTATTTCTGGCCCTCACATGCAGCCAAAGTAGACAGTGCATCTTGTGTTGATTATTGTTAATAATCGGAGAATGGCATGACTGGCATTTCTTGACTTTTCTTCCCAAAGAAGCAGGCAAAACATTGACCCAATCTGTAAAAGATTAAGAATATACACAGTATCTCCACATATTTGTCACAGCCACAGTGAAATAACCCATGACATGAATCCCCTGCCAGTAAGAACACAGTGCTGACGGCTAGCTGAAAGGCCTTCAGACCGGTTAGCTGTATTAATGATTTCCCTCCACACAGCCCTTCATCACACCAGTCAGCTCAGCGCAAGTTTATCCGAGGTAATCCCTCTGTTGTGCTGGCACCATTATCACACTGGGACACAACAGGCCTATTCTTTCACATGCTATTAACAAAGGTACTTATTGGCTGCTTTCTGGGATTTAACTGGTGTGTTGTGCGGAGCTTTGGGGAAGGCAGCAGGAGGTGGAGCGGTAAATGGAGAAAGTGAGGAAGGATCAGCTGTGTGGTAGAGTTTAGGAGTGTGGCTGTAAACCCCTCTGGATTACATTTGCAAAGCTCGTCTGCTGGACGTAGATTACAGGGGAAGAAAATCAGTTTTCTCAGGTCTTCTTAATAAGTCATATTCTGAGGTCTGATTAAAACAACATGCCTGTTGTCAGCCAGGTTTAATGCTATTTTAACACTTTCACAAACAGTCTACCGTATTTTTTGAACTATAAGGTGCTCATAAAAACCTTAAATTTTCTCAAAAATTGACAGTGTGCCTTATAATCCAGCCCGCCTTATGTATGATTACTTGTTGTGCTTACTGACCAATTTTATCTGGTAAAATGCGCGCTAACGCTTTCTTTTATGGTACACTTGTTACCAGGTAATAAACAGGTAATTACCTCGTAACAACATGAAATTATCTGGTAATTACACGATAACTACTAAGTCAATATTGTCTTGCCAACAGATAGGTACCTTCCATCATCATACAAATTTGAAGCCGAATTGCTCTGGTATTTCCAGGATTTTCTCTGCTTCCTGGAACCACCTCGGCGGGTGAGTCGCTGTGATAATGCTCGGCTCAAACAGCGTATCGCTACGCAATCTTCGCACGCCCATAGGCTGTATTAAGTGTCAATCATAGAAAATAAGAACCCCAAATAGCTTTTGAAAATGGAGCTGCACAGAAAAAAGAAAAAAAGAAAAACTAGACAGTATTGACTTAGTAGTTATCATGTAATTACCAGATAAATTCATGTTGTTACTAGGTAATTACCTGTTAATTAGCTGGTAATATTTGTACCGTAAAAGAAAGGGTTACCCAATGCGCTCAAAAATCTGCCGAAATGTGTAAGTACGACTTTGGTAATCAACCAAGCCACTCTGCTTAATGGATATTTGGAGCATTACGGTACGCTGTGTCACTACCTGATCGGCCCCGTAACAGGACCCCTGAACAGTCTACAAGACTGCCTGACTGTAATGTCTAAACTAGAAGTGCATTCACAGTGCGCCGTGTAATCCAGTCCCCCTTATCGCCTGAAAATACGGTAGTTGTATCAGACCCAACCCATAAAGACATACAACATCAAGGCTTAAGATATGGACTGTTGATAATCATCTTGATACCTCTGCACAGCAACATTTTAACACGGACATCTAAGACTCTTTTCACACTGATTTGTTGGTTTTAACTTTGCAGTTTTAAATCAAACTTAAAGTTGAACCAGTCAGACGCGACTACGTTTATTACTTCTCCGTCACATCAAAGCAAATGCTTCTCTCTCAGCATGTCTACTGTAGACCCTGGATTATAATTTCTTAGCTCCTGATTGTAGTCACAGACAAGGTGATGGGTCCAAAGCAAGAGCAAGAGTTAAAAAATCACACAAGTTTCAGACAGATTAGTCTCCACACTGACAGCTTTAAGCGGAGTGATGACTGATTAATTTCAGACAGAATATCCTTTGTGTGTATGTGTGTGTATGTGTGTGTACGTGTGCGTGTCCACTTTCCGTCAACACTTCTCAAACTGTGTTCCCGCTCAGCCTCTGCATCATGGCAGTCACCGTATGTGCCCGGACACACACTGACAGGAAGTCTATTAAAGGAGTGATTCAGCTGGATGATGTTCTTCAACAGGACTTCAGACACAGTTTTTAAACCCCATAACTAAGAAGTGATGCTTAATTAACACTGAAGTCTCGTCATGGTCTACTGGGGTCAGTATGTCTCTCACATTACTGTTACTTCAGATTAAATACATTCAGAAATATCAGTTATTTTCACATGCTGGTTTAAAAAATGATTTTGGATCCACTTTTCAGGGTCTGTGTCCTGAAATGTTTTCCGCTGGCAGCACCCACAGCCCAGATTTCAGAGAGCTTTACCAGCGTTCACTGGTTAGGAATGTTGTCCTGCTTTCAGCTGACAGCTCTGAGAGCGCAGTGACAAAAATCATCTGATACTTTTACAGCATTTGGTTTCAACAGAAAATAGACACTGCTGGGGCAAAAATAATGACGTTAGTCTCAAGGCCCCTAACTTTGGATGAGTTAATCAGATATTACTGCCTTTCTGACCTGACTGCTTATTTGGGTGCAAATCTTTTATTTGGGTTTCACATATTTGAAGGTAAGATTATGGCAATTTATCGTTCATTACAGTAAAAATAGAGTAAAGAATGCTTAGACTTATCTCTTTAACCAATGAAAAATAGATGTAGAAGAAGCGCTGAGGGAAACTCCGGTGTTTCAAAAGTCAAAGGTCAAACTCTGTGGTTCAGTAAGACGTCAGGAGGGTTGTGTCATTCTCATCTGGGTATTCCCCGTCCTTAGTTTGTAGTTTCTTCTCTTTTAACACTTTGAGGGACATTTAGATGTCAATCAACATGGGTGGATTAGAAAAAAAAGCGATGCAGGTTAAGCACATGCAATCAGTCACACACACACCTAATCCCCTTTCTGACACACACTCACAGTAGGCTAAGATGAGACAGTGACCTGAGCTGAACAAATGGACTTAGTCACGGCTGAGGATTGGTGAGGAATGTGGGAGGGGGGCATGAGTGTGTGTGTGTGTGTGTGTGTGTGTGTGTGTGTGTGTGTGTGTGTGTGTGTGTGTGTGTGCGTGTGCGTGTGTGTGTGTGTGCTTGGAATGTCCAGCTCTCCACCCATTGAAGCAGAAAAACCCACAGGTGGAGATGGAGGAGGAGAATCAAGGAGGGAGGAAGGAGGTGTAAATTATGAAATGCAGCAGAAAGGTCTGAGGGGCTTCGAGTTCATCAAACTTGTGTTGGTTGTTCTCGTTGATCCTTCCTGCTCTAATCATCTTCTTCATGTACAATTTGGCATTTATGCAGAGATGACCCAGTATAGGCTTTCTCCTGAAGAAACCTGAATTGAGTTTCCCTTCAAATACAAGTGCATTAAAAAATGTATTTAATAGTATTTTGGAAAATTTGACCAACATTACACCCTCTACTAGCAATGTGCAGCTGTGATTCGTCAACACCATGTGACCATTTACCTGATACAAGAGGATTTTTTGCAAAGATTATCAATTTTGGTATCAAATCAGTGTGTTTTGTTTGCTATCCTCCAAAACTAATGACATCTAAAACTAAAAAGAACTAATAATCAAAACTTTATTGCACATCCCTCAGATTAACTAATAACTCTATAGGGAACATTTTAGTGTTAGTGACTCCCACTTAAACACAGCTCTTCTTGTCATCAATTATAAAACTACCTGGAAGCCAATTACACTTGAACCAATAAACCAGTCTGTCTATTTCTTCAGAGTCAACACGAGAGGCTCCTTTACAGCAAATATCCACCTCTGTCCCTAAAGAAGACCACAACAGGTGTGTGTGTGAGTGTGAGTGTGTTTAAGTGTGTTTGTGTGCTATCACTGCTGTTAATGAGTAACAGTGTCTGCCTCCAGAATGCTGATAAAAGTCAGGTCGAGGACACCGGTCTGTTTCACACACACACACACACGCACTTCAACACTCACACACACACACACACACACACTCCTCAACACTCACACACACACACACACACAGGCTCTTTCTGATCTTGCAGCAGCTATTTTTTGGCTTATCTGTAAATCCTGCAGCACTCTGCAGACACACAAAGGACCATAAGACAAAGACACACACACACTGTACTTACGTTGGTCAGATAATTGCAGCAGCCTGTCCAGAGCGGTTTACCACACGGCATATGTGTAGTGGTTCCTCAGTTCAGAGGGTCATTGCTAAGCCGTGTCCATGTACTGGTGACTGTAACCTGACAGTGACTGAACAAGTACACTGACCTGACCCCAGATTCCTCACATACAACCACAACACCTGCCACTGCTGCACTTTTTTTGTAGAGACTTTAACAAGCATTCGTTAGGGGTCACCGGGGAAGGTTAGGAGGACTGAAAGGGTCAGAAAACACTCCATGTAAAATGTTTCTCTGTTGCAGGAAAGATAAAAGATTTTAATTGTAAGAACTTAATAGCTACCCTAGAAAGAACAATTTGATATTATATTCCTTTACAGTTTGTTTAGATTAGATTTGATACATTTTAATGCTTTCATGTGTCAAAATTCTTACATTTTTAAGCTTTTTGTGTTTCTTAGAGAGCTTAGGTATCATAGGCTACGTTCATACTGCAGGTTATGATGCACAATTCAGATTTTTTGTGAAATACGATCTTTTTGTGCGGTCGTTCACATTACAACAACGAATGAGGCATCTAATGTGAATGGAATGCGTCCGTGAAGTGACCCGCATGTAGCCTGGCTGGGCCGTCTGGACTTCGGCCAACTGGGAGCGTGTATTAGCAATCAGAAAATAACCGGGCCAATCAGTAACTGTGTTTCCACTGTTACCTGGACAGCAGGGAAAGGCAGCCCCTGATTGGTCCATGTGTAGATGGTGATGTCTAACACATGCTGCAGGACTTTTCAAAGCGCCGTTCATTCAGAACGCCGTTTATTCTGCAGTTGACTTTGCAAAGTCAGCAGAAATCATTTAGATCCGACGTCTTCTGCGGATATAAACGACTTCTGCTGACTTTGCAAAGTCAATTGCGGAACACTTGATGAAAAAAAGATCTATTTAAACTGAAGAGTCAACTGACCTTGAGGAAACAAGTTAGCAGGTTTTAGTTTTAGCTAAGCAGACACAACGTCATGTGGTCTCTCTGAAAACCACTGCAAAACTAGAATTTTTACTTGTGGGAGATACGTGACAGAAATATTATGCAAGGGAGATATTTTGTTGGCGTTGATGCACCTCCATGCACATATGCAAGAAATAAGAGGAACACGGCTCAGCGTTCATTAACACCAACATCACTCTCCCATTTGTTCACATTGACACATTGACCCTGATTTCTTGCAGACTTTACTCACAGACATTCAATTTGTCTGTTTTCACACATGCAGCTCATTCAGAAAAAATCAGAATGGCAGTTGCGGTGTGAAAAGGACTATTCAGTTACATTTGAAAAGACAAAACTTAACTGCCTGTAACGATGAAGAGCATGAGTAAATCAAGAGTTCCCTTGGTGTTGAACTGCTGGTCCAGGAAGTTTGATGAGCCATGTTCACAGCTTTTTGTCACGTCTTCCAGTTGACTGATTCATCCTGAAAACAATCTGCTTTCACCTAATCTTAATTTGTAACCCAATAGTTGAAACCAATTCAAGATGACAGGACACTGTGTAAACCATAACAGCGCCTGCTCCCTGTCTATCTGAGGACTTACTGTGCCTGAAAATGAAACCCAGTCCCCAGACTCCATACACTGACCAGCCAGGAATAATACATACACACACACATACACAAATACACACACCGAACTGGAATAGTACTTGCGTCCTTTGACCTACTTTTGGTTCCAACTGGCCAGCTCACCCTGTTTATTCAGACTTTTTCTTCCTTAACTTTTCTTTCTCCTTTCACTTTTTGTCCCTCCCTCTCTCTTGGTCCCTTCGGTCTTTATTCCCTGGATGCTCTGATTTTACTGAGCATGATTTATGAACTCATCAAAGAGGCCCCAGATCTTAAAGAGTGATTCCTTATTTAGAAAATAAGTGAAGTAATCAGGTACTGCTTTCTCATTTTTGCAGTATATAGAGTTTGCTAAATGCCGGACAAGGTTTCAGTCCATGAAGGAAAGGAAAAACTTGATCTTTTGATGGAAAAAAACACACATTAGGCGACATGGATTTTATGGCGACCCTGTCACCACAGGAGACAGGTGTGATGTCTTTAAATGCTCTCTGTCAAACAGTGTAAAATCTAAATGACATTTCCTCTCCCTCCGTGAAACCCTGAAGTTTTAGAGACATCTTTATTCGTGAGAAACAAGCAGATCAGGTTTCAACAAGTAGTTAATGGACCATTAAGGATGTCTCTAACTCTGTCAGTCTGTCTCCTTCTGTCTCTTTCTCAGGATGTTAACAAGGTAATATTCTGTTTCGCTTCTTATCCAGGGTACTCATTAAAACGTCAGTTTCTCGTCCAGTCTACAGTTGACCTGTAAATCCTTAACTGTAGCAGGTAGTTGTTTGTCTGGATTTGTCCCTCCCTCTCTATCTCTTCCTGACTCAATCCTGCAAAGGTGTAAGTGTGTCTGCATATGCATGTCTCCTGTCTTTCACACGTTATTTTCCTCCCTTTTCATCCTTTACTTGACTTTCTTCACTTCCCTTAATCTGCATTTATGTAATGGGCCCACACTGTTATTACACACGCACACAAGTGCATACTGTGCATGATGTGGTTTCCATAAAAGCCTTTATAAGCTTTTAAAGAATGTTCTCAGTTCAAACCGCCTTCAGGTTCTCGGTGGTTTGCAGCTTGTGTTTTTTTGTCCTCTTTCTCAGTTTCCTCAAAAGCCTGTTTCCACTCTTTTTCCCATGTTTGAGAGTTCTCCATTTTTCCTTGAAGAGATCAAACCGCAGTTTATTTTTGGAGCTCAGGGTGCAGGTTTCACAGGTATTTTGAATTCATTTTACCTCCGAAAATCAGAAGCCAATTGCATGACAAGCTGTTTTTTTCCTTCCATTAAATTAACCTTACATTTGGACCTCTCATCTTTTGTGTAACACAGCATCAGAACAAGGGATGAATAAGTGAACTTTGCAAAGCTTGTAGGGTTTTAATCTTGCAAAGACATTAGACTGATGGGCCCACGCTGTGTGTGTTTCAAAGATACCTTTCAACTTCAGCTAATGTTAAAGTTAGGGGTGTCCCAATACAACTTTTTAACCTCAGAAATGATACCGATATTGCGGCCTTCAGTATTGGCCAATACCAATATTGATCTGATATTGGCACAAACTTGTGCATGACAAGTTTTGCACTCAACTACAACACTGTTTTTCTGACTTAAATGAAAAATACTGACACAAGGCCGACATCACTCATACTGCTACCTAGAGGTGCAGGAGGGGATTCTGGAATGGACCACTTGTAGGCCGATATAATCCGACATTGGCTTTTTTTTTTTTTTTTTTTGATGCTATCGGACCATTATCAATATCATATGGTTAAAATGTGGATATAATGGTTGTTTAGCTCATGAGAAACCTCCATCTGTATCTAACATAAAATCTCTGAACTTTAACGTCCTTGGTAATTAATTAAAAAAACAAACCAAAGAATCAGGGGAAGGCAGCCTGGCAGCTAAAATGCTCCCCCCATGTACTTTGTACCTGTCAGAATCTCTGTGAGACTCCACTTAGGTTATAGGTTTTATCCAGATTTGTGCTGACGAACTCGGACATGCATGCATATAAACCAAATATAATACAGTAGGGCTGGGCAATAAACCAAAATTTACGACATAAACGACACCACTTAGCACATGTCAACAAGATATTTGGTGTCAAAAAAATAAAAAGTTTGTTTTGGATGTGTGTAGGTAGGCTATGGTCTCATGTCCCTTTAACACACTGTCCTACGTTGGAGATGTGACTCCACCCCATCCAGTCCGTAACAAAGAGGGAAAGACAGGTGAGGAGACGGAGGACGGTTCAAAAGTTGGAGCGGCTGGAGCGGCAGCTGAAGTAGACAAAGTTAATGTAGGAGGGGGTGAGCAGCTTGTGGAGGAGTTATCGTCCATTTATTGTTATCAAGGTGAACTGCTCAATATATCGTGATATTGATTCGATGCCATATCGCCCAGCCCTATAACACAGTAATATTTAAAAAGTATAGTGTACAGGTTGTTACACTGATTTTGCCTCTTGGCTGCATTTAAACACTGGCCTCCATAAAGAAAGTATTTCATTGGACGTAGCATCTTTTACCACAGAAGGGAAATACTGTAGATAACTGCTAAACATTTTAAGTATACTGTTAAAGATAAACACACTGTTCACATTGACTTAAGATGTGCTTGAGTGAAGCCTTGTTGGTTTACGTCTTTCAGACAATTGATAACCGTTTTCCTTGTTGGCGTTTTCCAAGCAGGAAAGCATGCGATGACTGAAATCCATAGGGCTATATAGAGGTTTAAAGAAAGAAATGTTGAATTGCACTGAGGTCCAAACCACAAACTGGCTTTAGATTGTACCAAGCTGCAGCAATAGCTCGCAGCAATCATGCAAAGAGTCTAAAAAGAAAAACTTGTGGTTAACGTTTCAGAAGTTATCACAGCTATTTTTCCCACAGTTTTTGAAACGCAAGATAAATGTCAAAGTGGCATAATGTCCTTATAATTGCCTTTTCCTTTTCCCTCAGCTAACTGGTTTAATGGCGTTCATAAATCTCCCCTGTATTTATTTGGGAGAGGCATGTCATTAAAATGATTCATGCCTTATTTCAGTCCAGCATATTTATTACCCATGTCAAGTGTAAGCTCAAAAGGGAAAGGTTCGCGGTAGATTTTGCACCTTATCGAACCGATTTCACCACATTAATGTGAAATTGCAGATGCTTGTCTTTGTTTTTGGAGGAAATAGTGCGGTCATATAGCAATTTGGTATAATTTGTTCACTTCTGGAGGTCACTTTGTTATTTTAATCATCTCTGAGCCTAAAACTTCTCCACACACCAGCTTGTGCCATGACTCTTTGCCCATAGCAGCGTTATGCCTCGTACTTCATCCAGATTTTGAGAAGTTTGCAAACAGGTGTAGCAGCCAGGAGAGAGGAAAGGTGCTGCTATTTAGGAAGGGTGTAGTAAAAAGGAGCAAAGGGGTGAAGGCTGCAGGCGATGAAGCTGGAGAGAGTATCAGGAGATAAAAATGAAGAGTATGAGAATAAATCTGTTTCTAAGAAAGCTCTTGAGATTGTGATCAGACCATAAAATATCTGATTAACTTCTGTGAAAATAGGATTGCAGATGGTTTTACACTTCTGCGTATGTGTGCGCCCAGAAGGCTGATGGTGTGAGTCGCTCAGTGGATCAGATTGCCCTCCCAACCACTCAGCAGATTCCTCGAAGTTTTTGTGGCCTGTGTGTGTTTTTCTTTTCTGTGTGTGTGTGAGTCAAGTGTAAGCCTGAGGTTATACGTGCGGAAGAGTGTGTGTGCATGTGTGTCATGTAGCCCCTCAATGATGTTGGGATATCCTCCCCAGCCTCAGGCCTAGTGTTAACTGTCAAGATAAGGTAACAAGAAGCAGTTAACCTGTGGCTGAGGTGGAAGTGACTGGGTCAGAGCGAGACACCGTGTGTGTGTGCAACTGTGCCGAAAGAAGACAACTTAATGTGTACCCTTCAGTCTGCCTGAAGCCCTGAGCCAGAGAAAAATCTGTGTGTGTAAGAGTGTGTGAGGCAGCAGTTTTCTAGGATGAGAAATAACAACAATGCACTAAATTCACCAAAGTTGTAGTTCCTCAACTGTCCTCTTGGAGGCTGGATCAAGAAGTAAATCAATTCCCATAAAAGCTGTATATTGAGGTGCCCAAATGGTTTATTTTCTCCATGATGGTTTTACTTTATGTGATAAATACAATCTTATATCCATATTTGAAATTATTTTTAACCTTAAAGCAACACTAACAAGGGGGCGTGTCTTGGTTTAATGACAGTCAGGTGCTGCTCGTCGTCTTTTACTTGTCATTTCTGGATTTCTATTTGTCATCTTGGCGCTGTATTTGGTACTCTCTGGAGATATCTGATCTCCCAAGAAGTCTTAACTCTCAATTTTTTAGTGTTAGCTTATTCTTGTTGGGTTCTTCAGTGTTTCCTGATTTATTAGTGACACAACATAACTCCGGTTTTGATTCCAAACTTTAGCTCCTAGCTCCATCTTCCTCTTTATTCCATCTCCCAGGCAGGAATTTTCTTTCACTTTACAGCTTTCACTCTCTACTAAATGTATAATATCTGATAAAATGATCTCAATCATGAAAATAAGATAATTAACAAGCTAAACGACCAGTCCTGAGAATGAAATGTGTAACTTAATACTGCATCATCTGTCACAGTGAACCATGATGCCAGACCCAAAATGTTGGTGCAATTGTTTGTATTTCAGCCGATGTGTGTGTGTAGCAAGTTGAGTGAACAAAAATTTTATTTCTCTTTGGGGATTAATAAATTCCCTCTTTTTCTGAAGTAAAACTTTATTTATAGACCACTGGGTTTTAGAGTGCTCAACAAGCTCGGACCAAAACCTTTTTAGGTCACATCAGGATGATTTTATGGTTTTAGACAGAGACAGAAAAAAAGTGAAACTGGAGGCAAACACTTACTGCCACCACGGAGTAGAGGCTGACATACAAGTCCTAAATCAAGTCCTTGATCACACTGGTAGCGTCCGAAACCTCCGGTGATTGTGGGTTAGGGGTTAGGGATTCAGTGATTCATTTCGGACACAGCCTAACACGCCTTTGAATGCATGCTCCCTACTCTTCTTCTGTCTTTTAGTGCATTTTCAGAGCAGCGTACAGCGCCACTAACTGGCTGGCATATGCACAACATCGTTTTTCAGTGGTTTCATGTTTGCGCGGATATTTCCTGAAACTATTCTGTCTTCACTGAAAACTTTTTCAAAATGAAAAGGCAATTTAACGTTTTTGTCTCCGTGTGGACAAGGCCTTCGTGCTGTTGTGTGTTATTATCTGCTTTTCTCAAAAACAAGCCAAGAACAACCCGCTGGCTTACATTTGTTGATATTTTATAACTCCTGCTAAGCCTCTCCCACCAAAAGAGATCCTCCACCAAATTGGTTAATAAAGGCAAATAATCAACAAAGCATATTTAGAAATGGGCAGAAGAGAAGAAACTGCTGACAGCTACGTCAAAGATCATGTGTTCGTATGAGTTTTAGTGGCTTCATCCACTTTTTAAAAACAGTTCATTGTTTGCGTTTTTGGTTTAGTGGTCGGGAACGACTGGAAGTGGTGAGACAACCAGCAAAGTCTTGAAGTGTTACGTCTGTGAGTGTCAGCAGTTTGAGCAAGAAAGTACAACTTATTTAATCTAATTCAGCGTTACCCAACAACTGATCCCTCCGGTCAGAATCAATTTAGAGAGTTCTGATGTGATAACAGGATTCAGGCTGGAAAAGAGAATTTAGATTTCAAAGAATAACAGCAGAGAATTACAGGGGTTCACCAAAAGCATTGCATAAATACTCCACTTACGGGTAATTTGAGACGTGCACACACAAATTCTCGATGAAGCACAATGTGAAGGGATAAACCTTGAACCTTTCTGAAAAACGTCGAGCTTAGTTCAAACCACAGAAGAGAGAGAGAGAGAGAATGAGGTAAGTGTTACTTTTAGGACTGATCCGGTAATAATGATGACCTTTTGAGGACCCAGTTGTCTTTCAGAGCTCTGAGAGTCCACACACACACACACACACACGCACACTCACACACGCTCACATACACACACCTCTACCTAGCTCAGTACATCAACGCTGCATCCCGCTGTTAAGTGCTCCCCATCAAAAGCATTCCTCGGCTCCCCCCCTCTCGCTCTGGTCTCACTTCCTTGCCAACAACAACGTTGTGTTGGACTCAGCAGACCCATCTGACTCGGAGACCAGAGGAACGTTGAGGCATTAAAAACCAAACTCAGGATCCAAAAGCAAAACACAAAGGGCAGCCCCGATCACCGCACTCTGCCAAAACATGCAACACAAAAATTGAGTAAATTAGCAGATATTTTCGTAGCACTTACCTCAGTGTTTGGATGCTGAAACGGTTTTCTCGGCTGCTTTCAAGAAACCTCAGTTGTGTTCTTACCATGGGAAGTGGACATTTATAGTTCTCTCCTGTCGGCCGATTATTGTTTTTTCTTTCTTTAAATGGAAATGTCATTAGTGACTCTGATTTGAACAAACAGCCCTGTGCTCAGTTTAGATTGAATTTCGAAGAAGTATGTCAGAAAGGGAACCAAAGGAAATCTAAAAAAGTTGTGTTTATGCCGACCTGGGATGTGTCTGCTGAGGTTAGCGTGGGAAAATGCAGAGCTGTACAAAACTGTCTGAACTTGAGCGAAGGGAATTGTCATTGAATTTATGGTTTTAATGTCATCTAGATGACAAAGAGCTAAAACAGTTTACAAACTTTAAAAACTATTCAACTCAGTGAGCAGGTTGTTTTTTTAAAGACCGTGTTCTGTTGGGTTTGATTCTGGCCTCTGGCTCTGTTCATGCAAGTCACTTCCCACTCTTTCTCCCTGTTTCCTGCTCTCTCCACAGCCCTGTCCTTTAAATAAGACAATAAATAACCATAAAATAGAATTAAAATGAAGAGATGTAACAGCAGGCCTCTCTCTTTCTTCTGGTAATTTGCTGCTTGTAACTGTATGTGCTTTTGAGTGCTTACCAGCCAAACGGTCAAGGATTGCAATTGTAAATTCATCAAAAGTAAAAGGAAAAATATATACTTGGGTGACTTGCCAGGTATCATCGTAGGAGAGAGGATTAGGGCCACATGAAGAGAGAAAAAAGTAATTACAGGAAGGAGATTAAAATCGAAATTTCAAGATTTAAAAAAAATGGAAATTATGTCAATGAAGTCAAATTTCGAGATTAAAAAAATGTCGAAATGTTGTGAGTAATGTAGAAATTTCGAGATTGAAAAATTAAAATTTTAAGATTAAAATCGTTATTTCGAGATTAAAGTCGACATGAATAAAGTCAAAGTTTCAGCTTTTTTAAATTTTGACTTAAATCCCGAAATTTCGACTTTAATCTCCAAATGGAAATTTAAAAAATCTCCCTCCTGTAATTACTTTTTCCTCTTCTTGTGGCACTAATCCTCTTTTGTACATCTATGTAGGGGAAACATGGAAGAAACATAACTAGGTTTGTTTGTTTCTGACCTTAATATTAAAAAAAGACAATCTTTTCTGCTCTTCAGTGTTTGGAAATAGATCAACTGTTTTTTACTCTATTATCTGTCTGATGGTCAATACTTTGTAAGCTCTTTTCTGTATGAAAGTTCTTACTGTTACAATTGTCTAAACATGGAGGGACCGCTGAAAGCAAATTTAACACTTAGTCAAAAGTGCTAATTTACCTAAATTCAAAGTAAGACAGTGATACAGTTTGCTTCTAGATACCTGTAGTTGTGTAAAGTTTTGTTGTTGTATAGTTCCCCAAATGATGGAAAAACATTGAACCATAACATCCTCAACAACCGCAGTCAGAAGTAAGGGGTCAAAGAAAGAGTGACCTCCTCCCTGCTTCATTTGGCGTCAGACTTCCTCCTTTTGCCACCATCCATGTCGAGGACGTGCAGCTCAGGGCTGAAGGTCCTGCCTCTGTGGGAGTTGTGTGTGTGTGTGAGTGTGTGATGTGGGTTGTGTTTTCCTGTCATTAGGCAGAATACCATAACTGTGTGTCTAACCTACCTACACACTCCATTCATATAATGAGAAAGAGATGGAGGCGGACAAACAATCCTTAAGATGCTTCTGCACCAAACTGTTCAGCAGACTGAAGCTGTTTCACTCACAGGTTTCCTTAACAACAGACAAAAATGATCAAACACAAAGAGAGAGACTGAAATCAGGGGTTTTCAACTTTCTGTAGACCTTCAGGAGCACTTACATGTCCAAGAGGACCCACACGTGCAGAGAAACCCACACACATCCACACTGACCCCATGTCCCGTGAAAAAGAAGAATAGATCTTTTGCTCGCTTCAGTTTCACCCCTAGAGACAGATTTAAAAAGACTTCACTCCGGTCATGGACCATGAAAGAGGAGGAGGAGGAAGAGGAGGGAGGAAGAGACGCCGCTCGTCTGTGTTCTCATTGGGGGGAGAGAGGGAGTAAAGGAAGAAAAGGGGGGAAAGGAAGAGGAGAGGTCAACTACCGAAAGTTGAGAGGTTCAGTTTGAGGTCCTGCCCTTGTGGGGAGTTGAAGTAAATCACTGAGGGGATGGAGAAGAAGAAGAGATACCACACTGAAGGAAGAGGATGGCGTGAATAAGTGTGATGAAAGAGAAAAGAGAGAATGGGGAGTAAGAGAGAGAGTGATGACAGGGACGAGGAGGTAAGGAGAGGAAGTGAGAGGTTCGGGGTAAAAAAGAACGAGGTAACGGGGGAGTGGGGAGAGTGGAGGGGAATTCAATCGTAAGAAAAGAAGAGATAGAAAATTAAAGGAAAATGACAGAAAGAGTGAATGTGCAAAGGGAATAAGACTGAGGGAAGGTAAGAGGATTAAAGAGGGAGAAAAGGGGACAAAAATGGAGGTGTGGAGCAGGAAAAGGAGACCAAGTGAGCTGTCGGGCCCCTGATGAGAAAGCCATACAGCTGAAGGAACACATTCCCGCGTCTAGGAGCCAGCAGGATGAAGAGAGGGAGGAGGAGGAGGAGGAGGAGGAGTGGAGGCTCCTGTGAATATGTCTGTGTGACTAATGTCTTTTTCACACATTTCACCTCCATCCATCCATCATTGTGTCCACCTCCTGCTCTCCTGTTAAAACAACAGTCCACTGTGACAGAAAACACCAGAGGACTACTGTAACTGTTCTCCGTCTCTATAATCAGCTTAGTGTACACTTCTCCACCTCACCTTATTCATCTCCCCACATCCACAGACGCAGACTGGAGGGATAAATCAAGATCTTTGTTTTATTTTGGTGACAGTTGACAGCTGGCGACTGCTGCTGGTCTGCTGTATGAAGTCTGAGACCGTGTGGGAAATCTGCCAGACTTCGCTGTGAAGCCATGGTGGTTCACGTTGCTCATGCCTGCTCCCTGAAGGGATCTAAGAAAGTCAAAATTAAAATGTTGTAGGTATTTTTTTAATAAAAAGAGTTCATGTTTTCTTAATCAGTGGTTGTAAAGAATCAAATATTGAAGGTTTATGGCACTAAGTAGATTTTAACATCAACTTTTAAAGCTCCCTTTAAAGTGGGTTTTTAACTTGACAGGAAATAGACTATCAAATCAAACAGGATCATTGAGGACTAGCCTGACCATTACTCATTTGTATAACAGGGTTTGCGCCACATTTTCATCTCATGAGGCCAAAAAGTTCAGAATGATGACAGTGTTATCCCAATATTTATATACTTATAAGCTATTCCCTGTCCTTTTTTATATTTAAACTGAAAAGATCCTAAACTGTTGAGAAAACTCATGAAGACATGTAGAGCACCTCATCTTCTCAGTGGTATTCATCCACACTCTGCAGTAAAAGCTGGTGTGAGAAGAGATTGTCTTATAAAATGCTCGTCTGTGATGCTTTTATTTTGACATTTTACTGTACTGCATTTAGGTAACTTTGTTTCCTGTAATGAAAATCATGCTTTTATTTTGAAATGAAATCTATGCCACTCCTGGTAGATCATAAGTTATAGAGCTGATTGAAAACAATCTCCTGAAAGGTCAGTGAGTATAAATATTCAATTTATTAGTAATAAACCTTGACCAAAACTTTAAAAAGTGTCTGATCATCTTTCGGAGGGCTGCTACAACTAGCTATTTAGATGTTCTAAATCACTAGAATCAGTTGACTAAAAAGATTAGTTCAAAGGATTCGTTCATCGAATCACCAAATCATTCAGTGCTTGGCAGTAGAAGCCTGCGACTCCGACCTCCTGAACTGATTCACAGCTGAACAGTTCAGGATTCAGTTCAGATCATAGCTTCTGGGACCGGGAGACAATAGTGTTTGGCTGTGTTGCTTTGGCAAACAGGTTTGTAAAAATGAACTTGTTTAAAAGTCACAATGTTTTAAGTGTACTGTCCTATGGTATGCTATTTATCTGGTCTGCTTGGTAAATTGTACTCAGTGAGTGATTTGTTCACTGAGTGTTCAGAAGAATTCACTCTGAACATGCACCGTTCCCTCACAAACCACTCCAATGATAGGATGCTGCAGGTTTATGCACTACCTTGTTAGTAAGTTGTTGTGGTGGCAATTTAGCAGTAAAAAAAGGTAGTTTTGTCCTACAAAAATGATTCCAGGGAGTGTAGTTCAATGTGTGATTCGTTTACCAGGCTTTGGTCCATGCGGTCCCTCGTTCGCCAGCTGCTCGCCTGGCAATGCTGCGTGCTATAGCATCTACCCTCCCAACAGCTCAACTGAAGTGAGAAATGAACGAATCACTTCTGCAAGTAATTCAGTTCAGTATGTTCACCTAAAAGATTTGGTTCTTTTGAACGAATCGTTTGCAAACGACACAACACAACATCTGGCTGCTTCATCATCTTCCCTCTACTTTAATCATTTCAAACTTGATTTTAACAAAAAAGCACTCACAGGAGCTTTAAATAATTATATCAAATATACAAAAGCCAATTAGAAAGAAAAATTCATCTGTTTGGATTTCAGATTTAACTTTGACTGTTTCTGTTGTCCTTGAGCATGCACAGAGTTTTCTTTCCTTTTGCATGCACTAAATTCTGGTTTTACTTCAAAGTGCAGCTGATCACCTGACCAATCATTTCTCTCGTGCTTCTGCTCCTTGGATTTCCTCGCAACCATACAGCCATGCTTCAACATTCTTTGGCAAGTAAAACGCTGCGACAAAAAAGAGCTGAAAGATCGCCAACACAACTACATAAAACAACATATGCCAAAGATATAAAGAGCTGGAACAGTCCTTCAAACTTTTTACAAAGTTGTTCAGGAGGTAGACCGGGCCTTCATCCCGATATCAAACTGCCCTTATATGGAAATATGCTTGACAGACTAATCACATTGCTTTTCTTTTTATCATTTGACCAGTTATTTAGCAGCGGTTGTCAGCACAGCGCATGCATGAATGACAGAAACATCATTAAAGGCAATTTACAACATATGAAGTCCATTTAGCATTTGGTTTAGCTTTGATAGTTTGAGTTTATGATCTGCTTTTATTTCTTTAAACATTCTGCAGATATATTATGAGTTTATCTTGGGTATCGAAAGCACTACAGCAACTGCAGACCCAAACAAGATGACATCATTTAGAGTTATGTACACCTTATTTCCCTTGGCTCAAAAAACGAGTTTTTCAACCCTTCTGCATTGAAAGCTCCTCATTAACAGAACCGCGTATCACGCTGCTTTAATTCTCTGATAGATAGTAAAAGAATGGAGGGGTAATAAATCTAACAGATACCAGATGTTTGTACTTCAGGTGTGTTTGCGTGTTTGTTGGATCTTGTGTATTTTTAGATAAGCCTCTATCAGGCACATTGTTACAATCAAGCTATCCTTTTGTCTTTTTGAAATCCTCCTGAAGCTTCAGGCCGTGACCTGAAGTGGTTTGTTTCTTGATTGTTTCCATACAATGCCTTTTGTAGTCTGTTAGGACACTTTGTTCCCTTCATGGTGGCTTTATGTGTGTATGTGTGTTTTAGGACTGTATTGTTTAACCCAGAAGTAGATCCACAGCGTGCACTGAACCTTGTTAACTCCTACAACCCTTCTGCATTCAGCCCTCCATCCTCCTGTTTGTCTTTCTTTGTACTGCTCTCCCATTCGCCCATAATTCATTCCCTTTCTCCTCTCAGACGTACTCCCTTAAATTCCATCCTCCCTCCCCTCTCTTCTTCTTACTTCCCTTCCTTCCTCTTTCTTCCTCCTCTATTTGTTCTCTCTATCACTCCCCACTCCTCTCTATCTCTCTGTAATTTCCTCTCACCTTTCCCCGGCCCACTCCTTCACCCCTTCTGTTTTCCTAGTGTGCAGTTTCACAGCCGAGCAGCTACCGAGCGGTCAAGGTCACGCCTGATTTTATGTCTCAACACGACATCCCAGTTGATTTTGGCAGGGCACTCTGTTTGCTCCTGAGGGGTTCTATTGTTGTCAGTGTTAAATGTCAGATGGAGCCAAGCCACGGTAAACTCCTTACAGGTTAAAGGATAATTCTCCTGTGTTAAGTGCCAGGTTAGGAGGCTTCTTTGGGTTCTGAAAATAGAGGAGAAAACCTCAGCCTGCAAATGTGGAGACGGGAGTCAGTCAGAACAAAGAGTGTTATGAAAGGTCATCTCAACCTCGCTGAGAATGTCTCCATCCTTTGACCTCTTAATGTGAGGATGTAGCCACCCATGATTGTAAGTCCATCCATTCAGTCGAGTGGACTGGCCTTCTAATAGATACAGAAAGTATTGAATTGACTGCTAGATAACTGGATTAAACCATTACCTGTGATTTTTTGCAGTTACAGTTCAGGTGAAAATACTGAGAGTCCAGTTTAGTCTTAGTCAGATCAGTCCCTAAAACTGGTTACACCTAAAAGCGTGTGCGGCACGTTCCTTCAGCGCTGCAAACACTGGATTTGACCCGTACTTGTTCTCGTCAATGCTTGTGTTTCCACAGGAAGCGCCGCAGTAGGTCTCTGCTCTGTCCAAGAAGTGTTTCCCCGCTCAGCTATCTAGTCTATTTTTATGGGACCACGATTCAGGCGGAACAAGATCGACCTTGCCTGGAATTCAAACACAGAGACATAAACCATCTGGTTGATTTCCAAATCAAACGCCACGCACAGACTCCCAGACGTTTGTCACATTTAAACCTGCAAAGAATTAAACATTTTTATACTTATGTAGCATGAGATCTCTGGCTGTGTATCTGCAGTAGATATAAATCCTAGAAATTCACGTAACTTTTTTCTTTTCCCATCCTCAAGGTCCACCCAGGGTGTCCGAGCGGGTGGCGCACCGGCAGAGCATCCGTCTGGGCCGCACCATGAAGCTGCCCTGCCCCGTGGAGGGCGACCCCCCGCCGCTCATCATGTGGACCAAAGACGGACGCAACATCCACAGCGGCTGGACGCGGTTCAGGGTGCAGCAGCACGCTCTGCGCATCAAAGAGGTGGAGACCGACGACGCGGGGACATACATCTGCAAGGCAACCAACGGGTTCGGTAGCGTCAACATCAACTACACACTCATCGTCATAGGTAAGTGCTTTGATCGAAGTTGAAAGTTACTGCAACTTGAGGCACAAAACCACATTCTAGTTGTTTTTAGCACTTTAACAGACCTGATGTACTGTTTAATTACAGAGCAAACCTGGTATAAATCTACTTATTCCACCAGTTAGACATCCAACTTTTTGAACTTTTGTTCCTCCAATTCTCTCCTGCGCTCTTCTTAATTATTTGGGTTTTATTTAGTCTACCTTGCTCACTTCATCTCTTATCATCTCTTTTCAGTCTTTACTCTGATTTTTCAGCCTTTCTTACCTCCGTCATCTCTTCTTTGTGAGTTTCTAGGCTTTAATTAGCCCGGCTCGATTGGTAGAGAGCTGGTGCAGTGACTAAAGCTGTGTATTTCAATGAGCCCCTGCTTTAGTCTGAGCTTGTTTGCATGTGTGTTCCTGTACGAGGATGAATGAGAGTTTGTTAAAGAAGAAGCTTTTTGTTTCCCCTGTTGTTGTGTATGTGTGTAGGACACTGCGTCAGTGTGGTATGGAATTTCACATCTGTGTGTGTGTGAGAGAGAGAAAGAGTGTGTTCCCTCTTCTATAAGAGACTCATTGTTGTGCCCTTTTTTCTCCATAATTATTTCCCTGATTTGCATCCAGACAGCACGTCTGCCAGCCAGTTCTTGCTCCCAACACATCAAATGCGGCTCGGTTGGTGGTCTGTCACATCATTGTGTGACGCTGTAGGAACCAGCGTAGAGTCATTTCTGGATGCTCTTTGTTTTGATGTGCCGCTGAAGACAGGTGAAGTAGTTTAAAGTTTTGCTTACATGGCAGCCTCAGGCAAAGGATGAGTCAAACAAATATTTGGTATTTGTCCAGGAAATCATGGTCTAACTCTGGAGAGAAACAGAAGGTTTATTTTATCTGCTTTGTAGGGTTATATTTTTGAGTCCTGTAGTTTATATACTTGATATAATCTCTGTAGAAGTCATTTAGAATAAAAAATATGTGGGTGTATAAGACATTGTCAGGTTTTGGAGGGTTGGCCCAGAAGGCAAAAGGTTGAAGCCATGTTCCTGTGTATGGACTTCCTTTACCTTCAACAAATTCCACCTCGTTCAGAGTCGATGCAACTGTGAAGCTCTCTCACGTGGTATCTGCTTTGCGACTCTGCTAGCTTCTGATATATCGGTTTGACTCAGCTGAGTTAGGACAGGCTGCTTATACAAGATTTGCCTTTAGGACGGAACAATTTGCCCAGACTCTGCGGGCCATTTGCCGTCTCAAACTGAGGAGTCTTAGTAACTTATTTACCACTAGTTGCTGGTTTTCTTTGAGCTCTTACTCCTTGTAGATACACAGTAAGAAACCCCTCTCAGTATTTAAGACTGGTAAATTAGGTGCACCAAACTACATTTTAAATGCCAAAAACCGTTTTAAAAGTACGTCTAGATATGACAAACTTTAGCCTGTGTATGATTACAATCACACAAAGTAGGTTTTGGGGGCAGGTTAGTTATTGCTTGCAAGTTGGTTAGTTATCAGGACAGAAGTAAAAGCGATTAATTATTTTTTCAGCATGTTTTCAGAGAAAAGTTGAGTATTTAAAGTCAACCAGACATTGCCATGCCTTCTGGATCAGCCTGTGACCCTGTGGACTCTGACAACCTTGCTGCTCAAATACAGAGTGTGTGTTTTGGTCTTTAGTGGGACACAAATAGCTGCTTCCCTCAACTCCCATCCATGTAAACAAAATACCTGCAGGAAAGACGCTATGTCCATGAGCATTTACACATGCAAGTGTGTGTCTGCACGCTCGGGGTATCTCTTCACCCCTCTGTCCCTCTATTATTCAGTGTGTGTATGTGTTATTGAGTAAGTTTGTGTGCATGTGAGTTAGACTACAGCCTTCTAGAGAACTTGAATCTCTCCATGTGGTATCAGTGATTCAAAGAAAGAGACGGTTAACCACAAATACTCTCTGCAGATCATAAAAAGTTACAGTGTGTAGGTAAATGAGTTTTTTGTAACACTGTCATCATATTTTAAATTGTGACTTCGAAGCAGTATTATGTAAACACAGATGTATATCGCAAACGTCATAAGATCGATATTAAATATGGAATTACAAGCAGCTAAAAATACATAATTAAAACCACTTTTGACAAATATTAAAGCTGAGATTCAGGTACCTGTGTCCTGATCAACACTGACATGATTCTTCTCTTTCCATCAGATAGTCGAAATGTATTGATAGTGAACTCAGTAAAGACTGGGATCGTTAAGGAGTCCACTCAGAACTAACATCAGAAAAGCATTCGCTAAATTAGTCTATGTTTGCCCTTTTCTACAGATAAATCAATAAAGATCAGCCATTAAGAGATGAACAGAATATAGATAGACTAAATGTCAGTGTCTCATGAGATATCATGATTTTTCGCTCTCATTGTATTTCTACCTCATGACTCTGGGTGGTAGCAGTGTCATCCGTCCTGAACTTTTGCATAGTTCAAATACCGTGTTCTACTTTTATATAATCATTTGTAAATCATCAGTTATCTCAGAATCTGTGTATCATGATCTTGTCATTTTCATGGATGTTGTGGGTATTGTGGTATCCACAGCTGATTGGCATGAAAGTTATTGCCATGTTAACAACTTTATTTGAACAGGTTTTTTTATGGCTACTGTAAAAGTATGATATTAAAATGCCATTTATGTAGGGGCCATGCTCTTTCTCTCCTTTTTTTTAGTACAATTTACAGCATTTGCATGGTTAATGATAATTTTATACCCCAGTAATCATTATCGGGGCGATCAAAGCTGTATCGGTCTTGTGCTGGACTTCAAAGGCGAGCTGGCATACAGAGGGCAGCTGGGTGGTGGTGGGTGTCGGGTGAGGGGCACAGCAGCTGCAGCTGAGGTCATCCAGGCAGACAGCTGCTCCCTCCCTCCCTCTCTCTCTCTCTCTCGCTCTCTCTCTCTCTCTCTCTCTCTCTCTCGCTCTCTCTCTCTCTATCTCTCTCTCTCTCTCTCTCTCTGTCTTTCACTCACCCTCTGTCTCCTATTCACTACCTCTTTCATTCTCTTTCACATATTTGCACATACCTCCTTCAGCAGAGTCGATTTAGCCTTCGTCCTCATCCCTGAACTTGAGTATTTTTTGCCCAAAAAGGATGGAAAGTCTTTAAGTCTCTATCAATGTTGTGGATTCTTCGACAGTGGTTAAAATTTTTCATAAAGAGGAGAAAATCTGATCAAAATAGGCGTTAACATGAGACTGTGTTGTCAACAGTTGTCTCCAAGGTCAAGACTAAACTTCTGCAAATCATTTCAGGAAAAGTCAGAGGTTAAACCACGAAAATGCAGAATGATTTTCTGAAATTCTTCGGAGTCTTTCAGTCAAGATAGAGCGACTTAAATGGAAAAAATAGGAGAGGAAACCCTCAAACTGAAGACACCAGATGCTTTGAAGTGTAAGGGGCTGCATCAGGAGCATTGCAGGTTGCATAAATGTCATCCAGAGATACTTTGTTGCTCTGTCAGGTCAACCTTCAAAGCGGCAGACCCCTCCCTGTAATTCCACCCGTGGATCATGCCACAGCATCTCCTCAGAGAAGCGGTTCGTGGGGTCACGGTGTTTTCATAGCTGGAACAATCTGCATAAGCGATGATGTCGAAAACATGAGAGGAACTGATGGATGTATGGGTGCAGTTGTGTCCGCAGGAGAAGTCTTAATCTCGTTATAATGGGCTGAAAATGAAAGCGCTGTCGTTTTGTTTTCTACTTTTTTTGTATTTTGAGCCTCTTCACCCCCTTCCTGTCTCATCTCCTCTCTGTTTTAATCCCCCTCCTCTCCTGTGTGGTCTCTCTGTAATGATCCGATACCCACTCTGTTTCACGATAATGAGCCCACACCTGTGTCTTATTGTCTGTCCCTCTCAATTTCTAACACAAAGTACCTTTAACACATTTTTCCTATTAACACCCAATCTCATTCCTCCTTCCTCGGTGGGTCGGTTCATTTTTCACCAGTCTACATTCTTAATTTGAATCAATATTTTCACAGTTTCCCATTTTTCCTGGACGTAATAGGATTTGATTGCTGTGAAACATCCACGGTACCATTTTCCCTGTGGTTGGAAGTGAAGGAAAGGCTTTTTTTTTTTGGGGGGGAAGGTTTTGTTGGCAGGAAAATTAGGAGATTCCTTCAAGTGTTTGCTCTTTTATTGTGTGTAACTTGGCAAATGTTTGCAGGAGTAAATAGTCTGTTTGCGTGTGTGTGCTTGCTTGTTTATGTGAGGGGTATGCGTGCGTGCATGCATGCATTGGTGTTCGCAGATTTATGGGACCACCAGTAAAGCCGGAAAAATGTCAATTTTTTCTGCTTGATAAAACCTCAACGTCCTTCAAGAAGCGAGCACCAGGAGAGCTCTGGTTTCTTCCCCCCAGATATCTGTCGCTCCTTTTTTTCCTCTCTCTTCTCCTCCGCTGTCCGTCTTTCTAACTCACTTTATGAAATTATGGAATTGTCTCACTCCTCCCCGAAGAGTGATTGATGATAAATTTATAGTTCAAACCAGATGTGATGACAATGGGAGCGTGTCTGGAGCGGGGTCGGGAAGCCGTGCGTAACAAGGAAGGAAGCAGTTCGGATTAGTGTGTGTGTGTGTGTGTGCGATGAAGTGGGCGTGTTAGTGCGTGAATGTGAAAATGCAGTTTTGCGTTTTAATTTGGAGAGTTTGTCAACACTTTTTTGAGGAAATAAGTAAGCAGCGCGTGGATTTGTGGTGATTTAAGAGCTCGGCTGTGGCAGCTGACATCTGGTCATAATCTGAGAACAAAGAGGGGAAGGAGAGGTAGAGAAAGAAATCAAACGTAAAACCTGTTTGAACCTGTTTAATAGATGAGCTGGTACATGATTTCTGCGCTCATAAAGTCGCAGTTTCATAATCAATGTTGGAATAAGACAAATGGAACCATAAGTCGAAGCTTGACAAAGGAAATAAACTTGAAACAGGACTGGAGGGAAATTAGTTGAAGGAAAAGTGTAGAGTTTTATATTTTCTTAAATGGAGCTCTGTGGTTACGTGTCGGGATTATTGAACTAAGAGTGCCAAACTCAACTAAACTCTAACATCATTTCATGCAAACTGACATCCCTGACGTCACACGGCTCAGTCCTGTCAGTCAGAATGATTCAAATCGATGTTGCATGCAGGCTAAATGATTTGAAATTTTGGCTTCATTCCACTTTTATTTCACAATTCATCCAAACGAGACTGCAGCTGTCCTCCAGCCAGAAACTAACACATCAGCTCGGGTTTCAAACCAACTTCATCCCTCTCCCTCTGTTCCTCCGTCTTGATACCTCCTCTGTTTTCGTGTTCTCAAATTACGTCGTTTTTAATTGAGATATCTGGTGCCTCGTCTGGAGAGGATGTAGAGGTGGCCAAGGTTTGCTGCATAATTGGTGTGAGTCATAGACACACACACACACACACATGCAGAAACTCTGTGTGTGTGTGTGTGTGTGATTGCAGAGAGCCTAAAAAACAATCTCAAATAACCCAATCTCCTTCACACACCCTCACCCTCCCACTTATACACACACCGGGGCAGCTGTGCCTGTCTCGCTGTATTTTTATGAATGTGTGTGTGAGTGTGTGTGTCTGTGTGTGTGTTGTGGATTTAGTGTTTTACCGCCACATTCTGCCGCTCAGGTTACACACGCAGCACTTTCTTACTAATGGGAGAAAAATGCGCAGAGTGAACCTGGAGGTTTGCAGGAACCGCTCAGTTTGGTGTTCAGTAGAGGGTTTGAGGCCTCACAGGGGATTTTTTTTAGGGGGGTCTGAATTATGATTTACAGAACATGAAAAAGATGCAATTTCAAACTGGAGACCAGAAATCATCGAGTGGTTTAGCCCCCCTGCCCTTGAATTATATAGCTGCGCTTACTGGCCTAGATTCCTGTCTAAGCTGATGTTTCTCTCCTGGGTTTCTCTTTTACTGCTGCTCTGCTGAATGATCAGGTTTGTTCAGGAGAAGTTTTTTTTAGTAGAGATGTGAATTGATAAGATTTTAACGATATCCATTTTCGATTCTGCTTATCAACTCAATTCTTTAACGATTCCCTTATCAATGCCTTTCTTTGATTTAAAAAAGTAGACTATAGGTTTTCACCGTTAACTCAAAATTTTGTTGAGTCTCTGATAACAGAAAAAGATGTATGCCACCTTCAGTCAGAGTCTAAAAATATTAAAATGACAAACTATTTGTGCAGCATTTATTTCGGTTGGTATTACCGTATTTTTTGCACTATAAGGCGCACCATCAATGAACGCGTCTATTTACATCTATTTTCAGACATAAGGCGCACCGGATTATAAAGTGCATTAAGCCAAACAAAGCAGTCAGATAAGTCCAACTTTATTTAACTCATTCAATAACTCTGCGAGGCTACGGTAGCTGCAGTGCTCCGACAAGCCAAAAGGATTTTAAGTGCGCTTTATAGTGCGAAAAATACGGTAAGTCAAATTAGGGTGACCACATTCTGGATCCCCAAAAAGAGGACACTACTACACGGGGCGTAGTCGCACGCAAATTTTTGAGGCTTTTTCGGGTTGGGTCAAGTGTTTTTTTTATGTGCTTTGAACTTAATTAGTCCATGCTACACAAAGTCAAAACTTCCATACAAAACCCCAACATTTAAAGGATTTTATCAACTCCCCCGGTCAAGGCCGGACAGCCGTCAAAAAAAGAGGACATGTCTGGATAAAAGAGGACGTTAAGTCTGGCGTGCATTGTAGGAATCAGAAGATTTAAAAGAAAGGAATCGTTAAGGGAGTCGTAAAGATAAAATGTAAAGGATGTCAATGGATTGAACCATTTGGAACCGGTTCTTAACAAGAACCGATTCTCGATTCCCATCCCTATTTTTCAGCCATACTGTTGATCATTGGTTCAAATCACCTCTGCTGTCCTCCATTCACTCTTACTGTGCCAAATTGTGCATCATGTAATTACTCATCAGTTATTTCGTGCTTTTGTTTTTTGGTCCAAAGCAGGTGAGGATTTCATAGTTGAGAGTCCACATGTGGTGTTAAGAGTAGGATGAGGTGAGGAGACAACAGACTAAAACAATCAGCAGATATAACAAGAGACTTGATGAACTTTCTGGCTGTCTCAATCTTCCTTTTACGATTATTAGAGCCAAAAACAATAACATGGAAATCTTGTGGAAAATCGTGGGGGGAAAAAACGGTGCTATTAGTCAAATCGATGAAAGCCAAGACGAGTGTAACTGAAAAATGCATCTGGCCAACTTGCATGTGATTATTCATTTCTCTCTTTTATATCTGTCACCAGCCCCACGACTGAAACATCTAAATAAATAAAATCTAACTCTTATCTTCCCCATGTGATTCTGCATCATATATTTTCTTCAAACACTCCATGACACGTCTTCTAAATGAAGCCCAAAAAACTCCCAAATTGGCTTGTTGCAGGTGAAGGTATAGTACTGCAATATATCTGACATCTCCCAAGTTAGGTGCTTTTCAACCACAGGAGCTTTCCCCAGTTACTAGGGACCTTTAGAGGAACTGTAGGAACTAGACTCTAAATTTAGTTCAGGGGTAAAATAGCTCCCCCCTGACAAGCCTTGCTCAGGAGTTAGTACTTTCCAATGGCCCAGGGACTTTAGGAGGCAGGGCCTGACAATTTTATTAATGTTTGTAAAAAACACAGGTCATAAATTTACATATAAAATACCGGTAGCATACACAGAGAGAGAAAGAGAGAGATTGTTAGATTCTTCAGACATTTTAAGTGAATTTTCCAACATCAGCAGCCAAAATTACATCTCAGATATGAAACAAACTTGCACATGAAGAGTAACAGAGAACTTTAGCTTCATTAACATTTATATACATCTTCATAAAAAGTTGGAAAAGCACACATAAACCTTGACTTGCCTTGACATCAAGCTCAGCCTTTCTATAAATCAGTCACATGCAAGCGCAGGAACACAGGTAATGACGACAGGACATAGTTATGACATGAATAATTTTTATGGAGCCTTTTATTATTACTCTGTAAAAGCCAAAACTTGGAGAGAAAAAAAGTTTGAGTTTAGGTTCAGGCGTGTAAAAGATGCAGCTGTGATTGTTCGTGATTTTGTATACATAAAATAAGTTAAAAAGACACTTTTGATGTACAGGTAGGACGAGGAGCGAGATAAGGAGAAAAGCGACAACGGTCTTTAGTCAAATCAAACAAACACAGTGATTCCCTGATATTCATCTTAGACCTGCAGCATTCAGGAACAACATTGGATGTCTAAACATACCATAGGAAAAAATATGAGCAATCTTGTCAGTTCAGTAGTTAAAGAAAAGATTGATTACAGATTTAAGATGCTGGGTGCGTCACTGTCACTGTTTCTGTTTTCATCTTCACACTCGTTTTGAGCACCAGATGTGTCCGGCACATATCGGTCTTGTCAGAACATCATACCGCCCGCACAGTGAGGTAGACAAAGCTGCTCCTCCGGAAATCAGGGTGGCACGGTGGAGAACAGCGATGTAAACATGCTGGTGCGTGTGTGTCTGAACAGAACGGAGTCCGGTTTCTAAAGCCGTTCTCCGCCTTGTTGTCGAGTCCAGCTGAGAAAAACAAACTCAGATGCACAAAGATAAATGTGCTGTGTCACCCTGATTGAACAAGACCGGACAGGAAAATGTCTGTTCTTTTTCCACAAACATGCTCACACACACACACACATCATAGTCTGATATAAGCAAAATACAGATGCACAGACACCTCTCAGGAGGGGCCCCGGCCTCCATTTCACGGCTGTCTGTCCCACATCCTCTCGTTCCGCCTCGTTTGACTTCCAGCAAAGACACGGAAAGAAGATGGACAGCTCGGAGACACAGAGGAAAAGACAAATAAAGCTCCTGCTTTTTTGTGGTTTTTTTCCTGGCTTCAGTTTAAAGACATGAGAAACTCTGGACTACAAAAAAAAAGTAATAATGAAGGTTTAGAGATTCACCTCCAAACAGGTAGTCCAAAATATTTCAGGGATAAAAAGAGCTCAGAGAAACTGAAATAAAAGCAATTTAAAGAGAAAGTCTTGATGCTTAGAACTCCATATTTACATTACAGTAACCTTAGTTATGGCCACAGATTTTAGTCAGCTGCCTTTTGGGATTGCATACTTGTTATAATCCACATGAAATAAAAGATAGCTATTCAAGGTAATACCAAATAGAGTGGAGTTAATTTCTGTGTTCATGTTTTCTCTAATTCAGCTCTCCTTCTTCTTTAAAGCGGGGTACACACATAAGGATTTTTTATATCTGAAGAGATTTTATATCTGTCACAGACCCCACACATGAAGATAAATAATCAGGCGTTGGACAGTCTTGATCGTATTCTGTGTGGTGTGCTCCAATGACCTCAACACAGCACACCACAAACAAAACGATTCTGTTCCACCACCCATCGAGAATCTCGCCCTCCATGACAGAAATTTTGCGTGATAAAACGTGATCTAACAAAAATTAAGAAGAAGAAGCATAGCAACAACCGGGAAACACAAGACGCAACATGGAAGAGGACACACAAGAGGAGGGTATGATGGTGGTTTTGGGGGTATTTTTGACAGAAAAATCTTGAACTAAAAAGAGAAGATTCAGGTAGGCCATGCTTTATTTTTATTGGCTTTATTTGGTTCCTTGTTCCTCAGTCAGCTCACTTCTTGATTGGCTACATTCCGCAATTCACGCAGTCATGACCTGGGAGTCGTCAGCTTTCCCCAGACATGTAAAGATTTCTGGTTGTAAATATTGAACAAGTCTAATATTTACAATTGTTGGCCCCGACCAGTTTCTGATTCAATTATCGGGACAAATTCACTTTTAATACACCTCAGACTACAGGATAATCTTATAGGATAATCTTAGAAGACATAAGATAATCTTCAGATTGTCGTCCTTGGTCGGGAAGGGGAAAATATGGACAAAAACAGCCCGATTATCTCGGTAAACACACCTTTTAAACATGAAAAAGGTGTCATTTTTAGCTGCACTTTTAAGGATGCACTTTCGTACGTGATTCCTGCTGCCTAGATTGCAGGACAGGATCCGACTCGATTCTCTACTACCAGAGATGGTTTAGGCCCAGTGGTGCAATAATCTTATTGTTTCTTGTAATGTTTCATTTTTCAGTACATCTCATTTTTGACAGCTTATCCATCTTTCTTAGCTCTTTGTCCTCTCTTTTTTAACCTTCATTCTTCTCACACACAACCCTCCTGCAGTCGTATTCCTCGCGCTCCACCAACCGATGGGAGATGTCTTTTCTCTCGATCGTCTTTCAGCTCCTCATTGTTTCCCCGTCTGTTTGCCTTCATGCTCCATTTACAGCTGTGTATGTGCATCTGTGTGTGTGTGTGAGTGAGTGAGTGAGCAAATATGGCTTGGATCTACTGATTGGATTCCAAGTCAACCTCTCACAGACCCCTAATGGGTCTTAAATACCCTCTGCTAGGTTTAACTTCAATTCTGCATATGAGATGCCATCTGTCTGTTAGCAGGCGTTTTTTCTTTTTTTCCTTGAGGCCAGAGCAGTGAGTCATTCTGAGGGGAAATCCACCCTAAAACAGAGGTAATGCAGATGTTCTTTATGAGCCGAGGAGTGTAAATGCTAATGAATCTCACTGAAGCTGAAAATCTCTCTAATTACGCTTCTTTAATTGAATTCTTTTTCATTAATCTTCAAAAATCCCCTGATTGAGTCTGAGTAGAAGCACCGACTTGTGTTTTTTGAAGTGTCTCTTTCATTGTTAGTCTTTCCTTAATTATGACGTTTTTTAGGAGGGTTGGAGTTTCCTTTAATTTCCTCTCCCAGCTTTTCTCAAAACATAAAGCAAACCTGTTTTTACTCTTGGTATCTGCAGCAACTCTCCCATAGCTAATCTGAGGTGTAGCTTTACTTCTCGGTGTGTGTTTTGGCGAAGCAGGCATCCTCTGAGTGAAAAAGTATAAGAGCAATAAGTAACAAATGAGGCCGATTTAACACGGCTCATTTGCAGCTCTGTTACTCCTATCATGAAGAACGCTCTGTCCTCAAGTAACTGAATATGAGAGGATGTGGGATGCCTTAAAGTATCACAGTTCATCAGTTTGTTTAATGTAATTAAGACCCAATGCCTCAGTGTGAGTCCAAGAGTAACAAAAGATGACGGGGGGTGCAGAAGCTGACGGGGTGAGGTGAAAACAGATGACAATTACTGCTGCTATTTGAGGAAGTGGAGAAAGAAGAGCTGCAGGAAGTGAAAGAGAGGAGTTACCCTGTACTTCAGGGCAATTGTCTGTTCTGACAGTCAGATCAAAAACTTTTTTATAACAACTATAGAGGTTAAAAAACAAAAGTTACTGCCCGTTGTTGCTGTTAGCTCAGAGAACAGGCGATCCAATAACATTTAAACAGTTTATTTGACTTTTAGGTAACAGGCCTGACGATTGTCCTTCATTATCAGTGTTGGTTTTAAGGGAAAAATGAGGCAAAGATTAAGGGCAGGCTGAGTTAGTGTTGGGATGCGGCATGTTAAGAAGTGAGGAAGCATGAAGATAAAGACCTCAGATTCTAACACATTTTGAAAAGTGAATTACAACAACTCAATGCTACATAATCTGAATGTCTGAAATAAAACCAAAAACTTCCAAATCTTGGGTTGGACTTGAGGTACTGTCATGTTTATGGTCACAAACTCCACATCCATTATTCTTTTTAAACCTGTTATGTTCATCCAAAATCCATCCAAATATTTCATCAGGTTTGGTCCTCCTACATTTCCTCCAAAACCCCAAAAGCAAAACTGTTTGAGTCTACTGGACGCAGGTCCTGTGAGTCTCATGACTTAACAATACACCCAAAATCAAATTATGTCATTCATATCACATAATGTTGTTGGATAAAAGTTAGTTACCCAACTGTTTAAGGGGGCATATGGTTGGATTATGAAGCAATTATGGTTGGGTTGGTCTGACATATTATGTGTATCATGTATGTTATGATGTTATTTTGAAAGAACCTGTTAAGTGACCTGCTCAGACAGAAAGACAAGTCCAGTTCTGTTCTGTCTTGTCTTTTCAACCAAATAAAACAGAAAAGACTTGATAGTGAAATTGATAAGGACTCGAGTAGTTGGGGAGACTTGATAATGGTGTCAGTATCAAAATTAACACTCTTTGTTCTTGCATTGTTCCTCTATAAAGAAGTAAAATCAATATTTTATTATAATATTTTTAAAAATCCTGAATGGAATCAACAAGTTTGACTCTCTAAAAGTTTTTCCCTCTGCTGCTGCTAATAGATGCTGCTTATTAGTAAATATATAAAATTCGTACTGAGAGAAAGTAATTAAAGCGACACAGTCAGTGTAGAGATGCAGCTGGGAGAGCTACGACATTTGAAAGGCATCAACAAATCCTCCCAAGGATCCACTCACTGCTCTTGAGGAGGCACTTAAAGGAGATGTGCGTCCTGCATCCCCCAATCTTAAAACCACCCACCAACAACCTGAGCCCCGACCACCACCACCACCATCAGCTACATCTGAAAGGACACGAGGAGCTTCAGCATCTTCCCATGCCAGCTGCATAAATCCCTCACAGGCAGAAATAACCACTTTACATTCTCACAGCGGAAGGGTTAACCTCTCGGAAACCTCCGCAGTGCAAACACACACACACAGAAAAAAAACTGTGTGGAAAGATGAGAGGGAGCACGACAGATGGAAGGACACGCTCACAGAGAAATCCATGTTATTAACCAGCTTTAAGATCCAAATCTGTGCCTGGTAGTGCCACATAGATCATACCTCTCTTGATACAGACATCAGTTTAAGGATGGGATCCAAAACCAGTTCTATTGATGACACGGTCCAGCACTTTTTCAAAACCATTGAGCCAGTAACATTTGAGATAATCTATACTGTTATCAAGTCTCATACTTTCCATGGTGTGACATTATCACTCTGTTTAAATTAAACCATGCATGCATGAACTTGCACTTTTTGTCCATAAAATCTATAAAAATAGGTATTAAAGAACACAAAAAACACATCGGAGACCGTTCTGATTTAAAAAAGAAGACCCTCATTTTCCTCATAATATAAAATAAATATTACATGTAGAGTTGCAACGTGTTTGTCTCCATAACATGAGCTCTAATCTTCTAAATCGGCATAAAAACCCCTGATTTCAAAGCAGATATTCAAATTTAATTACAATATCTGATTTCCTAATCGCCTAAACCATGACACTTGTCCCCACTAAATATTTAAAACACATTAAAAGTGAACTTTATGAAGCCTTGAATCATTGTAGAACCTAGATGATGATATCAGAACCGTTAATGAACCCTGTAAGTGTCCTCACATTCCCTGTACTTTTCTACAAGTTGCTTAAAATTCCAACTTTTTTATTATTTTCTTTGACTCCTATGATTTAAATTACATAACGCCAGGTTAGCTATTAATGGCTTGAAATATAATAATACTGAATGAATGAAATTTGTACCAGCCACCAGCATGAGTTAGCACAGGCAACAAAAGAGAGGCGTTCAGAGTGTTTTAGAGCAGGAAGGATTGTGATTGTAATGATGAGCAAGCTTAAGTTAGCACAGTTTCTACTTCTGATTCAATCACTTTTAAGATAGTTTTAAAAAAGATACTATGAAAGAGCCGATAAGTTTTGTTGGATAGACCTGGTAGACCACTACTGTAGCTGGGCAGACCACCCGAGCTAAAACATGCATACAGAGAACAATGTAAGTTCTTGTTTTTTCTTGCATTTTGATATTTGCGATCAGTGTTTTATAATAAAGTTGCAAAGTCGTGCACAGGTGCATGTCTTCTTTACAATATAATTCAATAAATACATTGAAGAAGAAGAAAGCTTTTAAAAGGAGTGAAGTGCGATCTTGTGATTTGGACGTTACTGTAGAGATCAGATAGAGAGAGCGAGTGAAATGAGAAGCTAACAAGGCAAATTAACAAAACAGAGGAAGGAATAGAAAAGCCTGTCAATCAAAGTTTGAAATAAAGGAGTGAGACATTGAAGAGGAAGTCAGAAGAGGCAGACGAGGAGAGAAAGAGCACGATAGATTCAGGGAATAATGGGAAAAAGGCGGAAAGGAGAGTGAATGGGTGAGCGCGGGTATTTGTGTCTGATCAGAGCGGTTAGCAGGGGAGCTGTGTACTTGTGAATAGACAGCTTAGTGGGCCATTATTCGCTCTGGAGGATTTGCCCTGTTCACTATTGTTACCCTCAGGAGGGAGCAGCACACACACACGCACACGCACACATGCCACACACAAGGAAAAAGAAAACACACACACACAAAAAACCTTTTTTTAATTTTTATCATTTTTTTTGCTAGTTTAATTTCCGTGTGTATTAATCACATAAAAAAAGAGGCAAACATAAGTTAAGATCCTAAAAACACACACACTCGTTACACCCCCAGCCCACCCCCCACCCTGTAACTCCCTAATAGACCCGTCTATTGACAGAGCTGCTTGTTCGCTGAAGGAGTCTTTTCTCATTAGGACTGGGATTTTGTCGCTGCCCCTGCAGGCCCCATTGTCCCGCTCAGGGCAGGTTATTAGGCCTTCCCGCTGCAACGCCCCCCCCCTTCTCTCTCTCCTGCTGAATAGACCTGAGAGGAGTGGAGAGCGTTCGGAGGGGCAGAGAAGGTTCCTGGCAATTAGCAAAGACATGTTTGAAGAGAGGAGGGAGAGCGAAGAATGGAAGAAGCGGAGAGAAAGAGAGAGCGGACCTGCGCTACAAAGAGGCGTCTTTTGAAGTTTTAGAAACTTTTGTCTGCTTTTTACTACATCATCAAAGCCAAAGACTGGTTCTTCAACACGCAACATCCCTCCTCCTCCTCCTCCTCCTCCTCCCGCTCTTTCCCTCTCTTCTTCTTTTCTTTCCTGCTCTCTCAAACGTTACTCCTCTTCTCGAGAATGCGTTTGTGTCAGCGTTGAAAAGCTCTACATCTTCTGCAGCCGCTTTGATGTCTTAATGACGACATGAGATTCCCTCGCTTCGGTCCGCTTTTGTCCCTCTCCTGATTCCAGCAACTTTATCTGGCTTTTTCAGTCTCAACCCACAAACAACAAGCAGGCTGGATGCAACGGAAAATCGCAGGAAAAAAAACAGGCATGGATAAACATGTTCCACTTATCAGACCGTGTATCAGAGTTTCATGGTAATCCAAAGCCCGTCTTTTATCTGTATTTGATACGGCTTTGCTTCCTATTCAGCATTTTCTTGTCGAAGCAGGTAGACTAAACTGGTTTTAAAGCTGCCACTGTTCTTCCCTGCAGCTCCAGGAAGTTGATGAAACGCTTGATCCCCTCCGTTTCTAAACACAGCCGAGGTGAAAAAGGCAGACAAAATAAACTCTGATTGCAGAAAATCACAGCCAACTAAATTATCTCATGAAATTATGTGTAATTTGAAACAGACAATGTCAGCGTAAAACAAGAAATGAGCCCTGACAGACTGCTTTTGTTAGGAGCTGTCAGATGAGCGTGTCTGCATGTGCGTACTTGCATAAATGCATTCCTTTGCATTATATTTCACACATACGCATGCACAATATGCTTCCCCTCTGTTCCCTGCAGAAGGTGTGTGTTTATGTGTGCATAAATAAGTAGTTTTTCCCCCAGGTTCTTAGGTAAACACAGCCGTGGTTATGCGGCGCCTCTGCTATCAGCCCCAAGTTTGATCAGTGTGACAGCATGTTGAAAACCAACACACACACACTTACAAACACACACTGTGGTCATGACCTCTTTCTCAGCTCCAAAGTCTGTTCTGATTCATTCTGCGCTGACGAATGTTAAATATATTTAAGGATTAAAAGGTATTAAATACAACTTAACTTCGATAGAAACCATACAAATGTTGAAGTAAATAATTAAACCTTACAAAAAAAAGTTTTGGGAAAAAATATCATAGTGTCATTAACATGAAACAGTTAATGGAACTGAGCGCTTTCAGTCTCTTTTACCTTTACACTACATGTCACATTCATCCATTCATACTGATGACAGAGGACGCTTTCATAGGGAATCATCAGTAATAGCTAATCTGAAATACGCATTCACGCACCACTCACTGAGTGACCGGGAGCGGATCAGGGTTCAGGGTCCTGCTTGAGGACACTTTGGCATCTAACTGTTGTGATTTAGAGACAGCCAACTGGACCAACAGAGCTCAATCAGTTAGGGGTGTCCCAATACAACTTTTTTACTTCCGATACAATACTTATTACTGTAGCCTTGAGTATTGGCCGATACCAATATTGATCCGATATTGGCTCAAACTTGTGCAAAGTTTTTTACTCAGCTGCAATGCCTTTGTCGGACTTAAACAAAAAATACTGCCACGTGGCCATCGCTCCTCTCATTCTATGACTCCTGGGTAAACATGCGAAAGCTCGTGAGATCTCATCTAGTCTTGCGAGAAATACCAGTAATCTCGCTAGAGCTTCTCCTCCGAAGGCGGCGGTGGATCGGATCCGGTGGGCGCTGTTGGCTTGCGACTGATCCGTGGATCCTGTGGGTTTAGCCAGTTAGAATTTGTGGCAGTGTAAGGGACGGCTTACTAATGTCTGATTAAATTCATCATGTTGAACACTGATTTTTTTTTTCAGATGCTTTTACATGCCAACAATCGGTGAGAAGCATACTGGACGCTTTCAGACGTGTACTATAGTTTACCGAGCCTCAGAGTTGAGTGCCAGTCAACCTTGTTTTCTGAGTCTCTCCATCTGACACTCTTAGCGTGTGATATCTATAACTCTACTACACTAAAAGTTTGTCCGTTACAGAGATTGATGAGGATTTTCTTAACCTAAAATGCATGAAATTCTTTGACCTGTCAGTGACCTCGTGGAGAAGAGACTTTCTGACAGCAGCTATGTCTTTTTTATTTACACAAGAACTCTTCTAAGCACATGTGCAGTGTGCAAACACCTGCCTGATGCATTGTGTTTCTTAGTTTGAACTAGTTTAAAGTGTAAACTTGGAAAAGGCTTGTAGACTTACTCTCTTTGCCAACAAGACCTAACATTTTCAGAAATCCAGCTTGTCCTCTCGCTGAGGGTTGACTACTTCAGGTGAGAGGCCGTCCCACTGTGTGCAGATGACATGTTATGTTATAATGAAGCCACTAACAGCTCTGAGTAACACAAATGAAAGTTGAACAAAGCAGGCGGCGGGATGATTCATGTGGAAACGTGGCCCAGCGGCGCATCATGATGAGTGGGTTAGTTTTACATTGTAAAATAGTTGTTCATCAAAGGCGGCCTGTCAGCGTGCAGCCTCACTCTGCAGAGCGTGCCAGCATCTTTGAAGTATAACAAGACCATCGGTTTTCTCAGCGCACACACTCAAATAAAACTCCAACACACACACAAGAGCGTGTAAACACTTGTAAGCACACTTGTGAGTGTGGATATAAATCTATACAGAGTCAGTAAGACATGCAAATGTGTGTAAAACATATGTATGTACTCTTACACACGCAGATGACACATACACACTGAAGAGGTGTTTTCGTTTGATGTACACTTTGTTTTACAGCCTCTTAGACATTCCTGCAGTGATCACATTAAGTAGACCTTGGTTTCATAAATGCTGCTAATAATTCATAATATGCGCATCATTGGAGTTAAGAAGATGAGGATGCTGTAGGGGAAGCTGGGTTCCTTTACCATGAATTATTGGGAAGGGTTAGAGGGTTCTGGACAGGTAAATTAGCCATCAAATCAAGCACAGTAATATCATGTCAGGTAACCATTTGACAGTAGTTTTGGCTTTGAAGGTAGATGTTAAGTCCTGCTGGAAAGGAAAACCAGCGTCTCTATAAATCTCATCAGCAGATGGAAGCTGGAAGTGCTCTAAAATCACCTGGTGGAGGAAACACGGTGGACCAACACCACCAAGTGATATGGCATCTCGAATCATCATGGACTGTGGAAACTCTGTACTTCAAACCTTTTTATCAAAACCATTATGTCCTTTTTATCATAAATGAATTGTTGGAATTAACAAATCAAACAAATGACAGACCAGATAAGTAGGAGTGGGAGAAAAAATCGAATCACATAAGTATCCTGGGCTATCATACACATAAGTATAAGTAAGAATAAATCTGAAAAACTGATTTACATGTGATGTGTATTTTTGGGGGAATTGGTGTCAAAAATGCAGACTAAAAATCGAGAAAATCGACGATAACGTAGATTCGCTATTTAAATCAAATCAGCATTCCAAAAAATCATGGAATAATCAAATCGAGAGAAAGGCATATCGTCCCATCCCTATTAATTTGTTACACTCTGAATGTAGAAGTCCGAAACAGATAGTGAAATTAAAAGTGAAACAGTTGTTGTAAAATAGTGAAATACGTGGTATTTCATAGGCAGCTGTGATTTCACCTCCTGCACCTAAAGTTGTGAAAATGGATTCAGGGATGTAAGATGAGAAAAAAAAGGTCAAACAGGGCGAAATCTACTAAAGCACTAATGAGAAGATGTTTAACTGGAGTACAATTTGATACCAGAGGAGCAGGGTGGGCGATGGAGAGAATGATTGAGAGTTCAAAGGGCCGAGCCGAGGCCGGCGGTGTGTGTTTCAAAGGCGGCGCGTGGCGATGGATGTGAGAGATTTGTTAATTCAGTAAAGCAGAGCGCCGCCTTGATGTTTACTAGAGTTTCACAGGCAGCAGCTGGACGAGCACACACGCTTTTTTCCATTCACACACTCTCAGATAAAATTGACAGGCATTTACACATAAACTTTGATTCTAGGAACAGTGCACATGTTGCATAGAGGTTGATGCAGTAACACACACTTAAATATTAGATAATATCCCTTGCATAAATATCTTTAAATGCATTGAGAAAACTTGCGTATCCATCGACAAACATTAAACAAAGTGGTGTCACTGTGTCGTGGCTGCTTCCAGTTGTGCAGAGGGAGGTGGAAAAGAGAGGGCACACTGAACTGACAGGAGCGTCTGCTATATTTGGAATATGAGGGTACTTTTTATAAGTGGGGATGGTTGAGGTTGGAGCAAATAACTAAATATATCTGACTTGGTGCAGCTTAAACAGACAGTGCATCATCTGTTAGGGTGATGAAAACATCTTCAATTCCCTTTAGAGGCGTAGATTAAAAGATTTTTGGTTTATTCATGTGGTCAGGAGTACCTGTGAGCTTAGCAGTAAGTTGCATATGTGTTAGATTGAACAAAGGAGCTGTGAAAAGTAAGAAGATAAAGTGTTATGTGTGACTGAAACATGGTGTGCTGCTTTTATACCGTTTATTCCTTTCAGACTCCAGAACAGGCCTGGATAGCCTTGACATTGTTATGTTTTGTTCTGCTGAGTGACATTATGAAATTCACTTAGCTGGACACAAATCAGGATCAGAGTCAGGATCTGGTTTATGCTCGATTAGGATTATACCTACAGGGAATTTGTCTTAGTGTTTTGGTGCAAAAACAATAAGCAGAACAGAGAAATAGAAAGCTGTAAAAGTCATTTCCTCCCGTTAGTGAAAGAGGATGTACAGCTGTACGGCTCTGCAGTTATTATCAGGGTGACTGTGGCTCAGATGTTTAGCAGGTTGTCATGTAATCACGGGTAAGTGGTTCCATTCCCAGTCTCTCCAGTTCACATGCCAAAGACTCTTTAGGCCGGACGCCAAATGCTGAATTACTCCCAAAGGCATGGCCAATGGTTTGTGTGGGAGTGTGTGAATGAATTAAGTTCTATACAGATGGTCGGGTTGACACCTAACAAGACAGCCCCTCACTATCTCCCACAAAGCTTATTTAAGAAGGTTTCATGTGGTTCTGAAACAATCTGAAATTAATCCTGAGGCCTTTATTGCAGCAATCATGTCTAAGGAGATGACAGATAAAAACAAGTCTCCAAAAACAGTTCACACATTGTTGTCTGATATTTGAACTTAAGAAGATAAAGATGAGATGTACAGGACAAAACCTGCACTTTGTCCACAAGGGGCGCTGATATCAATAGAAATCAAATATCTCACTGGAACTCTAACATTGTGTCAGGGTTGTATGAAGCACAAACCTCAGAGAAGTGAATTATTGCTCGCTGTCAATTGCTGCGTTTACATATAAAATAATCAGAATAAAAATGCGTCATGTAAACATGTCGATTAAAAGATTCTGTTCCAATCCGGCTCAATCGGAAAGAAATTATCTTCAGATCGAGAGGGGTGGTTTATGCTGATCATTATACCAAAATGCGTCCATGTAAACACTTATTCCGATCGTGACTCTCTTACCTGACTCGATCTTCACTCTTTAGCCTTTGTCTTATTTATTGAGGTCAGTTGAGGAGGTTTCATTATTAACACTCTGGCATAAAACAACCTCAGTTACCGTGTCTGCTCCTCCGCTAACATAACAAGTCGTGTATATACAGCGTAATGATGTCACATCTGCACACACAGTGCAAACTTTGACAGAAAAGTAAAGTAAGTAGGCACAGGCCCAATCTAGTGACAACATTTAACAGGGGGAAAACTCCTGAATTGGACGGAGTGAGCCACAACCGCATTTGTTGGTTTGTTGACAACACAGGCGTAAATACAACTCTTCTTCTTCTGTAGTCTTTTTAGCGAAATTAGACAACTCTGCACATGTCCAAATACTTCTAATCTGAATAAAGCTTGGTGCATGTATGCACACGTCATGATTGGATTATTTGATTTTGCACCCATAAAAACAGTGAAATCAAATTATCCGATCCCTCAAAATTATAATTGGATCAAGAAATGTTGCACATGTAAACATGGCTAATGAGTGAATTTAAGAAAAATCTCAGGTCATTGTCATCAAATTAGTTTACTCTCAGGTTTTCTTTCTTGAATCCCGTATGTTTACTCCTATTTTCTTTTATTCTCCATCCCTTTGTGTCACAGAGGACCATCTGCAACTCTTCAGACTTTCCTGCAGGTGTGCATCGCTGCCCTTGACTATATATATATACAGTTTTAATGGTGTATCCTCCATGTACTGTATGTGGACTCACACTCTGTTTCCACTCCTGTGATCTCAGAGGCCTCCTGTGAGCAGCGGACATGAAGTAATTCAGTAATTTCACTGAATCATTTCTGTCCTTGACAGACTCGCCTCAATCATGTTCCTCTTACTGGAACGACGGTCAAGGTTTGAGACTTGAGCTGTAAGTTTGCCAGAGTCCTGTGTGGCGTTCATACTCTCTCCGTTTTAGGCCAATTTCAGTCTGTGTTCTGCACTTGACCCCGCTGCTCCGTCAGTGAAGTGTGAACAGTGATGTAAAACAGCAACATGCGCTGCACATGCGTACGGAGAGAGCAAAAAAGAGAAAGACGAGGGAAAAACTGAATGAACTTAACCAGATGCTTTTGTTTTAGGAATACAGACAAAAGTTCTCTTTGACGCACACACAGAGACCGAAAACTTGATCCTTAACTGTATGTTTTCAGAACTCATAAACTCTTTCACTGCGTGACGTTTATGAGCGACTGTGTGGAACCACTTCTGCCTGTGCCAGTATGTTATTTCATTACTCTGTTGATATTTTATGCTCTGACACAGTCCATGTTCAGAATACGAGGAGGAGGAGGAGGAGGAGGAGGAGGCCGGTCTGCTCCGTATATTTTCTCACTGTTGGTTTTCTCAACATTTTTCATGTCATAACCAAACCCAGACCTTGTTGATAACCCGATCTTGACCGCCAAGGCTAAATGGCCCGTGCCTGGAAGCAGCAACTGAAAATACACCAGAGCTGAATCTGGAAGAAACTCTGCTGGAAAAGAAATCTGGACTTATTAACGCTTCATAAAAGATGTGGCATGTTAATCACACATTGTGTATTTGGATAATATCAGATGGAGGTGGAAAGGAGCAGGATTTGTGCTTTGTCAGCTGGAAGCGACACGGTTGAACTCTCTCTTCCTTCCCTTCAGGCAGGGGGTTTCTCAAAGATTCACTGAAATATCTGCCGTCAGAATCCGTTTATTATGTGATATGTTATCGATCGCTGGTGGAAAAATGTCCTTTTTCTCTTCCTTTGCGTGGGGGATACTCTCCAGTATGAAGACATATGTAACTTATAAGTACCTGGTGAGAAAGTACCCTGACACGCTTGGACACAGTAGAAACAGAGAAGTATCGATAATACACCGCTGTTTAGAACCACATTTATTAGGATTGACGTTCATTATACTACTGCTAACTTACTTAAAGAAACAAATCAACAGGTTTCCCTGAGTGACGTCTTTGGTGTTGACTTCTGTGAGATTGTCTCTGCAGTCCATCGTCAGTCAGTGTGAACAACAGCACTAAATATGTTCACCCTCTGCTTATTATTATGTGAATTAACACAGGAAAGGCTCATGGTTAGGCTGACAATATAACACAGATGTACAGTGGATCCATAAAAGCTTCAGTGCTGAGGGGTCTGGAACTATTTTCAGGCTTGTAGGGGTGGCAGATTTTACTTCCTGGAACAGGATTTTATTGCAAACAGTTTCAGCCAAAACTCAGTATCCTGGCTTAAATTAGTTACCTGGAAGTGTTGTCTTATTCAGGTTTTTGTCTAAAAGAGAGACCCAGGAACTCTGGGGCGTTGCTGTTCTCAGTGACAGTTTTTATTGTCATTCAACACTTTGACTACCGGCCGACCTTCATCCTGAGCCAGCACGCTCTGTTCTGCTCTGAGGAAAGAAACTTTACAGTTTCATTTTTGAAACAAAAGAACTCCAGATGTTCTTGTGATCGTATTAATAATCACTACTTTGTAATAAAACTGCCTGTTTTATCTACAAGAACATGGTGTGTGTGTGTGAAGTTTCTGGCCTACTGATCAAACACAGGTCTCTAATGTTATAAGCTTTGGCTTCACAATCAAAAAGAAGAAACATTTGATTAAATTTAGGATTTTATGATTATTGGCTATTCATTATGGAGGAGAAAAGGTCAAGTCCTAATTATTCTGTTAAATAATGCATAAATAGATAATAATAAATCTAAGGAAAAAAAGGTAATTTGTCAGAAAATGTAAAGTACCTGGGCAACCTTAAAGTCCCACTCTGATCATTTCTTTGTACTACTTAAAGTGTTCTCAGTTGTTTTTACATTGTGATTATGAAGTTTTTAGCCAAAATCATGTTACCTGTGTCATTTCCAAGGGCTTTTCTTCTGCAGAGTTTCAGTAGATCTTTAGTAATTCACCTCTGAGTTGTGGGCAGAGACAGTGCTGCTCTGCACGCTTTTCTTCGTGCAGCCTAACAATGCCCGTGTAGTAGAAAAAGCAAGTCTCATAGGACAGGAGCTATTCTGCTCTCGGACTCGAATGTCTTTAGGGACATGATTAAGGTTAATATCATAATTAGCTTTCTCACGAGCATTGCACTGACGCACAAAAAAACATGATTTTCATCAGAGTGGGTCTTTTTAAATATACTTGGGCGGCCTCATTTGCAAATATAAAAATGATAAAAGTTTGCTTTTTTTCACTGCATTTCCTGTGCAGTAATAATTTATCAGTCCATGAACAATGTCTTGCCTCAAAAATGAAAATACATGATATTTTAATCTTATTTTAGACCAGTTAAAAAAGGCTAACACTGAATTTATTGCAAGAGTTAAAACCTCTACCTATGTGTTTCCAGTGGATGACAGCCGGGCACACACACATCCTCACACACACACACACACACACACACACACACACACACACACACACACACACACACACACACACACACACACACATACAGCTGCTTCATTCTGAGACACCACCAAGGCCAAAGTGGATTTAACAGCCCTGTTACAGAGTGAACACACACTTACACTCACGCACACACACACACACCACACACACACACACACACACACACACACACACTGAGCATCAACCCAAGACCTCAACGTAAGACGCTGCATCATTTTTTCCTCTAAATGTGTGTATACGTGTGTGTGGTTGTAAAAACAGTCGCCCTCCTCCCCCAGGCTAAAACACATACTCACAAACACACACACACACACACACACTCACACACTCACACAGGTGGCTGTAATTAGTATGTTGAGCCCATTCATGGCACAGGATCAAACTGCAGTGCGCTTGGCTTCAGGAAATACAGGGATCTGTTTAAAGTTATACATACACACGCTTTACATGCACACACATTCACGCACCTTCGCACACCGTCCCTCGTTTCTTGCTAACGTTGCGCCGAAATACAAAAGGTTCCCCCTTAAACTGTTTGTGTTTAGTCTGCTGGTGATTCAGACCTCTGTTTGAATACACTCTACGATCTTACACACTCGCGTACTCAGTGTTTGTTTCTGCCTCGAGAGAACACAGACAGTCGAGGTGTAGAGCGAGGAATTATGGGTGAGATAAGCTTCAAATGTTCAACATCTCGGCTCTAACTTGAGAATATACACAGTGGGTTTGGTGCTGCAGAGGTAAGCAGATCTCACAAAGCCAGAGCAGCTCTGTTCAAGGTTATGAAAGCAGAAATAATGCCGCTGCTGCTCGTAAGTCTGAGTGGCCAGCTTTTCATATTGATGATAGGGCAGCTTTATGTTTGGCTGCCCTTATTCCCCTCTTGCAGACATGAATGGATGTGTTTAAATACAAAAGGACTGTAATTTTGGTATTGCTTGTACTTTGTGATTGAAAAAGAGAGGTAGTCTGCACGCATATTGTTCCAGATATCAAGGTCTGCAGGTTTTCATCCTTCGACTGTAATTTGTCGAGTATGAAACTGATACTTGAACTTTCCATACACCTTTTCCACCCCAGATGGTAACCACTTACTCTGGGCTATTTTACTGTTAAACTCAATAGTAGTGCAATGTAATCCAGCCTTTGATAGGACATGTGTGTCTCCTCTGTGTGATTTGTGTGTTTTTAACTTTGCATCAGTAGGGTATTTGCAGCATTTGTACTGTGAGAGCACTTTTATACAGCCTGTCCTTTCTTTTACAGTGCATTTTAGCTTTTGCAGTTGCTTCAGATTCATGCATTGTTTCTGCATTTGCATGTTTCTCCAGGCTAGTGCAGATCATCTTCATTTGTCAGCCTCCTGGGGCTGACAGGAGAAAGTCTCAGAAAATTTTAGGAAGGTTTTTGGCAAAAGTGTACTCATCTTTGCAGATTATTTTCATCCAAACTCAAACACAATGGAATGTTACGACCCATAATTTGAACTAGGGCTGGGCGATAAACCAAAAATTTACCGACACTGAAATTTACGACAATAACCTACGTCATTTTGCTCATGTCAACATATTTAGTGTCAAATACAGGGCTTGAAGACCTCCGGCATGGGGGACAATCATGTCCAAAGAAAAAAAAAAACCTAGTTAGTTAGATCTGAATATAGAGGACAGTATTACGCTGGATAGCGTACATCCTGCAGGAGAAGAAGAAGAAGAAGCGGAAGAAGAAAAAGACACATCAGCTAACAGTAAATTTCAAATGATGGATGCCAGGTACACCAATCCAGGAGAAGAAACAGTGATATTGGAAGCTGGGCTTGGGCGGAAGAGACTGGAAAAGATGGAAAGCTGTTACTCATGTTAGATGAGATGGGCCAAAATCCATCTTAGGTTGGTTCTTGATAATTCATCAAACAATGAGCGTGGTCTAGACCTGCTCTTTTTCTTTGGAAAGCATCTTGGGATGACGACTGTTGTGAATTGGCACTATATAAATAAAATTTGATTGATTGATTGATTGAAAGCCAAAAACTAAAAGAGTCAGGTGCTTGTTTTTGTGTGTCGTGCACCGAAAGCTTATACATGGCAGCAGTAGGAAAAAGTTTGGTAAAGTTGGAAAGATATTCACAGTTTCAGACTTCCGGAATCAATAACTCTGAGACGAATCATTGTCTAAACGCAAAAGATGCCTCTTTCTATCGTCTATTTATCATTATTGAGGTGAACTGCTCAGTATATCGTGATATTAATTTGAGGCCATATCGCCCAGCCCTAATTTAAACACTGCACATACCTGCAAACATCTTTACCCTCCGCTATAGATTCTCCATACAGATGCAGCTATCCGTTTATTGGAATGATAGTCTGATAGTTTGCACACATTTCAAAAGCCTTCTGCAGCGATGTCAGTGGAATCTACGGAAAGTTAAAAGGTCCAGTTTTCAATCTAGGGACTCTAATTTAGTCCTGTCTCTAATCCAAAGTATTTCTGTTCCGTGTAACTAAGCTACTATAAACTGTAACGACTCCAGACCCTCAGTGTTCCTTGTGCACCCCTGCTTCGACTGTTCGAGGGTATATGGAACAGCCTCAAACAGAGCTTCACAGTTCCTCTCACTGCAGCCTAATCCCCCTAATTGGGACTTAAACTTTGGACGTTTTGTTTCACTAAATAAAGTTTAAGGACTGATATGAATCGATGATGAAAGCCTTTTTGGATCCGGTTACTTTGGAAAACTTAATGTGGTTTCTCTCAAGTTCCAAAACTTCACGTCAAGTGTAATACTGATCAAAATAGCCAAGCATTACAGGTCCCTCTGAGAGAAACCAAACCTGAATGTCAGATCTTTGGATTTCAATATTATGCTCCATAAACCCTCACAAACTCTCTCTTTTTTTTCTTACCTGAACCTGCAGAGGAAGGTTCGAGACTTAATTTTTAACACACACGCTAACACACACACGCTCACCCTCCTTAAATCTGCCTTCACTCTGAAACTCTTGCCAGCAAAAAAAACCTTCATTAATCAGCAACATACCGGGAATAGTACATCCTGGAGTTTCTGCGTAAGCGTACAGGTGTCTGTTGAGTAATAATGTGTGTGTGTATGAGTGTAGTTGGCGCACACACATAGGATTATACAAGGGTTAGAAAGCTGGGAGCATTTTTGAGCCAATGTTGTCAAGTGTTCGTCGTATTTCAGAGAGAGCTCCAGCCCAGACTGGCAGAGCGTGTGATCCCATTTGTAAAAAGCATCATCAATTTTCTCCTGTAAACAGTTTGTTATTGTCTGTACTGGGTCCAAAAAAAGGAAACAGGAGGGGGTCTGTCAGATTTGTTCTCTGTGTGTGATTCAGTGTCATAATGAAAGTATGCCATCACCTTAAAGACACGTCATCCATGTGATCACGGCCGGCTGAAGAGTCTTACACACACAAGCTGTTAATCTGTCACGTAAGCTTGTGTTGTCGCTCCCAGAGAGTAGCACTTAACTCTAATGTACAATTGTCTGTTCTGCTGTTACACTTAATAAATCTCCCTCTCTGCACCGACGCCTTTTTCTCCAGCTCCCTTCCTTTTCATCTCTCTCCCGCCGCCTCTTGACCTCCTCTAAAAGTCCGTCAGCTCTCGTCTCGTTGCCTCTCGTTCTGCGTCTCAGCCTGTTTCAGCGTCTCTCTCTCATGCTGTTAATGGAGGACGGTGTAGCAGCAACAGTTATAATGACTTCCATACGACTACACAACTTCTCCACGGGCCAGAGTGTAAATCACAGTGACGTGTGTATGTAGATGTGTGTGTGTGTGTGTGTGCAGGGGGCTTATGCAGGGAAGTACACATGTGTATATGTAGATGCTTTTGCACTGTACACACTGTTTAATCTCAAGATTATGACATCTCTCCAGATAAACACCATGATTCTTCCATCTGGATGTTGTGTGAAAGCAATAGATGTATGCTATTTGTATTACACATTGGGTCTTTTAATTTCTGTTTTAAGAAGACAAACCTGTGGCTGAGTAGTTAACAAGGAGTTAACATACAAGAGTTTCTGTCTGTGCCTGTATCGTAGCGCAAAAACCTTCATAGCAGCTGAAGACATCTTGTGAGCGAAGGAGGATGTTTGAGATGCTTGAAAGTTGCTGAAAATTGTGTCTTTTTTGTCTGATCTTAGCTTATTTTTTAATGTTTTCACTGTAACTCAATGGCGTAACTTCTTTATCGTCAAAAAATCATCAGCAAAAGAATAAAAACTTTTGTTTCTTATTTATTATTAGCGGACTTGGATAAACTTCCCATGTATTAATAATAGTACGGATCATTGTTACATTATACGATCTGTTGGTTTGGCTTGTTCGCAGATACGTTAAACACCTCCTGTCCACAGAGGATTACATATGAAATTACATATGAAACACTCGAGCTGCACCACAGACTGAAGGTTTGTGTAGAACTCTGCTATTCGTTACTTCAGATCCTCGCCACAGCTCGAAAATCTAACCAGCTATTACAATGACATTTTGTTTAATGTTGTAACTTGTGGAAACAAAAGAATGAATAAAATGATTGCGGCCGAGAGGGTTTGGGTATGTTTGGAGGAGGAAGCTAAAGTTAAAGTGTTGTCTGAACAAGAGTCAGAAAAACTAAAAGCGAAATGTTAAATCTCAGCAACATCACTGATGATTCAGGACGCAGACCAACATAACATGTGGTTTCATTGATTCCAGAGTATCGTCAAGCAGCTCGAGTTGAAACGACAGTTTGTGTCGACACACTGCTGGAGGACCATTGGGGTTTATTCTTCTGGTTGTTTCATAAGATGGGTTTGAAGTAGGGCCCGACTGCCGATGCCGATGCCGATACCGATGCCGATGCCGATGCCGATGCCGATACTGATTATTAGGGAGGAAAAAAATCAGATTACAGATTAATCGGCTGATTTTTTAAATCTTTTATGAAGTTATAAAAAATATATATATACTGTAGATATCTACAGTATACTAAATACTGTTGACATACTGTAGGCTACTTGACGACAACTTTGTAGCATGGCAACATCAGAGGAGGGATCACAAGCGCTTGGACAGAGAGTAGCGAAAATGAAGCGTAATAGAGAGGGCCTGAAATGAGCATTCTCAAAAAGGCCAATATGATACAGCTGAAGAGCTTTTTGAGCGACTAACAAAACTATCAGACGGACAGTATGAAGCCTGAAGATGAGGGTCACACCCCTCCTTACTGTTGAAATATGATTGTTGTTGAAAGCAGACCATCATCTGCTCACTGAAAATCAACAAAAACCTCCATGCATGAGTAAAAGGATGATGAACCATTGTTTTAAATAAGATAAACGAACAGACTTTCCTGATTCATTATCACAACTGAACAAGAATAAACTCGTGATTTTGGTACCAGTATGGATCACACATGATAATCAAGAGCTTGTTGTGACAGTGATAGAGTAATACTATCATTTGCCTGAAACAGACCTCATTTTAAAATTGTTCAAAATCGAACCGAAACTGTGGTCCCTACATGCCTCAAGATTTTTGTGTTGGGATGTTTTTGCTCATTTATATCCACACAGCTGCTATGAGCTGCAGCATTTAGAGGGAAACTTGTCTCTGAATCAAAAATAATCCCTCCTGGGACTCAGGTTTAACCGAACAATGCCTTTTCTAAATCCTGTTTACTTGCGGTAGCTCCTGTCTGAGTTGCAAAGTGAAACATCAAGTCTGCATGGAATATGAGGCGAGCTGCGTGGAGCCTGAAGCAGTCAGATGCTCCGTTTTAGAGGGAAAAATAGCAGTTTACTGGTTTGTCCAAATCACAAACTCAAGTCCAGCTGGTTTTGGCCACGATGCTGCAACAAAGAGCGGTCAGTCAGAGCTGACACAGAAACATTTCTTTCTCCACACACACATATCAGCCTTTACACACACACACACACAGGTTCTGTCCACATATCCAGTGTCTCTATATTAAAACCTGGAAGGACATGACCCTTTAGCAAAACAGTGGCCCCCTGGACACGCTTACACACTTAGACACACACACACATTCATAGAGGACTGTTGGGACTCCTATTTCTGAGCATGTTCACGTCCAACTGCTGCCTTTTCTCTACAGACCCTAAAAGTAAATACATGAAGGGGTTATACAAATACACATACACACATACAGAGGGGTACCCAGCCAGTGAACGTGTGAAATGTAGCACACTGTTGAACCATTTCCCCCCCTGTAGATTAAAAGAACGAGAAATGAAAAGAAACAAAGAAGAAAAGAGGCCGAAAATGAAACAGAAAGCCGGAGTGTGAGGAGACAAAGTGAGTGAAGGCTGGCATGAAAAAAGGGAAGGAAAATAAAGAGTGCAGTCATTTTAATGATTAAAGGAGAATGGCAGATATCAGTTAGTCCCTTGTACAGTTTTGTGCAGGGGCAAAAATGTGGCAAAAACTTTTAAAAGGAGTTTACAAGACAACAGGAGGTGTTTGGGATCTTACAGGATCTGTATTGAGCGCATTCACAACAGGTTGTTTTGCCTTTCTGCGGTCTATTTCCTGCTAATTTGTCTATAATTCAGTGACTGCTGAGCTTCTACTGTATGTGAAAAAGCAACATGATTTTACAGTTTCAGTTTTTGCAGGTTAACTCATATTTAATAAAGTAAAATATGTTCCTTTATGCTGTGCTGTTACCTTTAGACAGAGTTAGCAGTTAAAAGTCCTGTTGGGGTCCACATGGATCAGGGATTGACCATCAGATTGTTACTGATAAATCCATAACCAGGAAGTCTTCCTCATCTACATGAATATGGCGTTTTATTTTGAAATACTGGATGACATGCGCATTTTTCGTGCTTGACTTCCTGTCTAGGACGATCTTCTCTGTGTGGATTGACGCACATTGGAAGCGCAGAGCAGCAAAAATAGACTTGCCGCGTATCTTTAGCAGTACTGCTCTCGATACGATGCTGCGACAGAGCTGATACGCGTCCTGTATGCTTTGCTTCATTGATTAGAATGGCAACCTATTTGCTGTGTGATACGTAATGCTGCTGCCACACTCTAAATATGCATCCTGTATGTTTTAACCTTGACTTAAATATGCTCTCAGATTTTCTAATATTGTAACTGTAAATCGAACCAGGATAGCAGAAAGGTGTTATCACAGCTTAAGAAAAGAAGATGTAGAGCTGTAAATGATGGATACTACATTTACTTACCCTGAGACTTTAAATTCTCTGTTTTTATAAGATTTTTGTTGGTCAGGATGCTTGTTGTGTTGCATTAGTATCACAGTGCACAGCTAAAACATAATATTTGGGGTGTTTCCCTGCACTATATGGACAGTGTTAGCCATCCAGCCCCCCTGCTGTGAGCAGGTCTGTAGGAGGTCTCCTGAGTAAGGTTTATAGGCTCGCACCAGGCCTCGCGGAGGGCTCGCTAGCTGCTAAGAGCGCTAAACCATGCTCCTTCTTTACTTCAGACCCCTGTGCCGCTGGGCTTCAAACGGGCTGCTCTTTCTTAGAACATGCTGGGCATGCAGGAGGGATGGACAGGGGAGGGGAGGGGGCTGCAACAAGAATACCAGAAAGTCAAGTTACCACTTAGTTAAATAATGTCCAAACACACATGCACAGACACACCCTTACAGGAATTCATATCACACACAAACACACGCACACAAGGTCCGCCAGTATGCTATTAATACCAGCCTGAGGATGCAGGTCATGCCTCGTATTTGCATTTCAAATGCGTCCTTCATTCCATTATCCAAATAGTGATGCTTTTAAGACATTTGGCGCTGCATTAAACACTCCAAGCTTTCAGGTGGTCTTCTAACATCCACTCACAGATCTGACTCTGTACCAACAGGCATGATAAACAGATCCATTTACAGCTACACACACACACACACACACTTATTTCCTTCAGGTGGTCCAAGGCTCTTTGGTTCATTATTCTTTCTTTCCATCATGACCATCAGGTTCTGGTTGAAGTTTCAGGTTCAGGCCAAGTTAACCGTGTACTCCCCTACCTTCATGTATTTTGACAGACTTGATACTGCACTGTATCGAGCCTCCCCACTTCCCTGCGAAGGGGCCCCTCAGATACATTGGTTACATCTTGAAGCAGTTGCGAGCGTGAAGGTTCAGACAGATGTTTGTATCTTTTTGATAATCAATGTGGGAAGACATGCTGAGGGAGAGAAACTGATACACCAGCAGGAGTTTGAAGGCAATATGATCCTGTCGACACATACAGTTTCAGAGGAATGTGAAGAAGAGTTTGCTCTTTCTACTTCGGGATTTTTCTTTCCCCTGGAAGGTAACTTCATCGGAAAGTTTGATTGTTTTATCCTGCAGAAGTCTGGACTCGGAGAAAGGTCCTAATGTCGCCTCTGTAGTTTTTGAAGTTTTACTTTTAAGATCCCGCCATCTCAGTCGTGTTGACCAAAATTTGTCACATCAGGCTTGAAAATAGGAGTTTTTTTCAGGGATGTGTTGCATTAATTTCACAGCTGTCACCATAAGCAAGTCACAGTAAACCAAACCTTTGTACAGTAACACCAATAGAAAGATACTGACATATGTAGTTCACGTTAATTTTTTAAAGCCAGATGACTCTTGGCATTGCTTCACTCCATCGTGTCTCAACATTTTGAAAATACCATAACATTTAAACTTCATCCCTTAAGGAATTCGGCTGAAGGATGAAAACTCGGTCAAATCATAAGTACAAAGAGGTTGAGTCCATACCACTCCACACGCACTCCTGAGAGAGGAGAGGAAAGAGAGTTGGATAAAAGGAAAACAGGCAAAGAAGTGAAAAGAAGTGAGACTAAAGTTACAGGAGGGTTGGGGGAGCTGAGTGACCAAAAAAGAAAATATGTCCGAGCACATTATCTCCAAACAGACAGGTAACCTTTTGAACCTCAGACTCAGGAGAGTTAATCCACCAGTGTCCCTGTCACACTCCTGCTTAACTACCTGCTTGTGTTTACCAAAAAAAAACAACCTGTGTCCCAAAATTTAGACGTAGAGTCTTTCCATTTTCCGCTCATCAAAACTGTTGCATACCTGAACACTTGCATCCTGATCTGGGCCCAAACTTTGTGAGTCCCTGATAGATTCTTTTATCAAACGCTGAATCCAAACTGAGCTCACGTATCTGTAAAACAAGCTTCTTTTGCTTTCTGTTTTTTTCTGCCTATGCTCCATTTAATCTGACTGTTTAGGAATTTCCAACCCCATTAATAATTCCTCTTACTTTCCCCTCTCTCTCTCTACAGATGACTCCAGTTCAAGAAGTGGAGCCGGGGCTGCCAACGGTGACTCCGAAAACGTCCCTGAGCTGGCAGGGAAACTGGGTAACCCCATATATTCTCATCACAGCACACATTTAGACCTGAATATGAGAGGAAGCATAGCTAGGAGTCGTACTTTTTAAAGTGCAGCAGCAGATTGTACCATAAACACCTAGTACACAGTCAGGGGGCAGACTGTGCTTGTTTGTGCCCACAGGCAGACACACAAACACAGACACACACACATCAGGGGGCTTGTTTGTTTAGATAATTGGCTCTGACAGAGTGGAGGGCAGTCTATTTGTGTGAGGTGTGATTTGGTGGGACACATTCCTTTACACCTCCTCCAGAGTCTCCCTGCTGCCCCCTGTCATGTTACCCTTCGTCTCTGCCTGTCATTATCTCCCCCTCTTCCTCACTCTCTCTTTTTCTCCTCACTCAATCACAAACGTGCACGTACGCACACTCTACTACTGTTTGCCGCTCTCTCTCTCTCTTTGTTTTATCGCACACATTCTTCCTCTTTGTCTGTTTGGCTCGCTGCTCTCACATAACTAAAACACTCACAAAACTTTGGCCGATGTTGCATTCAGATCCACCAGAGCCCTCCGTGAAAAAAACACTCGCATTTATTTGAATAATGCTGGTCAAGTGATATAACAGGGGCCCCGACACAGAAAAAAACAGGGTCGCAGCCAAGAATGTTGATCCTCACTTAACATTGTGGTAACAGAAATTGACTCGTCAGGACGCCGTGGCGGCCAATTACAATAGAGAACATGACTTGAACTTTACTATGACATTTCACCTTGCTGTTAATATTCAAGCACTTAAAAGCTTCGAAGGTCTGAAAGGTGATCATTTCTATCTTGAACACACGTTATGTATTATCTATTAATGTCTGTTCACTCACTAACACAACAGCTTCCCAAACAACTTCTAATCTAGTTTAATGTTATCCCTTGTTTACATTTAATAAACAGTAAGATATCGTAAAACTGATACAAACACATTAGGGTTAGGGTTAAACCAAAAGAAATTATATAAAAGGTTACCAGAGCAATTGTTAAAATGAACATCTATAGAGTATGACTTGCCGTTTTAAAAACTCTTTGTTCATCCTATTCTGGCATCAATAAAAAACCCAATTTCAGCGCCTTTCAGCCTCATTCTGGCTGCTTTTCCAGTGATATACACTCACCGGCCACTTTATTAGGTACACCTGTCCAACTGCTCGTTAACACTTAATTTCTAATCAGCCAATCACATGGCGGCAACTTAGTGCATTTAGGCATGTAGACATGGTCAAGACAATCTCCTGCAGTTCAAACCGAGCATCAGTATGGGGAAGAAAGGTGATTTGAGTGACTTTGAACGTGGCATGGTTGTTGGTGCCAGAAGGGCTGGTCTGAGTATTTCAGAAACTGCTGATCTACTGGGATTTTCACGCACAACCATCTCTAGGGTTTACAGAGAATGGTCCGAAAAAGAAAAAATATCCAGTGAGCGGCAGTTCTGTGGGCGGAAATGCCTTGTTGATGCCAGAGGTCAGAGGAGAATGGCCAGACTGGTTCGAGCTGATAGAAAGGCAACAGTGACTCAAATAACCACCCGTTACAACCAAGGTAGGCAGAAGAGCATCTCTGAATGCACAGTACGTCGAACTTTGAGGCAGATGGGCTACAGCAGCAGAAGACCACGCCGGGTGCCACTCCTTTCAGCAAAGAACAGGAAACTGAGGCTACAATTTGCATAAGCTCATCGAAATTGGACAATAGAAGATTGGAAAAACGTTGCCTGGTCTGATGAGTCTCGATTTCTGCTGCGACATTCGGATGGTAGGGTCAGAATTTGGCGTCAACAACATGAAAGCATGGATCCATCCTGCCTTGTATCAACGGTTCAGGCTGGTGGTGGTGGTGTCATGGTGTGGGGAATATTTTCTTGGCACTCTTTGGGCCCCTTGGTACCAATTGAGCATCGTTGCAACGCCACAGCCTACCTGAGTATTGTTGCTGACCATGTCCATCCCTTTATGACCACAATGTACCCAACTTCTGATGGCTACTTTCAGCAGGATAATGCGCCATGTCATAAAGCTGGAATCATCTCAGACTGGTTTCTTGAACATGACAATGAGTTCACTGTACTCAAATGGCCTCCACAGTCACCAGATCTCAATCCAATAGAGCATCTTTGGGATGTGGTGGAACGGGAGATTCGCATCATGGATGTGCAGCCGACAAATCTGCGGCAACTGTGTGATGCCATCATGTCAATATGGACCAAGCTCTCTGAGGAATGCTTCCAGCACCTTGTTGAATCTATGCCACGAAGAATTGAGGCAGTTCTGAAGGCAAAAGGGGGTCCAACCCGTTACTAGCATGGTGTACCTAATAAAGTGGCCGGTGAGTGTATAGTCAGATACAGGTTGTGGGCGCTACTTTCTACACAGCTTTATTGAAAACATCTGAGACAAGTGTCAGCACCCATGCTAGCTTTTCTTTAAACATCAGCTGTTGAGACTAAAAACCGGATATTATAATGTTACCAACAGTCGATGATGGAAGTTCTTGTAGATGTAACAGCCCCATGTGTCAGTCACAGTTGAGACACAAATCCACGTTGTGATGATATGTGTTTGGAGAGCAGTGAAGAAGTGAGCAGAAACAGTTGTAGTCCTGAAATCATCATGACCACCCACTCTTTACTGGTGCCATCGTCTGTGTGAAGAGAAAAGAGCAACTTTCACTGAGGTACTGAATCAACAATGTGCAGAGTAAAGGCAGTGGTGAAGTGGACCTTACAGCTTCAGGGTGGGCATGTCCCTGATAGATGATGATGTGTCCTTCAACACTGTCCTAATAAGATGGCAGAGCCTGATGTAAGGTTCAGGCCAAGTCTTGTAAAGTTATCAAAACAAGCTGTTTAGAGAACTCTGGAAACATCTGGAGCCGACGTACCCACTGTGCAATGCGACGTCAAAATGGCATCTATTTAACGTATTTTTTCGACAATGAGGTACAAATATGGACGTCATTTCAACGTCTAACAGAGGTCCAATAAACCTAAACCTTGGATCAATTTTGTACGTTGTGCCAACGTCTAGATTTGGTCTTCAGATGACATCCAAATTCTAAACGTCAGAACGACGTCTAAAAAACGTCTTGGATGTCAAAATTTCTAACCCTTTTTGCATGTTGCACTGACGTCTAGATGTGGTCTTTGACGGACCGACCCAATACTGACTTTGACGTCCGATGTTTGGTGGGTTGGACCAAAACCTGACCTTGGTCTTCTCTTAAGCTTCCTGTGATTGTCGTCCTCATTGTAATATCACCTAAAGTGAAGTCCTCGACTTAACTCCTCTGGTCAAGATGTGTCAAAATGGGTCAACGCTGAAAACCACGCGTCACTCTCTTTACACACTGTCTCCCCCTTTCTCCCCTTCTGGCATGCCATCTGATCAAAGGCAGCCAGTTGGGGGGTCAGCAGTATTTTTATACTGTGAAGTGTGGCGCTGAAGTGGCCCCTGAGACCCAGAACAAGCCTGCCCTTTTGCCCGAATAGACTCTCACCTTTTCCCCACCTTCCCTCTCTCCCTCTCTCTGTATCAACCCTCCCTCTGTCTCTTTTTTTCTCTTATTTTTCTTTCTTTCCACCTCTTCATGTGTCCTCTGTTTTACCTTTGCTTTTTTAGTGTTTTAACTACATAACTTGCTGTCTTTGTTCTTCATCTCTGTCATCATTTCTGTTTTATTTGTCTGTTTGAAGCAATCTGTCGGTCCTCCTCTATGTGCTAACCTCAATTTGAACTTCGCTCTTTCCCTTCTCCATCTGTTTTCCCCTTCACTTCTGTTTGATTTGGTGCAGTGTAGACAGTATAAATCAGTTCATTTCAATCACACCTTCCCGCATTTTGTTCAATTTCCAGGTTCTTTTTAATCCAGTTCGGTTTTCCTGCTTTCCCTAAGCTCACCTATAAATTTCAATTTTAAGTAGTCCAGTTAAATATAAATCATCACAAATACATTTCCAGAGTATAAACTGTTTATGATTTACTCTAATTCTCCTCAGATCAACACAACCTCTCTCTGTCAAACCTATTAACTCAGTCCGGTCACAGGTCAGTTGTAGTCCGGTAGCTTTTTCTTCGACTCATGAGAGGATCAGGTCAAAATCAGGACTTGAAGTCTTTGGGGTGTGTTTGTTTTGTCCCTCTGCCCAGCTTCCTGATGGTCTGCAGAGATCTATATTCCGCTGAGTAATGGAGCCGTAGTGAAACCTCCTCATTCGATCGCGCTAACCTGTCACATAACTCTCCCGCCTGTTTGTTTACCCAGAGCTGGAATAATAATTGCAGTACCAAGAAAGAGGCGCAACCGCGGTAGTTTCGGGGTGATTTATCCCCGCTGTTGATGGCTATCTGCTCTGGCTGGAACACGAGGGCTGTAAAATCAAGCGCTCCTGTGAATGATTTCCTCTCTTTCCTCCCTACTGGGTCATTTTTTCTCCCTCTTTGATGTGTCTCCTGCGCTCGCTGGCTGTTGTTAGACAGAGGTGTGTTTGTGAATAGATGTACGGCTGTGGGGTAGGCTGGGTCGGTCATTCAACTATGTGGAGGGATGTAGATGTTTAAACGGATGTATGGGGTTAATCAGCATTTTAGAATAATGAGTAAGTGTTCGTTTTGATGCTAAGACCTTATCTGATAGTATGACTGAGTGCAGTGATGTTACACAGCTGTCCGGCAGTTCTCGAGGATCTCATGCAGGGTTTTAAGCAAAAAAAGAAAAGCATCTTTTTAATGGCAGCAGAGGCATGTAAACCTGGAGCCAAGGGTGCTGCGTCAGTGGAAAATAGGAAATGTGATGTGTGTATGTTTGTTTTGGCGAGCGCTTTTGTTCATGTGAGTAAGAGGAAGTAATTCAAACATTTTTCTTAAATAGGACTATTAGCTTCATTACAGCAAATGAGGCTGAGTATACCAAAAAGCACGCTGCCGTGTGCTGTTAAAGCGCAACATGGGGCTGCCTGTGGTCATGACTTCAGCCTGACGCTCCTTTACTTACATCAGATCCTGTAAAAATGAAGTCTCCAGTCCTCATTTCGACTTAAAGGGGAAAAAACATTTACAAGGAAGAATAGAAGTAAGAATGAATAAATCTTGCCTGAACTGCACACACCTTCCTGAAAGATAAACGAAAGGTGGTCGTCAGAGGTTTTAGCAAGGACAAACCATGAAGAAAAATGAAGTTCAATTCTTGAAAACTTTAAGTGTGAATCTCTGAAATCAGACAGACAGAAACTTCAGACTCTCATGAGTCTTGCAGCTTTTCTCTACTGCCCCTCTGTGTCTCAGCGTCTTCACATTTTGCGTTTTTTATTGCTCTTACTACCTCATAAAAGTGTCATATTTGACTCTTATGAATCCCTCAATCTGTCCTCTTTCTAGTGGTCTGAAGAACAAAACACTGCTCGTAAATATAAAACTTCTGTATAAACTGTCCGTCTTTTGTCTGCTCTGTCTTTCACTGTCCTTCTTTCACCTCTGCCGCTGACTGGAAGGGGACGCGTTATTTTTCATCACATTTTCGACTTTCAGATCAGCTGGCAGTAAATAAAACTTGTTTCCTTGAGTAGATCTACTATTGAAGTTAGTCTAACGTCTCCTTTCCTCTCTCTTTGTTTTCCAACAGTGCGTCCACGTTTCACCCAGCCGTCAAAGATGAGGAAGCGTGTCATCGCTCGCCCGGTGGGCAGCTCGGTCCGCCTCAAGTGCACAGCATCGGGCAACCCTCGCCCCGACATCGTCTGGCTGAAGGACAGCCGGCCGCTGGTGGACGAGGAGGGCGGAGCAGCGGGAAGAGGAGACGGGGAAGGGAAGAAGAAGAGGTGGACTCTGAGTCTGAGGAACCTGACGCCAGAGCACAGCGGGAAGTACACCTGCCATGTTTCCAACCGAGCCGGAGAGATCAACGCTACCTACAAAGTGGAAGTCATACGTAAGTCTGAGCGTACACACAATGGAAAGTCATAACTGAGGTTTTTAGAGCTTGTGCTGATCACAGACATACTGGTGTCAGCAGGAAGGTTATCAAATTTACGCTGACAAAGAAGCAGTGAAGGGGACTGCAGGAACAGAACAATCTCAGACGAGTCATTTTCACTCTAATGATACCGTAAGAATAAAGCATGTATTGTACTTTTGTGGTTTCTCCTTATTTTCTTTAAATAAAGTCGGATATGAAGAGGAATTTCCTGTTATAGTCCAGTGAACCCAGAAAAATGAGTCTCCTAATGAGCAGGACACTTAACAATATGGACTGAGAATAAACAGCAGACATACTGAGAGAGTTACAGACATTATTGTGGTTATTCTTCCTGTCTGTCTAATAATACTACGATTATGCAGTATGTTTAAGATCATATGATGAAGAACACCACAATTATCCTCTCAAATGGAAGTGATTAGCCTTCGACTCGACGAGGAAACGCAGCTTATTTAGTTTGGAAAAGACTCCGGGACAGATCCAGGACTGTCTTATTCTGGTCTCTTATCAGCAGTACAATAAGCGCTTCACTTTGTGTTCGATATTTTCATTCAAGTCTTTTTAGTGGTTGCGTTGTGTGTCATTAAAAAAAGCCACAGTGGCCACATGTAGCAGCGAGGCTGCTAATGAGCTGCATTAAAGTTTAAAATAACTTTTAAAAGCCTTCGTTCACTTCAGTGGCATTTATTGATCAGAGCCAGACCGGGCCGTAAATATTAGTCAGACAGATTTTTGAAGTCCAGGAGTGGAGGCAGCTGCAGTCGAAGTCGAGAGAAGGAGCAGTTTTACTGTTAAGAGCAGGTCGTGATGAGTTGTGAGTGTTTAGTGATGTGTTGGGTTTCTTTATGGGTGTGCGATGATTCACTGTGAAAGTGTTTGGTGAATTTCAGTGTGTGTGTGTGTATGTGCATTGAGCTGCATGTTTCTGAATGTGATATCTCTATAGAGGACCAGCTCCTCTCACTTTACACTCCACATCTGTTCTGTGTTAAAGTACAGCTGTAGTTCTTCCTGAAGGAGACACACACACACACACACACACACACACACACACACAGAAAGTAAATCAAACCACTTCTAGCTTATGTCAAATGTGACATTTTCTCTTTCAGCAGCGATCCACTGAGCTGTCAGTCATTCACAGCTGTTCAAAAGAAACCAGAAAAAGAGAGTCTAAGACAGAAAACCAGTGAAGTTCTCGAAAAGAGGATGAATTAACAACACAATAAGTGTTCCTGTGATTATTTCGAAGGCTGGCACAGGTTTGTCACTGCTCGATCAGGACTCACTATTACCAAAAGGCAGATTAAAGGCTTTGACAGAGGCTACAATCCTCAAGTGGAGGGCTGGTTTGATTCAAACCTGCCGCCCCTTTCCCACATGTGGCTCTCCACTCTTTTTTTACTCTGTCCACTGTCCTCTCCTCTTTAAATAAAATCAAAAAGGGACTAACATACCTGCCAACACTCCCGTTTTTCCCAGGACTCTCCCGTATTTCAGACCTATCTCCCGCCCACCTCCCATATTGTCATTTCTCCCGTAGTTTGATGGTCCACGTTCACTCATGAATCGGATCACAATATTTGTCCAAAGTTTCCAGACAACTGATGATAGTCCTGTGTTTCTGCTGAGCCTCACAAACACTAGACTGATTCTTTTACTTTACAATTCGGGCTGATTCAGGTCAGTTTAAGCTGTAAACTATATTTAAACAGTGTTTGTTGCGAAATGAACACTTAAGTTCAAAAGGAAACAAACACGAGATATAATATTTATGTTGATAGTCTTTCACCGTCTCAGAGTGATGTGTTTAGGGCAGCCTCAGATAAGAGTGCTGTATTGCACACACAGATGTTCAGAGAGCCTCATACAGGAGAGCATAAAACATATCAGGACTTTAACACTAATATTAGTGGACTAAATAATTCAAGGCAGATCGTACCTATTATTTTTTTATTACCATTTGTTATTGTTAAAGAAAACAAGAAAGTGTGCAGCTTCACTTATACTTATTTGGATGAGCAATTTAATTACAAATACTCTCATAATGAGCTCATATTAACCATACAACGTAACCCCAAAACCACCCAGAGCACACCGCAAAAATCTCCCAGAATGTCGGCAGGTGTGCATTAACATACAGACTACCATCTTACCTACAGACAGACTGATCTGTCTCAGCTGTTCATAGCAGATGATTAAGGCACACTGAGCTCTTCTATCTACTTCTACAAATTTATTTCAAATAACCAAATGTGGATCTTACTTTCCTCTGTCAACCTCCATAAGAATCAGTAAAAGTTTCCAAACATAAGTCCTCTCTGACCCCACAAATTTATCCTGTAACTCAGCCAAAACGGAAGATGCCTCTTTAAACCTGCTAAAGCAAAGTTTCTGTAATTATCTTATCCTAAGATTGCAAAACAACACCGATGAAGAGACCATTGAAAGGCTGGTGCAGGTGTGTTTACTCTGCTGTAAAAACTGCAAAAGAAAAGGCAGGAACTGAAGATAAGGGATCTGTTTGTGTGTCTTTAACAGAGAGGAAGGATGTGGTGCTTGAATACAACAAGAGCTGTGCAAATAATGCTTCTAAAAACATGTTCAAACCCCCAGGTGTTGGATTTTTTTAAAAAGGTCACTCAGCTCTAGTACCTGAATAAACAATTTCATTTACTGTCTCCCTGATTTTAACAGTAAACATCACTCTAACGCATTTTAAATCCAAAAATTGAATCTAATTTCAATTTTTTTTGTGTGTTTTCCTTCAGAGCGAACCAACTCCAAACCCATTCTGACCGGCACTCATCCCGTCAACACCACCGTGGACTACGGAGGAACCACGTCCTTCCAGTGTAAAGTCCGCAGCGACGTCAAACCGGTCATTCAGTGGCTGAAGAGAGTCGAACCCGGTGACGAGAACAAATTTAACTCAACTATCGAGGTAAAAACAAACAAAGTCTTTATGTAAACACACACACACCTGAAGCTGTTATTGATAAATCATACTGTGAATGTGTTCTTTGAAGGTTGGGGACCACCGTTTTGTCGTCCTGCCGACCGGAGAAGTCTGGTCTCGTCCTGATGGATCGTACCTCAACAAGCTGCTGATAACCAGAGCCAAAGAGGAGGATGCTGGCATGTACATCTGCCTGGGAGCGAACACTATGGGCTACAGCTTCAGGAGCGCCTACCTGACTGTGCTACCAGGTCAGAGGAAGAACGACAGACAGACTGAGAAAAGTAATCTTAGTGATCTTTTCTGATTATCCCTCTAGAGACAGTCCCTCTAGATACTTAGGACCTGATCTACTAAAGGATTGCGTGTGCAAAAACACGTTCAAACTTGATTGCGCACACTAACCTAATCTAATAATTGGATGCACCGAGGATTGCGTCTGTCAAATGAGCAAAACCGCGTGTGCAATCGATTTATCGTGTTTGCTTCGTGAATAAATTCTGGGAGGAGCAGATGCAAATGAAATCATTTAGCACCCGCAATCTGATTTATCAAACCCGGAAACAGGTTGCGGTCGCTGTTTTGCTTCTATATTTAGCACGTTTGAAAAGCATTGGTCATTGTGGAGAGAAGGATGCAGAAATGCCATGATACACGCCATGATCCTTGTCCGAAAAGCTTGTGATTTATTTCCTTTTTCTGGTAAATGACGATTTTTATAGATAATAAGGTCAAACACAAAACAGACGAAAAAAATGATCTGTTTGTCTTATTGATTTTGAATTGTTTTTATCCTTTTTTTGATTTCTAGTTTGTCTCCTTGTGTCTATAAAGCACTTTGAATTGCCTTGTGTATGAATATTGCTGTACAAATTAACTTGCCTTTTATGCAGTTCCCCAAAACGATAAGTACAACTCCACGGTTTCAAACACTCTGCTCTCATAAACTCTCCATGGTGACAGCCGATAGCGCACGCAAAATCCTCGGTCCGCACCTCTTTTGCTCCCGCTATCAATTGTGCACGCAATGATAGTAGATCACCCGCAACACGCCCGCTAATAGCACGTGCAATTTTCCAGTTTGCACACGAAATTTAGCACTCGTTATTTTGTATCTTAGTATATCAGGCCCTTACTGTTTTATTTTGCTGCAGCACCAGAGAGTGTTTCATCTTTATAATTATATTTTTTTCTGTTAATTGCAGATCTGAAGCCCTTAAGCAACTCCATCCCCACGGCAACATCCCCGAGCCTCCCCTGGCCCGTCATCATAGGAATACCAGCAGGTGTCGCCTTCATCTTAGGCACCGCCCTCCTCTGGTTCTGCCAATCAAAACGCACCTGCTCCTCCTCCTCCTCCGCTTCTGCTTCTCCATCATCCTCCTCCGCGCTCCCTGCTGCTCAGCGTCTACCTGCAGCCAATCGGGAGCGGACCTGCGCCGCGGCGCCTCAACAACCGGCCAGCGGGGATAAAGATTGCCTTTCATACGAGGACTACATCGCCCATCAGCAGCTGCTTCTCGCTCAGGGGGGCGCCGGATTGGCCCCCAAAGTCTACCCAAAGATCTACACGGATATTCACACGCACACACACTCCCACGTGGACGGGAAAGTGCACCAGCACCAGCACATTCACTACCAGTGTTAGCAGTGAGAGGGAAGCAGCTCCGCATCGACTCTTAACACGCACAGAGACTTTTTCACATCAGTGCAAACAAACTGCGACATCCAGAGCAAAAGAAAAAGGAAAGCTACATGTGCACACACTCAAACACAGCTCCTCCTCCTCCACCTGCTGCAGCCTCGTCATGTTGTAAACGCAGACTTTCACAGAAATGAAGAATGTAAAGAAGGAAATGCATCCTTATCTTAGCCTTATCTGGAGGCAAATCCAGAGACACCTATGAAAAAAGATCTCAAAATATACTCGATCTCAAGCCTTTTTTATATAGATATATATATATTATTTGGCCATATTTTAAGATACAACCTCACAGCAGCTTTGCCCAACGATTTCTCAGCTTCTTCTCTTTCAGTATGTTAGATACACAACCACAACCTCCTCAGTAACTGTAGAAACACAACTGTAGATCCTCCTGTTCATAAATTAGTCATACAGTAACACAGTATTAAGCAAGCTGCTTCATCCTGGATCATCTATAAAGAATCATATAGCATGTGTGTAATTGTATAGCTTAATTTCAGAGTGTATCTCAGGCGTGAGCCAAACTGAGCCATAAAGAGACACATCAAACTCCCACTGAAGGATGTGGGGATAAAGGCTACAAGTTTTTGCTTCAGCTGGGCCGCCAGCCATCCTGATAAATGTCCAGCTGCTAACTGGGTGCTGCGGAAATAAGAGCTGATGTCAAACTGATCGCAGACAGCGTGCAGCGAGGTTTCGGCAGCAGCTGGAGTGTGATATCTGCTTCATCCGAGATTTTTTACAGACTGTTCTGCTGCTCTGTTTTGTGAAGAAAGCTGGCATTTCCTGCTTTTTTTTTTTTTTTGCGGCTTCTTTTTAAGCCCCCAGACTGAAGAAGAGAGCGAGGGATGCAGCTTTTCAGTTCTTCTTTTACAACATGTTGAGTGTTTTTAGCCGACAGCGCAAAGGGATGATCAGCCACGCCCTCAGTGTACACTGGTGCCTTCCAGGAATTGTTTCCAGACTTGGTGGATCACTCATGGATCATTGGATATGTCACAGACTCTTGTTCAGCTGTTTTGAGATTTAGTGGGCTTTAACTCTATCTTAAGGATGAGACCTAAAGTCCTCAACTCTTCCTCTTAAAGCGCCTCACAATATGACCTCAAATATACTGAAACAAGGTTTGCCTGTGTGCTGTTTTTGGGCTCACACTTTGTTGTAAAGCAGGAGGAGTCATCTGTGGATTGTGTTTTAGATAAAGGACTTTCTCCTCACCTGTGGACCCCTCTGTTACCCTTTTATAAGAAAGTTTTGAAATGTTTAAAACATAAATGATGGACTGCAGCTCTAATGGAATAAATATCAGTATTTTATCACTCAGATTTAGAGCTGTATGTGCTGAGGATCATTATTATTATAACAGTAATTATTATTGTAACAGTACCGACTGAGGAGGTACATTTGCTGCTCCCACTGCTGCAGATATTTTCATACAGTCACAAAAGTTTCAATCTACCACTAAATATACTGGCTGCCTTAAGTGATGTTTAAGATAATAACCTCCCTCCTTCAAAACTCGTGCATTTTCATTTGGGTGTGAGATTTTTTCTGATGGGATGATAATTGTGTGTCATGTTAATGCCACACACCTGCGATATACCTCGAAAAAACAACAAATGATGCTCCCTGGGAAAGCCTTCAAATTAATGCTCATCCTCAGCAGCAAATGATGTTCGGATCTGTTTCTTTCTTGACTTTATTTCCATGTTGGATGGCAGAGAAGGGGACTCCAGACTTGGACTTACGCCGCTCACTGACTTAACTCGGCGAAAACTGACTTGCGCCCATTTCTGCTGGATAGTTTCAAACAAAACTTTTTGTTTCGAAAACAAAATAAAAGTGTCCGATCAGCTTCGTTTTCCCACTATTTTCAAACTTTATCCTGTTTAGATTTTCTTGTCAAAGCTAATGCCAGTCAACCAACTTTAAGTGCACCTCTGTGAAATTTAGAGCATCACTACTTTTTGTCATCTTAAATTTGAGCTATAGAGGGCAGAAAGCGGGACATTTCTTTTTTGTTTACTAGCGGAGTCAACGGAGAAAGAAAATGACAAGGAGCTGTTGTGCTGTAAATCGTTGGTAACATTTTGACTTTGACTTTGTTAGCATTCACTAACATTATGACCCTGCTCCCGATATAAGAAACATCCAAAACAACGTCACAACCTGGTAAGATGAGTGAAATTCATGGTCATTTCAACAAGTGTTTGTTTTTTTGTTTGTAATGCAATGAAAAACAAAGCGATTTTTCAATGAAATGACATTTTATTGCAGTTGTGTCAGGATGAACTTGCAAACAACACGGCATCTTCACTGAAATCGGTTCACTCCAAAGCAGGCTTTTGCCCCATGGTTGCGTGCAAACCAAGAAACCCGTGTATGCCCAACACACACAGGTACGACCGATACACCAGTACAAATGAGAGGTATTTTATTGGGGTACGGTATTTTATCCTAAAAAAATTGGTGCTTGAAGCAGCGAGTGACTATTTTGTAGGATCAGTAGAGGCTTCACTTTCCAACAGCTCTCCATCAGCTCATTATCAAACATAAAAAGAGGACAGAGCCCCACAGCAGAGTCTTCACAGTCAAACCTTTTACCCCTGAATCACTTCCTAAAACAGACTTTGTCTTTTCACACCAGTGCCACTTACAATCTGGATTTTACTGCGCATGCGATGACATTAGTGTTGAAATCGTAACTTTTAGACAATTTAGCGAGAATGCTTTTGGACCATACAGTATCTCTAGCAAACACAATGGCCCACAGAACACTAAATTGTCTCCAGATTATTTTTTTTTAAGTGTGTTTCTTATTTATTTTCCTCTCGACATGTTTGTTTTCTTTCATTTAATTGGGCATTATACTGCATGAGTGGATTGCATTATAGTAGTAAAGTAAGCTATGTAGCAAATACCATCTTCATGTCATTGTAAGATACTGTATTTATATGTGCCAACAAAATATACAAAATTTTATCGATAATCTTTGTATCGACAATCTTGTACAGTCTATTTTCATTTAGGCTTCGATGTTGTTTTCCCATTGTAATCATTTTATTGGTGCCATTAAAAAAGTTTAATCTATTATTACCGTCTTTGCTCTTTACACTCATTCATCCACGTCTGCCCAGCCTTTCTCACCACAGAGAGGTATTCGCTCCAGTCCGGTACAGTAGCTCACTCTACAATAGGACTGTCTTCAAGTGATGTCCTCGAAATAGTTGTGGTCCTCCCATTGTGAGCGCTGAAGCCGGCGTTTTGTCTGTCAGCGTGTCTGTCCGCGGAGATGACGGATGGACAAGCAGTGCGTGCAGACGGAGGGCGTGAAGGCTCCGCATCTCTGTGACTCATTTAGGAGAGGAAGACGATGACAGAAAATGCTGCTGAAAGGATGGGGCACTGCAGAGGAGTGGAGGGGTGAGAGGGACAGATACTGGAAAAGAATCACTGGATGATAAACACCAACAAGATAGTCTTCTGCTCGTCTTTTTTTAGAGTTTGGTGTGTAGATTTCAATCCTGTACTCCACTTTTTAGAGACACTTTGACCATGAAACATCCTCAGACTGTGACTAAATTGAATTTTTGTAAATGACCTTTTGTGCAGCATGAGTGCGTCCACCTTTAACCTAAATACACTCTGTCCAGTGACGAAGCATGATATAAATCTGCTTTTTTTTAACTTGACTTTTTTTTTTGACGTCAACCTACTTTTTTCTCTTATTTCATGAACAGTGGTTCAGAACAGACTTTGTTTTTCTGACTGAACATTTTCGACTTCTCTGTGTTGAATCAGGATTTTAACGATGCGATACATTTCAGTGGTTAGCACTGTCGCCTCACAGCAAGAAGGTCCTGGGTTCGAATCAGGATCAGGGCATTTCTGTGTGAAGATTGCATGTTTTCACTGTGTCTGCATGGGTTTACACCGGGAACTCCGGTTTCCTCCCACATCCCAAAAACACGCAGAAGTGAGGTTAGGTTAATTGGCCGCTTTCAAATTGCCCGTAGGTGTGAATGTGAGTGTGGATGGTTGTTTCGTCTCTATATGTCAGCGCTGCGATGAACTGGCGACTTGTCCAGGGTGTCCCCTGCCCTCGCCCAAAGGTGCTGGGATAGGCTCCAGCCACCCTGCGACCCTGGGAACGGGAATAAGTGGTAGAAAATGGATGGATGGCTACATTTCAGTGTTAAAATAAAGCAGGGTAACACATGGGACAAGAGGACTGGATTTGTCCATAAATTTTCTCACAAGCTTTAAAAACTATCAAATTCAAATCAGTCAAAATAAGAGAAAACAAAACAAAACATATCCCAAAATCGGCCCCGCCATGATGACCTCCATGTCATTTTCTCTGCTTTTCCCTGTTTCGACACACATCATTTTTATTGGCTCAGACATCCTGTGAAAACAGTCTGTGTATATAGTTTCCCTCCTTCTAATGGATGTTTTGACCAAAATAGGCAAAAATCTAAATGCTCTGTTTCGTAACCTTTCAGATTTGACTGTTGATGGTTGAGAAAAGCGGATCTATAGTGAAAGAAAAAACATTCAAAAAAAAGAAAATATGAAAATTTACAAAGAGGTGAGTTATCTGTTAGGAATCTGTGGATCTGAAATGTCTGTACAGTCAACGGTTACTCATGTATATATGAGTGAACCCGGGGTTTTCGACATCCTGAGTGACTTGGATTTGTTTGCATCTGGGAAGCATAGAAGAAAAGCAGAGGTTGTGTTGAAGCTGTGAAAGATGTGCGTTTTATAGCGTTGTAGCGATGCAACTTCTCTGGGCTTTTTCCATGCTTGACATTTAACTCAAATCCTTCCTTATCTCTTCGATTTTGCCTTGTCCTGCCTCGGTGTCTTCCTGCTTCTCTCCTGTGAATTTGATTGACTGAGAGGGAGGATGGTGCAGATGACAGACAAGGGAGGAAAAGCTGAAGGAAAACAGGGAAGAGGAGGAGGAGGAGGATGACACAGAGCTGAGCTGCTGACAGATGTGTTGAGCTCACTACAGCCCTGCGATGATGAGCAGGGATGAGAAAATGGAGAGGAGATGAGGAGAGACGGTGGAAGTGTCAAACAAGAGGGGAAAGAAATGTGCAAAGCAGGAAGGGAGGAGAAAAAACATCAGAAAGAGACTGACCTTTTGAAATGGAATATAATCCAGCAGAAAGAGGGTTAAACATCACCTTTGTTTAACCAGGTGAAAGTTTGATTGAGATTAAAGGCTTCTCGGGCAAAAAAAGGTCAACATACAGTAAAATCTTCTCAACAATAAACACATGAAGTTAAACAGTGAGGATCCTGTTACACAGAGGAGCAGAGATCATCCTGTTCAAACACACAGGCAGATATTTGAAGTATCAAGTGACCATTAAAACAAATCAGGAGGAACAACAAAAGCGTCTCTGACCTTTACACAATTAAACCTTATTTTCTCGGACTTTGAGCCAAATATTTTCCACGGTAGGTCAGCTGCAGAGAAAACTCGTCCAACTCTTCGTAATTCCTTTTGATTCTCCAGTATGAACAACACACTACCATGTGAGCTGTCAGCACTGAAAATGTAAACGTCTCGTGCAAATCAGAGCGTGTTAGTCGGCCATAGCAGGTTCAACTGTCTTTCCAACATGGGAAAGCTACCGTCTTGGTTATTCACGAATACATAGCAGTGCCCCTGTGTTGTCATCTTGAATAAATCACTGCGATTGGCTGGTTTTGGCAGATTTTTTGCTTGATACGAAATTATTTGATTGAATATAAGAATATTTTGCTTCTTTCTAGTCGGGCTGTTTTGCAGTGTAGTCTGCATCAGTGTGCAGCTCAGGCCGCTGATCTTAAGTTTGAGAATTTTCTGGAGACATTCCTGAGCAGTCAAGACGTCCAGTGAAGTCTTTGTTTAGTTAAAGTCACTGTTTTCTTTCTCTGTTGATATCTCCATTTCCGTGTCGATTTCATTTCACAGGAAGGTTTTATTTCACAACTGCTCAGTGTTTGTTTGACACAGCTGTAATGTAATATATCAGCTGGGCAACGTATTTAAAACGTTCAACATCAGTTACCAGAAATGGTGTGGCGTCGGTTGTGCGCTGATATCAGAGAATGGTGGTGTGCGGTTTGTGGTGATGACTTTGCCGCGCCAACCAGCAGGTTTACATCAACCGCAGTTTATTTGGAGTGAACCAGCCAACACAATTGACGGTGAATCTTTGCGCCCTCTTTCTTGCTACTCCACTTCCTCGGCTGCTGTTTCACCGAAACACTCTCAATTGCCAGGGCAAATATTTGGTCCCTTTAGTCCTTGAGGTTTTGCAGGACCTTCCTTTAGCTTCCTGGTTCTGCTGTGTGGTTGGCTGGTGAAAAGGGTGTGAACCTGTGGAGGAGATTCCTGGGCGCTTGAGTCAACAGCAGCTGTGGTTGGTGATGAAGAGAAGCTGTCCAAAGAGCTTTTTTACCGTCAACTGGCTTTTCAGTGTGAAGGGACGGCTCAGGTGAATGGAGTCAGTGACCATGAAGGGCCCAGACACGCACCTGGAGGAAAAACACATGCGCATATCTTGTCATAGAAACCTGGGGAACGCATATACAAACAGTGGCCAGGAAAGAGCCTGACAGAGTTTAGTGCGTATGCAACATGTGCACACAGCTGCATATGGAAGTTTGCACACCTATGCACACACACAAAAGCACAGATGTTTGCATCACACACACACACACACACACAGATGGAGAGAACACAGACACCTGGCTGGCATTGAATCTCTGCTCTGTTTGCATACCTCTCCCTCTCCGCACTCATCCTCCACACAGCCACAAAGCCGCCATTAAAACCAAGAAAACAAAAACACAAAAAGAGGCTAAAAGGGGGCAACAGGCGGCTTCCATCTTTCTTCCACCCTTCCTCCCTTTTCTCTGACTCTCTGTACCAAATGTTTACCTTCCCCCCCCACCTCCCGTGAAAAGAGAGGGATGTGGACAGACAGGGTGAGAAAAGAAAGAAATCTGGCAGAGGGGAAGGGAGCCAAGGCCTTTAAAGTCCGCCACAGAGCCGTGACAAAAGCCTCCTAATCTCGGTGTTGTCTTTCGGCCCCTTTTTCTCCCCGCACATCCTGCCAAGTGTGTGTCGCTATGTGAGAGTGTGTGTGAGTAAGGAAAGAGTGGAAAAAAGGGCGCTGTGTGTGAAAAGAGTGTGTTTTTTAAGAGAAAGTGGTAAAAAAGGAAAGCAAGCTGGTGTGTTTCTGCACAAAGAGATTGCATGTGATAAGGACGTTTGTGTAAGTGTGTGTGTTTGTGAGCATCAGTGTGTGTGTGACAGGAAAAGAATCTTTCCACAGCCGCGCTGACATCACTCAAGCATGCATGGGACAGTTGGAGGAGGCCGGGCCCCTTCAAAGGCAAAAGCCTGCCTGCCTTCACATGTGGGATGCCTGTTTATGTCTCTGTGTGTATGTGTGTGTGATGTGTGTGTGCGTTTGTGTCTGTGTATGTATTGAACAAAATACGAGAGTTTCAGGTTAGCTGTCCTCACCTGTTCCTCTTTGACTCAGAAACCACCTCTATTCATGTCTCATCTGCTGAAATGCAACAAAACTGCCCGTGGGTGTGTTTTTGTGTGTGTGGAACAATTCCTAAATCTATTCACCCTCTTCAAAAGCAGCAGATGTGAATAGGTGAGTGCGTGCGTATGTGCGTGTGTATGTGTGTGTGTGTTTGCGTTCCTTCCTCATCCTGTGGATCACTATCAGAGGGCAGCTGTGGTCCAAAGGCTCTCAGACACACACCGGAGGAATGCACACTGCTGCTATCATGATTTATACAGAGCAGACATGGACAGCAGCGCCATCTAGAGGCTGCTTACTTTAGTGTCGAGTCAGTGCTTTGAGCAGAACCTATGATTAATAATAATAATAACTTTATTTGTATAGCACTTTTAAAAACAGAAGTTTACAAAGTGCTTTGACAAATAGTCATAAAGCACATAGAAAAAGACTGATAAAACAAAAAGCTCAGTTAAAACAGAATTGAGGGCCACTTTCATGTCATAAGGAACCCAGACAATATCCACACTAATAATAGGTTATACTAATAATAGTAATGATAAAATAGAGCAACACAAAAAAGCAAGAGATAAAAACACAAGACAAACTCTGATTGGCTTCTTTCTTTTTTAATGATCAGTATTGTCATTCAGCCTCTGTACTTGGAACATGCCTGAGCGAGCAGCCCTTTATTTGTACTTGAACACGCGTTGCACCGTTTTTAAGGACAACACTGTCAAACATTAAGAAATATGTGGGAGTGCATGCAGGCCTACAAAATGATCAATCAGCATCAAAATCGTGTGCAACAATTCTGAAAATTTTGAATCTCTCGCTGATATCCAGTGATTCCAAGTTAATACAACAAAATTTGCACTTTTTGATTGCTTTTTTAAATTTATGCTGAACCTGAATGTTTGAAGCTATTGTTCTGTCATGATGTGTGCTGTTTGAGTTAGTTTTTCCCTGTTTTGTGTTTCCTTGGAGTGTATTTTCTTTGTGATTTCCCCTAGTGTTTCTGTGCCCTATTGTTCCAGTTCCCCTGTTGTCCTGTCTGAGTTTTCAGTTTGTGTCTGACCCCAGCTCCCTCATGTTCTCAGTTTTATTCTTTATATTATTTTTCAGTGTTTCCTGATTTATTCCCTGTGTTTCTAGTCTTGTTTTACTGTCTTAGTTTTCCCTCCTCTGTGATTGTCTGCACCTGTGTCTCACCTGCCTCTCGTTGCTCGTTTCCCTGTGTGTGTATATATAGTCCTTGTCTTCCCGTGTTTCCTTGTTGGTTCATTGTATATCTGTGTATGTCATTGCCTTCTTGTGGTTATTCCCCACTGCCTTCATTTGGATTTTTTTGAGTTGGACATTTACTAGTAAGTTTTTGTTGCTTTTTATTTAGTCCATTTTGAAATAAATCAGTTCTTGTCATCCGGCATTTGGAGCCTGTTTTTGTTTGTTTCAACCTGACGTGACATGTTCAACGCATATATATATATATTTTTTTTAACCTGTTTACTGAGGAGATTTTAAGGATAAAATTTGCCACTCAAAAGCCCAATGTTGTCATAACAAATCTTTTGGTGTCCTTTTTTGTCACCAAAATGTGGTTTGTCAGAAGGGACTGATAGAGCATGTCATAAAAAGAAAAATGACCAAAATGAAGACAAAGAAGAGAAAAAAAAAAGAATAAAGAAAGACTTATCAAAAGTCTTCACTTTATTCATTTTTTTCCAGCAGTAGCAGCACGACTGCCTAACATGAATCTGGTTCTGCTCAAGGTTTCTGCCTGTTAAAGGAAGTTTTTCCTCTCCACTCCGACTTGCTAAATGCTGCAACACTTCAGTGTGCCACACTGAAGTGGTTAAAGATGGGATGTTAGTGGGTCTGATCTTACAAAATAGGGCTGACAAAGACTGACTAATACAGAATCATTAAGAGCCTAAAATAATCACATCATCACACAGGTTAGGATATGAATTAATCCTCTGTGGTGGCTTTTTTCTTTTTGATAGGCGTGCAAAGAACCACATCTTTGAATGTTTTAATCTGATAGTGATTACAGATTATACACTGTGGGCCCTCATAAGAACACTGTCTGCTCACCTCAGGAAGACAAATATCTCTGGTGTGAAATCATTTACTTCATGTTGTGTCTTGCCTGAGGGGATTACTCGTACAGCACCAAAGTTACAAGACTGAAATAGTGAGTGACAAAGTGTGAAATCTGGATCAGATTAAGAGAGAAGCTTCCCTCTCTTTCTCACACACACACACACATACTCGTGGAAAGACAGAGATGGAGACACACAAAGTGAGAGTACAGAGAGGGAGGGAGTGTTGGACAAGCTGTGGGAACACGCTGCTGAATAATTACCGCTGACATCAGAATAGTTTTCTTTAGCTCTCTGAAGTGGCAGGGCTCATTTGTACAGCCTGGAGCCATATAGAGGTGTGTGTGCAACAGTGTGAGTGTGTGTGCAGAGGAGAAAGTAAGAGAGAGATGTGTTAGTGTGTGAGAAAAGATTAGATCGACTATTGAAAAGAAAAGTAAAACATAACTGTAATTGCAAAAGAGGTGACCCACTGTGTGAGTGCGTGTGTGTGTGTGTGTGTGTTAATGTGAGCACACAAGGGAGAGATTATTCTGATTTAGTCCTCACCCTGTCAGTGTGTGACACCATGACAGCTCTGTCCGCCCCAGGGAGCCATTTCTCTCTAAGTGGACCTTAAAAAACAGGAAACGACTTCAGATCCCGCCGGAGTGCAGAGGAGGATCAGGCCTACTGACTCTCCACAATACCCTTTAACTTTAACACACACATTAGTAAGAGCCTGGATATAGCGTGCGCAGAGCTAGAACACACACAAGCAGTCACACCTGAGCCCTCTTCAACAGACACCATTCACCACCTTGACAAGCGGGGACAAAAGAAACAGAAACGCGGGCCGACAAAGAGAGGAGCAACCTGTCTGAACACATCAGGTCGCTCCCGCCGCCTGCTTCCCCACATCAGTTTCTCCTCGCCGTGATGACCTCAGGATGGTTTCATGTTTCTGTTTGGCTGCACTTTGCTTTGCCTCCACTTGCAGGCTGTTTTGTAACAAAATTTGCGGGTGAATTGACGAATCGGGTTACTGAAGTTGTAGACGGCGGGCCAAGAGTGAAGGATCTCTCACCCAGGAACTACAGTGCCACTGCCTGAAGGCTTCTTTGAGCTACAGCAGCATTAGTCTGTCGAGCTTGCAGTCTAGTCTTGTAGAATTCAGTGAAGGATGCATTTTTTTTTTCTTGCACATAATCCTGGTTTATCTTTGTAAATTGAACAGGTGCTGGTGCAGCAGAGTGGGCGTCATTTCATACTGTGCCCTCGGCGAGAGGCTTGTAAGGCTGCGTGTTGGGTGAGACGTGGAGGTTTATGCAGGATAAAGTAGTGCAAAACAAAAGAGCAAGGCCAAACAAGTCGAACTACACTAAAAAAAACATGAACTGTGACCATAAACACTCACCAACACGGAAGCGTGTCTGAATAAAGACACTAGGGTTACAAAATCATATTTCATTCAACACCATTGTTACTTTTGCATCTCTTTAATTGATTAAAACAAATGAAAACAACATTTTTACATCACAGATATGGATCACATCTGAGTCTCAAATATACATTTTAAACTGTGGATCCAGGGTTGTAACGACGGCTGATGACTCATTTTAGGTAGCTTTACACGTGAGTACTTTCATGCACATCCCAGCAGCCAGGTGTGCTGCCTCCTCATGCTCCATATCACGTGTGTGTGTGCGTGTGTTATGGCCCAGGGGAGACCAGGGAGGACATGGAGTGTCTGAAGGACGAGGGAAGTTGGAAGATGGGAGACTTCCAACCAGAAATCTGGCTGCTGGGAATGTCTGGAGTCAACGGTACTCCTTGAAAACGACTGTGAAAGAAGAAGAGATAAATCCGGAACTGATGGTTGTTTTGCAACACTTAAAGCTACCATAAGGAGATTTTAATGTATATGAAATAGACTGTCATTTATATTGGTGCATTTTCATTATATCTAAAAGTAAACAAGGGCACCAGGGACAAGACTGACTGTGAAACTGGGGTCAGGAAGTAGGTGTCAGCCAAGCAGCTTTAGAAAAAGCTTTTTTTTCTTTTTCAACAATTTCCACATAAAATATTCACTTTTGATGATAAATTTGACTGTCAGCAGGATGAGATTCTTTATCAAAAGATACTTCTTAGGTATGTAGAGGACAAGATAAACCAAGGCTGCACCGGGGCATCCAAAGTTGACGTAAGCAAAAAATTCCTCACAGGAGCTTTAAAAAATGAACCTCTCACTCACATTTTCCTATTTAAACTTTTTAAATTATTTACATTTTACTTTAAAAAAGGCTGAGTTGTTTCATAAAATCTGTGATTTCTGTGTCACTTCATGCCCACCCACTGCTAGCTTTGAAGCCAAAAGGTTGCCTCCTCTGGCACCAGCATTCATGCTGGTGGAACCAAGGCATGCATAGAAGCAACCTGGCTGGTTGTGTAGCGGGTGTGACGCCAGTCCTGCAATGTTAACCAAAACACGCACTAAACTTGTCAAAGGCTGTTGAAGCTCCTTCATGTGGGTACAGTCTGCAGCAGAACAGATTCTTATGTTGGTGTGAAGCAAACAATCATAATCATAGAAAGTCCAATGACTCTTGTGGTATGTTTGTCACAATTATTCCTCTAATCTGTTAATCCACTACAGAACCCTGCAGGAGTGTGCGTTTGTCACCAGAGCTGACAATCATGCACTTATCTGCAAAGTAAAATGATCACTAATTCAGTCCAAGTTTTAATCTTACAGTTTGGCTGTTCTCTGATCTGTTTACATTATGAAAGCAGGGTTGTGGCCTATATTGCAGCCAGTCACAAGGGGGAGCTCTAAATCTTTTGGTTTCGGGCTGAACAGATACTCATGGTGTCCACTTACATATACAATCTATGCTTAAACCATCGCTCCAGCTGTTTCTCCTATTGAAAGTATATGGCTGACCAGTGTGTTCTGAAAATGTCTTGAACAACCTCACAATCTATACCTGTCGGCTTCATGAACTTATCAAGGGTTTTAAGGGATTTTTAAAATCATTTAAAATAATATGAAAACAGGTGGTTGGGGGAGCTTAACTTTTAAAAGGCAGTACATGGATATTTATTCATCTGCATTATTCTGATTGTAATATTTTGTCACTTAATTGATGAAAAAAGTCACCTGACTGTGGCTGAACAAGCTGAGTAGTTGGTCAACGCGCTTCGATCAGATGATCTGTGAGAGATGGTGCCTAAACATAAAACCAGAGAGACATATTTCATGCATATGTAATGTTTTTAAACAGGCATGTACAACATTATGACTTCCTAGGATGCGTCATTGGCTTGAACACTAACAGATCTATGATAAGGAACTTCTCAGTCTTAATAAGACGTGAAGGTTGTCAGTGGATTTATCACCCACACTAAAAGTCAAAAGTTCCTCTAAGGGGAACTTGTCCTTTAAAAAGTTGAATAGAAGGAAGTCAGTGGGTGTAATCCTTAGCAAAACAACAGCCGGCATCAGCGTTGGTGTCGTCACCGTGGGTGGTCAACTAAGTGCACATAATCCACTAACAAGGCTGAGTTGCAAGACGATTTTGTCAGGTTATTATGGAGCAACTACGTCAATGTCAGCCTGACACCTTTCCTTTGAATACTGTAAATGCAAGCTTCAGCAGAGTACCTACAGACTAAACGAGGAAAGGTGTCAAACTAATACATCCACACCTACTGATACAGCGGGTACTAGCAGGCCAAGCAAAGCACTTACCCATTCGTCCGCTTTCGGGAGGGCTGATCAGGGACAGTCTGGGGACAGTGTTGGGCTGAAAGACACAGACAGAAACCTCCTAAATTAGGCTTGTTTTAACGCTTTTAAGTTTTAAGTATTAACGTCTGAAAATAAATCTAAAAAAATAACCCATTCAGGTCCCATTCATTACTTTACAGAAATGTTGATACAAAGAAACTTACCTTCCTGAACAGACCATCCACCTCCATGTTATCAGAGCTACAGAAAACAAAATCACCCTTCATCAGTCAGAATACCAAGCTACAGGTCCAAATATAACAGTAAATTTGAATGCAGATGTCTTTTCAGGTAGTTCTGCGCTCTTCCATTGAAGTTTAACTCTACAAATTAAAAACAACGCACATGATTTTGAAAGAACGTTTCTGCACCAGTGGCCAAAACATGCCAAAACCTACACAGTTAAATAACGCTCTTCATAATTAACCTTTTATTCTTTCCTCTAGTTTTAGGTAAATGCTTTTTTGTAAGTTTGTAAACTATCCATGTGGCACTTTTAATACTGTTGTCTCAGAGATGGCTACTTCATCCAAAAAACTCAGTGTCCAAATGAGAATACACCTGGTTGACCGAACAGGTTAAATACAGGCTCTGAAACACTATATGCACTATAATTACCTCTGCATGAGCAAACATAATTATTTAACACATAAAACCCCGACTTGATTGACCCTGCAGCCATGGTGGATGTGTTTCAAATGGGGTTAATATCCGCTTTCCATCACTGCTGCTTTCACTGAGTAAAAGAATCCAAAGTCTTGCTGGATGAAACAACATTTGTACAATTAAACTCCAGCAGCCAATCAGTCCTGTGTCAGCCGTGTCTGGGAAAACCATGAGTGAGTCCTAACCAAACCCCAGTGTGGCCGAGCTTATTCAGGTGTGTGAGTGTGGGGAGAAAGCCGCAGGGCAGGGCAAAGCTATACAGCAGCTAAAGCTAACATAAGACACCAGAGTTGAAGCCAGGATATAGGGTGTTTGCACTGTGAAATACCTCCTACGTTCTCCCTCCCTCTCAGTTTCGCTCTTATGGCGAGAGGTAATGAAGGGCAGAGAGGTAAAAAAACACAGACGGAGGTGGGGTGAAGGGAGAGCAAGTTAAACATTAACATGGAAGACGGTTAAAAATGCTCAAACTCACAGATTAGCCATGGAGGATTGTCTTGAGAGGGGTTTGAATGGACTATGTAGGGCTGTAAAACAAACAAGAAAACACAACAAAAGTAACAATTATAGACTATCAATGAAAATGAGAAGTCATTGCACAGTGTATATCAGCAACTTGGTGGATATATTATTTATTATCATAATGTTACCCTTGCTGCAGCAACATTTAAAACAAAACACTATTTGCTGTCTGAAAACCTTTCTAAATAGGATTAAAAACAATATGCATTATGTTAAGACATCTAAGTCACAAACTGTTTTATATCTAAAGACTTTTTTTAAGGTTGTTATTTACCTTGTGTATGTCTCTGTGGAGTCTGGGAGTTGTGGCTAACCTGAGACATTGATGAAACCATTGAACTGGATGAAAACAGTAAAAAAACAGATAAATTAGACTCATCATAACAGATATAGCTCTAGGTGAATTTATAGATTATTCACAGACAGGTGAAGAAATGTAATGTCTTTTTACAGTGGGCTGCGATATTTGATTAAATTTTAAGATTGGCTGTTGAATTGAGAGGCTAAACTAACACCATGAAAAAAATATCTTTGGACGGATTTTCAGAGTCTATATACTTCTACTTGGTCGGTGTTGGTTGCAGCAACTCAAATGTAGATGAGCCAGGAGTGACACCTAGTGACAATTAAGGTAACAGCAGCTGGCTGTAAATACCTTCTAATGCTGTGCTGCTGCTAAACTTAAAATATCACCGTCTAAATCAAACGTATTCCAGGTTGCACAGCCTTTGTACATCTTTGTGAGTCTCATGATTACAAATGCAGAAAACCCAGCTCATGATGTTTTAGCATAAGACATCAGCCAAATGCTCAATACAAAATTGCTGTTTGTTGGATGGCTAAAGACTTGGAAAATTCATGTCATAGTAGCTGTTTAAGACAGAGAATCCCCCAGAAACTTATCAAATTTATAAACATTAACACACAAATAACCAAGAAACACTTTGGAGGGTTGAATAATATTAAAAAAAAGATAAAGTCTTAAATTTTGGAACAATGTACTGTAGTAGCAGTAGCAATGTAGTAACCTGTAGTAGTAGTAGTAGCAGCATTGGCTCGTGAGCAATACTGTGTCTGTATGTGTCTGAACCGAGTATGAATATCACCCAGAAGAATCTACTCTGTGTTGTACCTGTGATGCTGGAGGGTATTTTCCAGCTTAGCGATGTAGGCGCTCTGTTCGTTCAGCTTCCTTTAGCAGGAAAACAAATGGAGGTAAAAGTCGCGCAGAAATCCCAAAATTCATTTCATAAATAAAAAACAACTTTCCTTACTTTGTCATCTGCTGCATTTCCTGCTTCATCTTGCCTAATACCTCCTCTAGCTTCTCATTCTGTATTAAATTTAATGGTTAATACACAGTGGTTATAGTAACATATTGTTTAGGGTGTTTACATCCATTTCAGTGAGAGCAGAAACTCAATAAATCACACTGTCATTATGGTTGGAGGGTTTAAAGAATTTGTGTCACACGTTTCCTGCGCAGTAAAAATTAATGGCCAATAATGAGTTTGAAGATATGGTCCATTACCTGCCAAATGAAGAGAAGCAAACTCTAAAACACAAGGATACACTCCATCAAACATTCCCTTTGGCAAAATTATAGTAGCTCTTTCTCACCTTATTCTGGTAATGAGTCAACAGTCTCTTCTGATGTCTCGCCTGGAACATAACAACCTGGAAAGGGTAGGAAATGGGCCACATTAGGTTTGAAGAAGTAAATAATATATTAAAAAAGAAGAACACATAATCCATTTATAACTCTACCAAACAGCTCTTTAAGAAAACAATCAAGAGGAACTAAGTTTTAAATATTTTACCTTGCTGATTTCACTGAAGTGCTTTGTTGCCACATCATTGATGTCAGAGAACAGGGCCTTCACCTCTGAGCTGCTCTGAAAAAAGGACATATCATATGGCCATAAAATGAGCTTTCTCTAAAGTTATGAAAAATTGTAGTTTTTCCATCCAATGATGAGCAGAAAGATACCTACATTGTCTGACAGAGGTGAAAGTTTGCACGTGGCCTTGCATATCAGACATATGCCTTGGCTGCCTAGAAGAAATGTTGCAATTATAAAGAATCAGATTTTAAAAGCAACAAATGAGCTGCATAATTCATCAGGGTTTATACTGAATATAGGACATGTGGAATCTGGGTTCTCAGTGTGCTTCAGAAGTGGCCCCAAAGTTAATCATCTGTATCTCATGGGTCTAACTCTGAAAGCCAAAGCAAATTAAAATATAATCAGAGGTTGATTGAGATTTAGCACAGAGGAAAAGACTTGGGTTTGTGAATTTGATCAGTGTCTCCCAAAGTGGGACCAAGGGACCTCCAGGAGTGTGCCAAGAGCTCCCAAATCCAATGCTGGACAGAGTGATTTCACTTTTAATCATTTGAGGCCATTAGGATAAGAACCCAATGGCTGAGCATGACCGGATCAGAGATTTCCCTCTCCCTGATGTAATATTAACTACAGTAATGTGAAACCCAGCGTGACCACAAGTACCATGTGTTTAAGGAGGGGGTCATCATCTCTGCAATATCACTTTAAATCCAACAGATGTCCCTGTTTAATCATGCTTTCAGTGCAAGGGGGAGCAGACATTGAGCAACCAAAGAAAATACATGGTCATTCCTCTAAAACTACTAAATCCAAAACACTGTGATTGTTTTCCCTGGGTGAGCACAACAAACATGTCTTCACCTTTCTGAAAACAGACACTACAGATGACATGTCCACAGCTTGTGACAGCCAGTTTGCGGTTAGCACTGGGTGAGTGGAAGCAGGAGTTGCAGCATATCCAGTAAGACATTTTCAGACCTCCTGCAAGAAGTGAAATGAGCTTTAGTTTGAGAAGTTTCCTTAAACTGAAGTTACTTTCCTAGCTTTGGCTGCTAGGAGTCAGTCTGTTGATATAGCTTTCCGTTTCTGCTGTTGGACTTTCAAAAAGTGCTCTAAAATAATTTATACCATTTTGAAAACGAAAAAAACTTGATAAGAACTCATTTCTATTGCTACAGAGGGAATATGTAGATTAAATACATTACCGAAAAAGCCCACTGCCGTATCAACTAGCTTAACCCAGCTAACTATGCATTCACTTGTAGTCGCAATAATCGGAAATATGAATTTCTCACAAGGTCGTGGATTTCGTTGAAATAGGCTCGTGATTCAACATTTGTTGTGAATTTGTGATATTTAGAATCGGATTGATTAATCCAATGTAATTGTTTTCAACGTATCTTAATTTTCTTTCTTACAATGCGATTTTCAGATTACTACCAAAATGAGTTTATATCACGGAGAAATCAGAGCATTCGACGAACACGTGAATGCAGCGCGATTTACTGTTAGCAGGTAGTGATGGACACGACCGTTCTTTTAGATGTACTGAATCACTGTAATCAGTTCACTTAAAAGATTTGTTCAAAAGATTCGTTCACCGAATCACCAATCATTCAGCACTTGAGGAAGTGATTTGTTTCAGTACGTTTACTTAAAAGATTCGGTTCCTTTGAACCAATCGTTCGCGAGCGACACAACACTATTACCGGGCAGGTAGCGCCGAACTGTGTGAGCGAGTACATTTGTCGAGAGGAACTTCAGATACATATTTGGTGTTTAACTCAAATGCCAAATTCCACCTCAAGAAACTGTGTTTGCCACTGTAGTTATGATGTAAAGGAAACTAACCAACACAGTCTTTGGGGTATATTGCCTTTAAAGTTTGTTAGACTGAACTTTAACGGTTTTTTTCATTGCTAGCTTGTCGGTTTTAGCTAGCTACTTAAAACTGAAGAGCTGAAGACTCAATGTACTGAAGCCTCCACTGAAACTTCACAAGTTAACATTTGTACAAAAGGTAAGTTCTACAATGACTCATTTGTTTTGAAATAAAAATAAATACACAACAGGCATACCTTTTTGACCTTTTATTGCAGTTGAAGGCTCATTTTGCACTGTGAAAACGTAAGTCATTATAAAGGCTGTACCTCTGGACAGAAAGCTGCATATAAACACAAGTATGCACTATATCAGTGTAGTGATAACATCTAAGCACATCATGGCATTTTCAAGCCCCATGTAACTTTGTTGTCAGAGTTGAAAAAGAAAGGAAAATATATGGATTTGATACAAAAGGTGAAAAGAAAGAAAGAAAGATTGCAGATTTGACAACTTTCCTGTTATATCCTATTTAAAAGATGTACCATACCCTTGTGGTTTTTCTTATGCCATCATATATGCCTCATAACGTTTTTATTTGTCTACCAGCCATAACATAAACACCCAGCAATCTAATGTAAGTGTAAAACTTGTATATTTAAGCCTGTCACCAGATGTTTGACAATAAGGGAAGAGAGCTTTTATTCTGCAAGACTGTTGCTGACTGTTATGTACATTCATGGGACAGAAATGGTCATCATTAGACCAACTTCTTGGCAATGAAGAAGTCTTTCAGTCGTTTCATCTGCCAGAAACCAACCGACAGCAGAATAGAAGTTTGTACTACAGCCCACCATAGCACTTTGCTGTTGGTCTCCTCGCTGATCTGACGGAAGACTTCCTCTTTTTCCTGGTAATAAGGAGGAAATGTATAGTATGGTGGAAGATTTGCAACAATGATCAAAACTACTATTAAATGCACCATCTTGTGTGATTATTTACCCTTTGATACTCCTGCTGCTTGCTGATGTACGTCATCTGATCTATGAGGTGTCTGAGGCTATTCTCCAAAAGGGCCATGTTGTCTTTGGTATTTTCATGGCCAATAGTGTGCTCTCCCATCTGTACATCCAAGTGTAGCTTCTGTGTAGTAGATAGAAAAAAAAATGGTGAACATTTTTAGAATAATCTGTGACAAATCTAAATTTATTTTCTTTATTCAGTTTGCAATGAAATATTGTAATAGTGCAGTACTTAATATGTGTCTGCATATCCTCCCCTGTTTGAAACTGATTTATTTGTGTCTATTTAGGTCTCACCAGCTTCTCTCCAGCGAAAACGGAGAATCGAGTCGAGTTGGTTTGGAAGCAGAGATAGTGCAGACCAGAGGCATGAGCTGTGAATGTGAGTTTCCCAAATTTGCCGAAGCGTTTTTTCATCAGAACCTAGAAGGTGGGAAAAACATGGCAAGACAACTTGAGGCCAACACAGGGCGCTGATCAGTTGGTATAAAAAGAAGAGTTGGAGGTGTGTTACAACATATTTTTTTTAAACGAGAAGACAGACACAAGCAGGGTCAATCTTTAATAACACTTTGTTGGAGGGATTCATTCTTGTTTTTGTTTGTTTTGAATATAGAGGCCAACCAACACATTTGTATGTCTCTGTCATTTTGTGAATGAACTCTCCTGTGAGTGCAGTACCTCATGGTTGGGGTCTCGAACTGTTGCAGTGACGCCGAGGTGAGGGGAGGAGGTAACCGTTCTTTTATCCCAAGGCTCCAGCAAGAAATAACCTAAAGGTATGACAATTTCAAGTGAGAACAGTCACACACAAACTCACATACAATAGTGTAGAGGTCAGTGCAATGAGGATTAAATTGGGAAGCTTTTCTAAGGATGTAAATAAAAATTCTTTCCAGTTAGTCTTTTTACATAATCTATCATTTAATACATATATTTCTTGACAAGTTACAAGTAGCACCTCAGTCCACAAACACTCATAATTCTCTGATGAAGAGTTACTGAATAAAACACTGTTCTTAAACATGCTCTGAATAGACTGCTCTTTTCAGTTTTAATTTGTCTTTGGTGTTAAAATACAAAACAGATTTCTTTTCAGAATGATGCAACTTTGGTAGTTTGATATTCACAAATGAATTCTGCTCATACAGACACAAGAGGCGCCACCATGAAAATACATTTAACATTTCTGTGTGACTCAACAATCAGGTGTAATTCACAATGTTAATCCATTACCACTGTTGAGGTCATAAACTACACTCAGGAGAAATCTATTCTCTCTTTAGGACTCACCAGTAACCAATGTGTCTTCAGGAATCTCCTCAATGATGCATTTTTCCTCCTGTTCTCCGAGATCAAAATACATGGCTGCTGCCAACATCAGGTAACACTGCAGGAGAAAACCAATGCCTCGCAAACCCATTTTCAGTGAAAAATACGTCAGTAGATAAACTTACAGTGGACTTGACTCTGACTGAATATGTGGCCAGTTGTTCCAACGGACTATTTTTGTAGACCTGCAGTTCTGAACTGAAGGTTGAGCTTTATTTCAGTAACTACAGCTAAAAAACTGTGTTGTATAGCATATATTTAAAGTGGAAGGCTTAACTGGAGACAGTTTTGGGTGTGAGAACCTCGCAGCTGCTGCTTTGTGTGACGAGACATTCTGGTTGTTGTGTGACTGGTTCACTCAGGAGCCAATGGTAAGGCAGCTCAGAATAGTGATATACTAGGTCTGACAACTTGCAGTGTGTAGATATATATATTATCAAACATTTTGTTCATAAAACCTCATTGTGGAAGTTAGGACCTCTGAATTTACCCCCTAGATGCATACATTTTATGCAATAGCTTTTCCAAAAAAAAGTTAAGTATGTTCATGTTTTACTCCAGTAGCTGTTTCCACTGTAGAGCCAAGTGCATGCTCTGCATTTACCTCACTTAAATGATAGCAATGGATCTTGAGCTAAGCCTCAAGGGTTAATCAGTAGTTATTGGCAAGATGTCACATATCTGGAAAAATATTTATCCATTCTGGTTGTCCCTCAAGGGGTCTCTAAACTTAACTGTAATATCTCTGGTCAACTCACAATTTCCTGTTTCTTGGGATGTCTCAGTCCTTCTAAAATACATCTTTCACCTTCTGACTTTTTAAGCAGGAGGGATTATCCCTGTCCCAGAGTCGGTTTTCACAGTTTGAAACAGAGTCCAGATCTCCTTAGAAATTATAATCCTTAGCATTACATACAATATCTGCCATGTGCTTTCTTAAGATGAGGTCACATATAAAGTGAAGTCCCTCACACAGCATCTGCAAAGGTTATTATTACCTCCAAGTAAGCAATAATTCAGGTTTTCTCCCTCTCCCACACTCTGGTAGTTTTACACAAGGAGTGAATCATATCAACATGTTTAACGAACCTTTAATTCAAAATGTTGATACTTTTTTCAGCTTTAGTTGTTCTTTACGATGTTGGCTGGAGTCTTTATAACAAAACTGTGTAACATATTCAGAAAAAAATACTTCGTAAAATAGCTATAAGTGAACAGTCCTCCAGTAACTATGTCTTCCCTGTTTTGCAGTGAATTATGAATCTTATTAGGGCTGTCATCCCTTTGGTCAACCAAAATTACACCCTCTCATCAACCAATCAATCGGTCATTGGGAAAAAGAGACACTGAAGGCCTAATTGGAAAAACGTGCAGTGTGTTGGGTGGATGATGGGTCTGGCAATAAGACAGGGCAAATGAACTGGTGATCGCAGCACAAGAACTATTTAGAATTATATACAAAATAACCTCAAAATACTTTTGGTCTTATTTTATAAAGTAAACAATTAACAGGACCCACTTGTTCCAACCCACAGACACATGTGATGATGTGAACAGGCTGAAACACAAAGCTTTAAAGCCTTGATGCCACCTCATATTAGTTCATACATAAAGCCTGTGTTATTTTCTGTGAAAGCAACAAGGGTGATTGTCTGACACTTGAGTAAATGGATGGATAAGACCATCTAATCTATCAAACAACTGAAGGGATTTTCCTATTTCATCTAAGTTTACAAAAGCTCATTTAAAAAAAATGGTAGGTGTGACTGATCCCCTTGATTTAAAAAGACACTAAAATATATTCCTCATCTTTTAGTACAGGGTAATCCACTCCAACCTATCTCAAACCAAGCTGATGAAACTAGTGTTAAGGAAAGCCAGAGCCTGAGATTGCTCCTCTCCTGTTTCCCCTGATTCTCTGTCTCGGTATTTTTCCTCTCTCTTGTCATTCAAAACACCAGGAGCTCCCTCATGCACCAGATGTTCAGTTCTTATTGCTGTTCAAACTGTCATCTGTAGAATAGTTTCTATGTTTTTATCTGTTTTAAATATTTACACCTGTATCATTGGCAAAAAAAGCCATTCATTTTAATCTATTTCACATAATGTTGTCTTTATCCTGCCCAGAAACCTCCTGTAAAAAAAACACTGGGTCACCATACGCTTAACTGGTATCTGTTCTGTCTATTAAACGGGACTCCTGCTTCGTAGTGGGTCTTGCTGCACTGGACGTCACAGCGAGAACTGAGCTCTGTGAGATTTTAGAGTCCTGTAATCTATATCAACATTTGGGGAACTGTTTTAAATAGTTGGTGAGAACATTCATCCGTTTTATGACCAACACTTCATCAGGGCGAATCCCAGCCAACACCAGGACTCCAACTCAGGTCATCCAGTTGACAGTATTTATCTCTGCACTCAAATTGATCCCGTAGCCCAAGTGTTATTAATATTACCTTGGGATCCCAAAGTAAGCCGTAATGTGTGGTTTGGATTTAAAAGTTAAACACTGAACTGAGCAGAGCAACCAGAAGATTTTTTATCTATATCATGTTTATACTTCCAATAGTATGATTATGCGACGTAAATTTAGTGAAACTCCAAATATTTCCAATCTTGTGTCTGTCCTAAAATGAAGACTTCATGGATTGGATTTCAATGAGGCCACAGAGTCATCACCATACTGTGTATTTACACTTTATTCAACTTTAAAACAAAATACATTTTTTCACATTTTTTTTATTTTTTTACAAAACTCTCATTTTCCATATTGGAATAATATCTCAGTTACACAAATGAATACAAATCATTACTTCAGACTTGATATATATACTGTACACTACAGGTTAAAATCCTGTCAATAAATATACATGTCTTCAGGAAAGCAACCATGTCTCAGTACAATATGTTTCGAATGAGACATCATATGTAGGACTATACCTCACTCTCTAATCCTGACACTCTTTTCTACCAGAACTACTCCTGCTAATGGAACGACTGAGGCACTTTGTTTTGCAGATATGAGGGTTTTTGTTTCTGTGTTTAGTAGATGCAGGGATTTTCAGACTTCATTATTATTTATGTGTATTTATTTCCTCATCCATTAGTTGAAAGCCGCTGGGAGTCACAATACTCTGTTTTTTTCCCTATGACATGAAAAAACTGCACAATCCCGACCCTAGACAAATTATATAATCTGACAAAACTGAGTTAGTGTCTAATAGCTGTTCTGCCAAACTACATCTTTCTAGTGCTGTCAGATTTGTAAATATGGTCTAAAGGTGGGTCTGTTTTTGCAGAATGAGCCTCATAAATTTCACCCTTAGATCATCAATCAGTCTCTTCTGCAGAAAGAGCAAAGCCAGGGAGGAAAATAAGGGAGTTTAGTTCGTTTACTCCTCGTGTGATCTCAACACAGACCTTTTCTTGTTATTCCTCCGTCTCCTTTCTTTCCTCCCTTTCCTGGCTTTCCTGTCTTTCTTCTCTCTCCTCTCCTTTTTCTCTTTTTTCTCCCTCCTGTCCTGGCTTAGTCATAAGCAGTTATCTGGGAAGCACTTCCTCTCCTCTTCCAGCAGGGGGCAGGCTGCTCCATTGTTGGCTGGGTGCATTAGGATGTAGCGTGTGCGATGCTGCACGCCTGAGTCTCCACACTTGCCTTTGCACAAGCCCCAAGGAGACCAGACTGACACCTCACAGTCCAGAGGGGTATCTGGAGAGAAAGAGAAAGAGAGAGAGGGAGAGAGAGGGGTGTCAAATCACATCAAGGTTTTCTCTTCTTTAGTTCTTCTACAAAGGCAGTTGTTCCCAGCCCTTACATGAGAGTGCCTTGCCAATTTTTTGAGTATACAGTCTTTATTGTTTGGCAAATGTTTTAGTTCCCTGTTATACATCTGAATGGAAAGAAATGGGATTAGTTATACCGGGGAACCACTGCTCTTAAACATTTTAAAGCTCTTTAAAGGAATTTACAAGAATGCTGGCTTACTTCGTGTGAGCCCATAGTTTCTTGCTGTAGATTCTTGGCTCTGATTTTGCTGCTGTAGTTGTATTCTTTTATCACTGTTTAAATGAGGCTGTATGAGCTTTCACTGTAGACATTTTATTATTATGCTACCATTCATGAGGTCCAGTGCAGTACGTAGGGATTTTTACCTTGACTTTAAGGAAACTCTAGCTGCACTACAGTGAAAATAAGCTGTCTTTTCATTAATTTCTCAGCTTTCAGAACTTTCTAGGCTGCCTCAGCCAGCCTTGTTGTACGCCTGCGTACAGTTGATAAGTATTACAGACTTGGTTTTTGGTTGAAGAGTAGAAAAGCAGAAGGATGGGAGGTGGTGAGGAAGCTGTGTGGATGCTTAGCTGAATAAGGTAATGGAATAAGAAAGTCAGATCTCCATTCAGCTTGTACTGTATATCCAATAAGGATGAAGGAAGCATGAGCAGCATATAAGGCAGTGGAGATGTATGTTATGTCAGAGCTGCATTTCAATGTCACAATCAAGAGCAGGTGGTCACTAAGCTGAAATAAAAGTTGTCACTCAAGCCTGGAGGAAAAAGCATCAAAGAGGTGGAGGGATCACGGAGGAGAGGGGAGCATAAACAGATGGAGGGGTTGGCCAGAGCATTGGGATCAAGGCAGGAAACCCCAGCAGATTTTTGGCCCCTCTCAACTGTTTGTTGGCTGTGTTGTCATGGGAATGGACTTGTAGCCTGTGATGCTGACTCAAACCTTTACCCTCGCCCTGCACACTGAATCTGATTACAGCACCGTCGGCTCCACTCCTAGGTTGACACGCTATCTGTTCCCCTCCAAAGAAAACCTTTCCTGGTCAAGTCATCTGTTCAGACATTTTGTGGTGAATTGTGTTTTTATAAAAGGCCATTTTCCCCTCCTTGTCACATTGAAGATAATCAGTCATTTCAGTCAGACAGTTTTTGAATTCTGTACTTTTGGCTCACCTGCAATTTGACAAACTCTTTGTTTTTTTTAGGCTATTACCCTAAATGGTTTTGCAAAAGAGTTACCACTAATCTGTAAAACAGGCAGTCATAAATGTTAACAGTCTTGAGACCAACATTAAGTTAAACCAGCTTCATCTTATGGCTCTAGATCTTGTTAAAACATTGGTGTCTGCATCTCATTTTGGGTCATGACCCAGACATTGCTGTACAATGTTTCCTCATTGGTTTCTTAAAATGATCTTTCACTTTCCCAGTTTGTCATTTTGTGTTTCACTGAATACCAGATGTGTCTCTGGCATTTTCTGGTGCCCTACCCTCGCTTGGTCTTTCTGGTGTCTGGTTGGAAGTAATTGAGTTAGTGTGTGGCCCTTAATGGTTCCCAAATGTCTTCTTCTGAGTCAGCTAAAGACTAAGACCTTAACCCTAGGGATTGTTTGAAATCCTGCATTTATGTAACTTAGAACATTAACTTTTTCTGTTTGTTTTTTGTGTGTTTACTCTGATCAGTGGCAGCTGAGTGGAGAAATATCTAAGGAGTTAGCTAATGGATGCAAATATGCAGTATTACAAAAGCAACATTTCCTCATTTATCCATATTGAAATGGACACCAGAGGGGTTCACTGACTGTGAAGCCAAAAGATTGGAGTGCCCCCTACTGGCTGGCTGCAGTCCATTTATTGCAGGTAGATGATGCTGAGTGTTTGTTAAGCAAAGGATCATGAAATTGTTTCTTCATAACTCTCAAGAACTGTATCTGTTGGTTTTGATGTACGCTTCATAATTCAATCACAATTCAAGCACATATTTTGCAGTCGGGATCAGCCATCTATAACTGATTCTGTCCTTTTAACCAGTTTGAAACTTTATACTAGTATTTTAGTCAAACTTACTGATGGGGGAGTCATCAATCTCGTTTCCTGTGAGTAGAGGGATGGACTGGGTGGGCTCTTCAGGCAGGCTGATGATCTGATTGGTCTTCTTTATCTTGGTCAGCGTTAACTTCGCAATGGGAGGCAGGTGCTTGAGACGGGGATAGTAGAAGGAGTTTGCAGGGTGGTGAGGAGATGAAGACGTGATCTGTAGATGGAAAATAGAACGACAAATGTTGAATAATTGCAGAGATTATGGATGAAGAGATCAGAATGAATTGAATGTAAGGCAGCCACACAGTTGGAGCACATAAGTCTTTAAAATCTTCTGCTTTTCAAATGAGTGATTTATTCCCCTTCTTTAAATGGTGCAAAACATTGTCTGCTTCATTGCCATGGTAGGCTGAGGCTAGCCGTGTTACACTCTGCTTTTTGGATTTGAACTGATGGATGCTGGCCAACTTACCTGTGTGATTTTGTCCTGTGGGATGGTCTCAAAGTTTGGAGAGGAGAAAGTAAACCCACTGTCAGTTCCTGCATCGTAAGGGAAAAGCTCCAGAGACACATTTTCTTTCCAGTGGTCGCCGTCACACAGGTCAATGGAGTCCACACCCACAAACCAGTCAGGGCTTGGAACGATACGCACGATAAACGACAACTGCAGATAGAGGGGAGGAAGTGGACCATGTAGAGGGAGAGGTAGCACAGAGAGGGGAGGGGAGGGGGGAGGAATAGAAAGACGGAGCAGAGAAGAAGTTGAGATTAAGAAAAAGACATAGAGAGGAAAGAAAATAGGGAGAAAAAAAAGTTATTTCATCAAAATATGGTTTGCTTTGAGTTGTTAGCATTTCTATCTGTAACTGTCAGTCCCCTCCAGACTGCACTGGGGTTGTTTTTCTCTTTTCCCTTGACTCTGACTCATCTCTTGTCCAAGCTTAACATCATGTTCTGTCAGATGTACCCCAGACTTTATGACCCATCTAGACGTTCATCAGTCGGAAGCATAACAGCCAGCTCCTGCTGAGTTTTACATAAGCTGCTGGTACATAAATAATGCCTTGCATATGGAAAAACCGTCTGTAGTGGGTTTTATCTTTGCAAACTGTTTTGCAGCATCCGCCAAGTCGAATTTGATCTTTATGATCCAAAGCTGCAGCAGCATGACAAATTGAGACTTAGCTAGACATGAATCTAAAACTGTGTTTATTTTGATGTTTTTACAATCCATGCATTGTTTTATAGTTAAGATGTTCTCACAATCAATGTGTTTGGAAGTGCACAACATTTGTGGAACCTAACTCTGCTAGGTGCAATTAATTTACAGTTTAATTAGCTTAATATTCACTTTAATATTTAATATCTGCAGATTTTAGAACTAAAAATCTGCCTGATCATTGCACTCTATTGTAGGTCTGTTTCTAGTGCAAGATAAATGTGTCTCTATTTAGCCCCTTGACCCTGACTAAGGTAGAATCAGATTCACCTAATTGACCCAGAGAAAGAGCCTCTGGTTTACTCACTAGTCCTGACCCAAACTGTAAGAAAAGCAGGTGTTGAGTGACTTACATAGGAGTGTCTGGCGAAGACCTCAAACTCAGTGCTCATCTGGCCTGAGCCTCCCACAACAGCAGGAGCGGAGAGGATCCCATAAACGCTCTGGATGCGTTCGCCGGCCTCCTCGACTTCTTTCATGATGGTCCAGGCCTCGCCTTTCTCTGCAAACTCCCTCACACCGTTGCTGGCAAACTCATTACGCTGCCAGATGTGGTAATCAGAGCTGTGAGTCACTCCTAACAGCAGCGAGAGAGAGAGAGGATGTTATTTGATGCAACAGATACCTCAAATGCAGTCATCATATATGTACATTACCATGATGATTGTATCTGCTATGCAGCACTGTGTAAGAGAAGAATATGACCCCAGTTTGCACTTACCAATGAGGTTAGACCACTGTGCAGGAGGACGATAGACTGGATACTGTTTAGGGAAAGCAGCCTGGGTCCATTTGCCAGTGAAGGTTAGCCTGTACTGAGCAGTTTCTGTGGCCATACACATGGGGACATCAGTGGGAACAGGCATTGAATGAACGCCCACGCCCACTGTCAGCATCATGAGGAGCAGGTGGAAGAGTGCCTCAGAGACGAAGAGGAGGTTTCTTGCGGTGTCCATGCTGACAAGGGTTGATTTGGAGGTGGAAGGACCTTAGGGAGATCTATGAGAGGGGGGAGAAAGTACATTCCTTGAGATTTTATCAAGCTGTTATCCAGCTGTAATTTAGTATAGGTGTGATCATGAAATACTGCACTCTTTTTTTTGCTCTGGAGTGTGCTTTGGCTTTACTCCAAGAAGATTATCTTTGGGAACTTTTACCAACTTTGTCTTTAACCGTAGAAGAGGTTTTATACTGCTTTTTGTACACACTATCTAGCATTGATATTTACATCTGTGCTTGCAGTAGCCATTTTCCAGTCAGATCCTGCTCATGAAAAAACTGTAAGGGAATTAGTGCAAATAAAACGTCTGGTTGAACCACCAGTGTGGAGTCTAATAAGTGGGGCATGTGAGTCAGAAGGGGAACAGTTTTCACTTAACAGTTAGTTTTTTCCACTGTTTCGACTTGTAAAGCTTGTAAAGGGGTATAGGAGTGGCAGGACGAGATCTTGTATTAATTAAGGAGCAAATACTTGAAGTTTGGTCCGTGATGTTGCCTTAGTTACAGCCCGGGAAGCTCCAAATTCCAGGCTGAGAAATATTATCTCATAGCATACACCCAGGCCAGCTGACTTTTGTAGCTTTGGATATCTTTCAATATCACCCTCACTGGGCTGTATTTTAAGCAACATGGGACACCTCTTTTAACATTTTTTATATATAAGAGACCAAATTCTCAAAACTATCTGTGCAAATTATCACTACAGTTTATAAGTTGCATTTGCATGAAGAGCATTCAGAGGGGTGTGCAGTTGTACTGCGTTGTTTAAACAAGAAATAATCCTTGTTCTGTCTCATGCAAGTTTATCAAGGTTTTGACCGGAATATATTCATTGTTATTAAAGCTTTACTGAATGACAGAAGGTACTATCACAGTAGACATATTTTCACAAAGATGAAGTAGAATGTGGTTCATATTTGTCTGCAAATGTTTGAAATTGAATTCTTTTCATGTAAAATACAAAGCATCCATAAAATGTCAGTAATAACCACATTGACTTGTTGCATGGCAGGTACTCTGTCTCAATATTTATCATGATGTTTACAAATCCACTGTTACAGAAATAACTGCCAAACATTATGAATTCATATTCAGGGTCCTTCTATTAAAAGCTGTGTGTTCTTTAGATACTATCCTCTCTCTGTTGCTATATCACTGATGTAGGTGTAGATGTGGTGCAGAAGCTACTCACTGATTCTTCTCGGTGTTCCAGATGAATTAGGGGCTGCAGCGGATGAGTAGAGAGGAGGGCTGGAGGTGGAGAGAAGGGGAGAGGAGAGCGATAGATGTGGCTGTCGGAGAGAGTGACTGCAATTCTCCCAGTCTTCTTTCTCCTTTTTATGTCCTCCAGGAGGTTTACCCTCCCTCCCCCCTCTCCCCCTTTCCCCATCTTTCTCCCTCTTACTCCCCCAGAGCTCGTCACTCCCCTCCTCAACTTGCTTCACTTTTCTTTCAGTACTTTCTGCTTGTCAATGACTTCCCTGCCCCCTCCATGCCCTTTGAATTTGTCCCCCCCTCTCCTCCTCCTCCTCATCATCATCTCTCTCCAACTCTTTTTAAGACGCCCATTAACTGAATAATGTGTTCAGCAGTTTTGGATGCTTAGCCAGGGGTCCTGTGTGGCTCTGTGGGAAGAGTGTCATCTAACAGTATGAAATTGTAGCTCTCTTTATCTCAAAATATGACTAATGAGGCCAATAATGTGTTTCTAGAGTTCTCGAAATGTCTTTTGGTCAGATTTTTGAGTTGCTTGCTAGCTGATAGATCCAATTCTACCACTGCTTTTTAATTCATGTAGGAGGTAATTTTGCCTTTCTCACAACCCATTTGTATAACAATTGTGATAGGTTTTTCAGGGTTTCATAAAGTTAGAAGAATTAAAGTATTATCAGACAATAGGAGTCAATGAAACAAAGAAAAGATGTGTTTGTTTGGCACAACTGTAGGTTGTAGCACAAACTCTAGAAACACATTATTGGCCTCATTAGTCACATTTTGAGAAAAAGAGAGCTACAATTTCATACTGTGAGACTATAGGTTGCAGCAAAAACTTCACACCTCCATAAACTTTCAAGTATATATTTTGCTGGAAGTTTTGGGTATATGTTGATCTAATATATATTTTTTTAAATATCTCACTCATAGATTTATTCAAATTGTGTATCCTGAAGCATTTTCAATTTCTTAAGGTTGTTTTAAACCTTCCTGACAGCAGTCATCAACATCAGTCTGTCATTATCCTCTGTTGCTACATTGTAATGTGGCAGTTGAGGTTGTGACTAATTGTTTTTGTGGATTTGTCTGCTGATTATTTCCTTTGCCCTAAATTTGGTGTAAAGGCTCATCACTCACTGTTTATCGGCCATGTTTGGAATCGTGCTACCAGTGGCAAGATTTCAGTTGTGTTAGTAACATTTAAAGTTGTGAAGTGGAAGTTGTACACCCCTGTCTTTTGCAGCTATGCCTTGGTAAAAGATCATTAAGGGAAGTGTAGTTTACAGTGTTCAGCTGTTTGCTGCACAGTTGTCCAAAACCTAACTTCAGTATCCAACTTCCTCCTAATGAACTACTCAAGTAGCCCATAATCAATAAAACTTTCAGTATTAGTCTTTAAACAATTCCATCCTAATAAACTCAGGTGAGGCTGTAAACAAACTCAAGAAAACAAACAGGTGTTTGGGGTCATATTTGAGGGAGAAAACTCTGGTTTACACCAGACATGAACAGGGGATACAGTGTCTGAGTGAGTGTTTTACAGTGTGTGATGTGTGACTTCCACACCTACAGGCAGCCATGATAACAGCTGCTGTTCTCCCCTGGATCCTGTGTTGTGTGTCTGTAGTCCCCCTGCCAGGTTTAAGAGGATGTCTTTGTGTATGTGTGTAGATCAAGGGTGTGGTTCCCTCCTTGCTTAGCCTGAAGGTGGCAGACAGCACTCCACACGCTCACGTGCAAACACAGAGTTGTGCCAGCATGCTGAATCAGCCCACATCTAATAATTTCCACATGGTCACGTTTTTTTTTATCCAAACACAAACTAACACACCTACACACGCATAGAAACCAGTTACCCTCACTCAACCTCTCAGCTTCAAGGATTTACTGTCTTGACTTTAGAATCCAGCCTGCTTTCAGTCTGGAGTGTTTATGAGGAAAAGTTAACTCATCACCACCCGCCAGGTCTTGACCGCTGAACAGAACTCCACTGTATGCAGTTTTATTGAGGGTAGTGGAGCAAAATAAGAGAAGAAAAGAGCATGTGCAATTTAGAAGTAGGCTGTTTCTAATTTTGGTCACTGGGCTAAAGAGCTGACCTAGTTCGTTAAGATGATTTACAGGTACATACAACTATCATTAACCCAAAAAGACACTTCTTTGTATTCTGGTGTCTGTAGACGTCTTCACTGCCCCAGTGTTGACGTATGCAATCCTCAGAATCCCAAACACTTCCTGGTCTGTCACTCCATAGCAGACCTCTGACCTTTGACCTCCCCAGAGAGCTCAATTGTCCCATAGGGATTAATAAAATATCAAGTTACTATGTGTGGTAGTTTGAGCAGTCAAAAGTAACATCTCAGTGATATATAGGTATTCACAGCCTTCAGTAGACGAGAAGGTCAGTTATAATTGTCCAGGTACAGAGTTCCTTGGAAGCTTTAAATTCGCAAAGTTTGCTCGGTTGTTAAGAAACTGATGCTGTTGTAACTTTTTCAAGCACTTTAAACCGACATCATATATACATCATATAAGGGGCATCTGAAATAGTTCAACAACTGTTGATCTCAATGGCCTCACCATCTAATATTCTCCTCGATATACGGGGTAGAGGATGGGCATAATTTGAAGCTTTTGAAATTGACATTCTTCTAGAGCAGACCTGGGCATTTTACGACCCGAGGGCCACATCCAGCCCTCTGGATGTCCCTGCCCGGCCCTTTGTGAGGTCCCACAATCAAATCATCAACATGCTAAACAAGTGTGTTGCTTTCATTTTGAAAACCTAGCCGTTGTTTTATATCCGTTTGGACACACGTGCATACATCCTAGATCTGCATTTGTGAACAGAGACAAGTTTAAACATCGGCAAAATATTCGTAGACACCTTATAGTTGCTAAGTCCGCTTATAAACGACTTGAGGCTTGTTTCTTTCAGAGGTCGCTTGTAAAACTCGTGAGTCGCAGGTGCGCCTTTTTGAGGCTGGTTTTTAACTAGTAGTTGCTTATTTGGGTTTGCTTCTCTGTATGTGTGAACCCCCCTGGTTTGAAGTTAAAGTTATTGTTGGTTTGGCCCTCCAACACAGTTCAGGTTTCTCATGTGGCCCCATGTAAAGATTAATTGCCCACCCCTGTTCTAGAGCAATTATGATTAATTATCTGGTAAGTGTTTTATCTTATCTGTCAGACTGAGTGCCCTAGCCTCACAGAGTAAGCCACCTTGCAACGTTTATGACTGGACAGAGAGAGCCTCCCTTTAGAAAAACGTCATCACAAAATAACTACCCCACTGTACTGGATAAAGTGTGAAATATTTGCTACCTTGGCTTCCACAACAGAATGACCTACCTAACATAATGAGCTGTCTAGGTTCTTTATAGAATGAGCTACCTGAAATGAAGGAATGAGCTCCCTGTCAAAATGAGCAACATAACCTGGATGAATCTCCTCACTAGGTGGTACTTGAATGTCTGAGCTGTGCTCTCCTACATCAGTTTAGTGTTTGATCTTTTAATTTATTCATTTATTTTAAAAGCAGGCTTTGCATTTTCAATAAAATGCATTAGCTGATTGAATTTTCATTTGCATTCAAGATGTAAATTATCCAGCTGAGCTGACACTCTTACCCCAGGCCAAAGCTGAAAACAGCAAAACATTTTAGGGTCTTTTGGCAAGCATATATCATTAGCTATAGTCATTTAAGGTTATAGTATTCAGATGGTGTTGTTTTCAGCAGAACTCGTTTTTCTTGCTTAGTACAACACCAAAGAGAGATGCGTTGTTTCAACTGGTGGTGCCACTAACAACCGTTGGACATCCACTCAAAGCATGACAAAAATTCCCACAGTCTATAGCCCTAAATCAGAAAAATGTCATACTTTGCTGCCTCAATGTGTTTAAACGTTTACCTTATTGCCGAAGTCACCCTTTGGTAAGCGTCACTCTTGCTTTGGCCATTGACAACTTCTTAGGCGCTTTAAACTTTCAGCACTTAACGAGGACGGTAACCACACACTTTGATTTGTAAACAGAACAGTTTTAGTTTGTGTTGGGGGAAAAAAGGTATACAGTCCCTCCATAGAAGGTGGTTAATGCCTAGGAAGGGAGAATCAGAGAGAATATAGGTCAGAAAACACATCCAAGGCCCGGGGCCAAAGAGTGGAGTTTGGCACGTGTCTGCAGCGGCTGTGTTGGGAGTTGAGGATGTGGCTACATGTTGTGGTGGGAGGGTGGGAGTACTGTCAGCATCCTATATATCTAAGTTATATGTGATTATTGTAAATGTGGCTGCCAAAGTGTTTTTCCTATGCTTAAACCAGAGTCTAGAGTTGAGTGTAACAGTTGTGTTCATCTGGAATATAATGATGAATGTGGTACAGGGATTTAATTCATTAAATCACAGTGATGATATACTGTATGGCTCCTGGGGGACTAAACTAACCGTTCTCACAGACTTTACTGCCTGACATGTCAATGAGTTAGGTATAGTTGACAGCAGTATACACACAGACATTAGTTTTAATCAGTGATGCTGTGACTTGACATTTCATACATTAGATTATACTATAGTTGTATGTTCTTCAAGTTTAACCCAGTCATAAAAAAGGGAAATACTGCTTTAACTCTTGGAACAAAGACATTGGTGGGGGTGCATTGGGAAAACAATAAAGATCTGATCACATTTAATTGGCTAATTGAAGAGAAGTTAAGCTCACAAAATAACTTAAGGTTCCAACTATGAATTATGTTTTGGCACTGGAAGGTAAAACACTGGTCAGAACTTGAGCATTAAGTGAACTAAGTGTCTGAATGAAAGTGTGAACATTGTCATTCGTGATGCTTCAAATATAATCCAGAAAAATTCAATACTTCATTACGGAATAAAAATGGACATTCATTTTAATTATTCAAGCGGTTCTCATATGCCCTCGTATTCATCTTATGGATTGCTGCTCATTGCTTTAATGATGTGTTTCAAACTTTAATGAGTCTTTATGATCAATTCTCACCCTTGGCTGCACCCCACAATCCTTTCTGCTCTTTCATAACAGTAAAGGTTGTGAAACAGATTTAGTCCTTTTATATGTACGCACTAACTTTCATTGCGAGGAAATAA